TTATTTTTGACGGTTTATGGGGGTTATCAAAGTCACTAACTGGGGTTGTTTCCTTTTAACTTGCCATGTACTTAAACCTGGGCAAGTTTCAACAAAAAAAGCTCAACGGTTGGGGGCTCAAACGAGCGAAATCCCGTCATGAAAGTCCTTTACGAGCCCTTTTCGATGGGTCCCGATTCATGTCCAACCATTCTGGAGGTGGTTCCGCATAGAAATCCATTGCCATGTGGGTGGCGCGTCTTTTTTGAGGCACCATTGTTTTTCGTGGTGGGTGTTTTCAACGGACACCCAAAAGGAGAACTGCAAAAACCACCATTTTGAGGGGTCCAGCCGTAAACACGAGCAGCGTAGGGCCCAGGCCGCGTTTCCGGAAAAGTGGCGGCGCCCCGCAGCCCCGCAGGTCCCTCAGCTTCACGGAAGGTTCTGGAGGCCACTGCGCTCATCGGCCGGGAGCTGAGCTGTGGGGGGGGGGGTCGCCGTCCGCCTAAAACTCCGTGGGTTTGGTTCTGTGTCTTAAGCAGCTTCCAATTGCTCAAGATGTTTTCCCCCCCCCCCCCCCCTGTTGGTTTTAAGTGGAACCCAAGTTCCCAAAACCAAGAGGGACAACCCAGTGCAACAATGCTTTTTCAGCGCGGTACAAGTGCTTAGCCCGACTCTGGCGGGTTTGGAATGCTGTTCTCTGTCTCCTGAGTTTGTCTGTGGTCCATTTGGGGACGTGGGGTGCTCACTCAACTTCCCGCAAAGAGCAGGCCGCTGGGATATTTTGTATTAACAGAAGCAGCGTATTGTAAGAAGGGCTGGGGCGACTGTGCAGGCGAAGGTCTCGTGAATTTGTAGTGGCCGTGTTGGAGAACATGTTCCATGGACGACCCGAGTGGAACTCGGGCTCCAGTTGCGACGTATTTGGGGTCCTCAAGCTGCATGCCTCACCGATGGTGCTTGGAGTTATTGGGTGCGCCCAGTACCACAAGCTAACCAGTCTCCCTCTCAGCAGTTTGTGCCTCAACATTTGATTTTTCCTTCTCCCCTGTGTTGGGTTGGTTTGGACCTTTCTTGAGGGTGCTGAGAGTCATACCCAGCTCAGCTTTTTCCCTAGCCCAAACAACATGTTTGACTCTCCAAGTTTAGTGAACGGTAATTCAAACAGAAGCGAACCTGAGTGACTGGTGGCTCGTTGTCTAAGGGACCTGGGAACCGCCAAAAGGTCTCGCCCTGTGGCTTTCGAGGGCTGAACTGTACCCAGCTGTACGACTGGTTGTTACAGCTTGGGAAAACCTGTGGAGTTCACCTTGCTGTAGGTCTCACTTCCCCGAAGGATCTAGGAATCAAAGATTGAACCTTTCAGGGCCATGACTAAATATGGAACAAATCCTCCATTTGCTTAGGTCCCCTGCGACAAAATGAGGAAAGATGTCCAGTAGGCAATCCACCAGCGAAGAATAGAGCATATTCTTCGGGCATCCAAAATGGAACCCTGGTAAATAGAAACATGGACTAAAACCTGCGGTCCCCTGGTGGTGCAACTTTGATCCATACCCAAATTACCTCAAACCGATTTCAGTCAGATCCGGTCGATTCGTTGTGTCGACTGAGAGGTGGGGGGGGGCTGACATGACACCTGGAGGGGGGGGTTGGTCCATGTGCAAGAGGAACCCATGTAGCCTGGCCCGCAGAAACAAAAGCGGGTGATGCGCTCGCCTCTCGCAATTGAGTTGAAATGAGCTGTTTTGTCTAGTGGTCGTTGGTGCGATCCTACACGGTCCCTAGTGTTCACACACACGCGCACGCGGTTTGGAGGTTTTAGGGTCACCTACCCTCAACAACGAGTGGTTCCAATCCCCCAAAGAAACAGCAATTCCAACAAAGAGAGTGTTGGTTCATCACAGTTTCATGGCAAAGCGTCGCAGCTTTTGTGAATCATGTCCACAACAAGAAGACCATGAACAAACCACATCCAGGTAGGACAGGTAGAATGAGAGAGCCCGTTGGGCCACAGGTAACTTCTATCCCTTCTTTAAGCACACGAAACTCAGTACGACGCACAAATTAAGCAAACTGTACATGCTGTTCCCCACAAGATACCGATTTTCTTGAAGGACACCCCCCACATGAACAAACCCAGGTCGTTGTGAAGGTCCCATCTCCCGACTCGAGGCACTCGCTTCATCCCGGTGATGCCGCCGGTGTCTTTGGACCTGAGCGCCGCTCGGCAGGGTGCCATGTCGCTGGCCGCCGAAGGCATCAACCCACGGGGGTTTCCCTTTTGGGGACATAACCCCCGACCCCGAGATACACTTCAACCCCGGGGTTCCCCTTTTCGGCTTCCTTCTTGGGATGGCGAGGTCTTCCTATCCGTTCCTTCAAGTTGCAAGGGTTCCTTGGTGGTTTCCCTTCAAAGCCATCCAGCAACTGGACTGTTTTTGGGGACGGGGACAAGCAAATGAGCACAAACAAGACCATTTACCTACTTACCAACGTGGCAGTTGAGCAAAATGGAGATGTCCAATCACCAGCCAGAAAAGCTGGATCCCCACAGTTATTCATCAGTGGTAGTGTCGCCCTGGAAGACAAGAATGGCCACCAGGGACCCCCTTAAAAGTAAAGTGGGGGGTTTGTCAATCAGGGGTCGACATTGCCGGGTGCTGATTGCGTTCCTTCTCGGCTAGGTTGACAGCAGCAACTTCAGCAGCCTGCTTGACCTGAGTGACTGAGATGGGAGCCTTTGGACAAGATGTCCAAGAACGCCGGGAACAAAAAAAGACCATGCCCAATGAGGGGAACCCAGGATTGTTAGACCCTGCTTCATAAATGGCGAAGGGTGCACCAATTCAGAGGGAATCCGTCATTTTTGGCAGACCCCCCCCTGTTATCCACCAACATCATTAGTCCGGGGTAGACATTACTAGTTTAGCATCCTTAGCAAGGAGAGCCATAGGAAGATTATGGCCCCCGCGCATAGGCACTAGTAGTCGCGATCAGGTTGCTGTGGCTCTCCCTGCCATGCTTCGATATATGAACATGCGTGGCACGGGCTTTCTCTGAACATATTCAGGTACTTTGGCAAGTGGTTTTTCTCTGGGTGGGGCCCAGAGATGGGTTCGCCTCATGGGAGAGCCACCCAAAACAACCGGTGGCTTTCCAGTTGGTTCCCTTTTTAAAAATACAAACAAACACAAGAAACCACTCACATTGATCCGGCTTTTGTTTCCACAGGCGAAACTGCGGGTTTCGTCCAAACCCGATTCGCCGAATCGCCTGGGTGGAAGATGCGCTGACCGTCGCACGAGCGTTGCGGATCGATCGCCGGCGCCGCCACCGCGGGGCCACTTTGCGCTTCCCTGCTGAGCTCAAACAACAGTCGGAACACATGAATGGGTGCTAAATACTTGGTGGCTCCCAACCGTCCGGTTCCTTCGGGCTTTTAGCTTCATGGGATCTGAGGACAGCCCAGAATAGCCAATAAAAGCGGGTGATATTTCGCTTGTCCAGATTGGGACTCTAACGCGCATACTGACAAAATCCTGCACCACTTGGAATAGATGAACCCGGACCCCCATTAAACAAATGGCACAAAGAACCTACCAACTGGTGCAGGATTTTCGTTCGTTCATCCACAGTATTTAGTGGCTGGTTCTCAATACTTATCCTTTCGCCGACTCAAGGAGTTCTTCGAAGCGCATGCAGCGTCCAGAATTGGTGCCGTGCCGCTCACCCGAAAGCGGCCTTTGCGTTCTGCGAGCTTGGCCCTGCCCAAAAGTGGCGGAAAAGTGTCCGTGGCGCGTTCCGCACAGGGTATCCTGAAGGGGACGCTGGTCGGTTGTAACTTTGTTGCCTTTGAAACACCGCCCCAAAAAGGGGGTGTGTAATTTTCAGAAATTGGTGCGCCCTCCGCTTCCTTTTAATTTCCCTCAACCAGAAGAACGCGGGTCCCCTTTGGTCCGTACCCATATGGAGCGCTGGGACCTCGTCTTTCGGTCAAGGCGTCCACGAGGGATGCAGCCAGTCTCGGGGACGCTTGCGCCGAGAAACCACGCACTGATGCGAAGTGGAACTCGGATGCTCATCCTGTGACTTCTCTGGTGGCATGTTTTTAGGTTTTTAGGTTTTTCGGTTCTGCTCAAAAAGCAGTCGTTTCCTGCAACCCATACCGAGGCTTTCTATCGGCAGCCGGTACGCTTGCCGTGCTCCTCCTTTCTTTGGCTTCGCTTTGGCCAAAAACCCGGGGGTGTGGCGGGGGCAAAGGGGTTCTCCTTTTGCCCTTCCAGGGGCTTCCATTTGCTGAAATGAATATGTTTTATTTTGCTTAAAGGGAATGTGCCACTACTGGACGTATGTTTTGTTCTTTTTCCAGGGGACTCGAGCAATGGAGGTTGGGCAAGCCAGGTGAGACCATGTGGTTTCCTGAGGTCAAATAATTTGCCGTACCTGTGAACAGTTGTTTCTTTTTTGAATCACCAATCCCAGCTGCTGCGAGATGGATTCAGTGTATTTTCACAAAGTTCCCCTCACGCCCACGCAAGAACGTGAGTGTGGGTGTTGAAAGATACCAAGTTTTTGGTAATGATTTTTTTCGTGTGACCCCCAAGGCCCCGTTTTGGACGCTTTGGAAGCAAATGGGTGATCGACCTTGAGCCTACAAAGGGTGATCATCCTTTTGCTCAAGGGCGCAACCCAGCCTAGGTAAGTTTCTGACATTTTCTTGAAAGGTCAAGCTTTTATTGCTGGGTCACCTGAAGAATGAGAATCTGGTTTGGAGTGGTCGCTTTTGGCAAAGCCACGGGACTTGAGGGCGGCTGGCAGGTAACCCTTAGCTCCAAACCAGTTAGAGGGAAGCTGAAATAAGGGAAGTCGAGGCTCCTTCTTGGAGGTCAGGTTCCTTCCAAACTCTCCAAACATCGGGCAACAGATCGCAGACGTATCCGTTTCCTCTTGGAGTTCGCCAAGCCGCGTTAAACTCGTTTTTGAACACATGGGCAGAAGGCTGCACTCAGAGTGTGCAGGATATCCAGACTGGGCAGGGCGAGACGAAGGAAAAGTACTCCCTGCGCTACATCGGGCTGGGAGTCTTAGCCAAGAGACAAGATCAGGAATTGCACGGGTATGAGTTTTCCTTGGGGACAGTTTAGTGGACATCGTTTTGGTGGGGTTTTATGTCCACCAATCACTTCCAGGGGGGTTCCCTGTTGAAATTCATCGCCACCTGTGTGGCATCTTTCTCCTCCACGCAGCTTTTGCGTTGCGCCGTTGGTTTCAAAACGACCCGGGCATGTCCCATATTTTTGGCAGGCACCCACGAGCCTCGTTGGGGTCGGGGCATTTCCATGTTGTCCTCCTACCCGTAGTCAAAACCGGAGCCCCGCAAATTGTTTGTCTCAAACGAACATGGGCCCCAAAATGGCTGGTCTCCTGAGGACTCGCCCACTTGGCGTCTCTTTTGTGGGGTCCGGGTCCGGGTCTCATCAAAAAAAAGCGAGCCCTCCGCACAGATTGGTCACATAGATGAGCCTGTGAATCAGGTGGTCTTCTGGTTGCCACGGGTCCGGTCACCTTCGGTTTCCTAAGCGGATAGACCGGTCGCCTCTCGGCATCGGATGTCCAGAGAAGAAGCAACGCCTTTGACCCCACAGGCCCCAAAGTGCTCTCTGAGTCGGTATCAACTTTTTTTTGGCTTATCTGAAAGGAAAGCCACAGGGAAGCTTTGAAGCCACCATTTCCCTTCCCCCCCCTCCCCCAATTGTTCAGGAACTGTTGGGGAATCCCCCATTTCTTCTTCTGCCCCACCGCATTGCCCGTGAACTGTACCCTCTTCCCACAGGAGCCACCCACTCGGGTGAACCAATCTGACGGGGAATCAGGTCTATGGTTGGGGATGTGCATCGCACCCTGCTCTACGGCGGCCTCTTTGCTTACCCAGCGGACACGAAGAACAAGGACGCGTGCGCGCTTGGCATGTCCTGTGGCTAAAATGGGCCTGTCGTTTTTAGGACTCTTGGATTCCCATGAAAACGCACAAGACAAAGGTATATACCCTTTCAAATTGACACCCAAATAGGAAACAAGGACTTCAACAATGGCATCATGTTTTTTCCTGGGTTTCCCCTTCTACCAGAAATGGGTAGCGAGCCTCCAAAGAAGGCATACCCACATGGGTCACATGACCCACTGACAAGGGGTTGACGCGAAAGGGGTCCGGGCCCCGACTTCCCCAGATTGTCTCGAGGCGACAAGTGATTTGTATCCACTGGTGTGCGTTTTAGGGGAGTTTAGTTGAGGGCAGGTTCAGGTTTTGCTGGTTTCGGTTTTGCTCTGATTGTTTTCTAGTGCAGTCATTGTTTCCCAAAGACCCTATGATGCCCAGATCCCGTAGGGACAGGCGTTCATGGCTTCGTTCCCTCCAGGGCGGATTGACGGAAAGAGCACGGTGCCCCGAAACGGTCCGCAACTCATCCCCCCAACGTCAACATGGGACCTTGACCAAGCCCAACCGGTGCTCTTTGTCTGCAAGGTAGTGGCGGGCATGGTGGTTTCTTTGGGCTTTTGGGTGACAGTTGTTTTGATTCGTCCCACATCTTGGCGAGGGTGTTTTGTGCTTCCCTTTCAGATCACCCGATAGAGAGTTTACAATTTGGAAGTTGCCCAAATATGATTTTGTACACGTGCACGTATGCACTGGGTATATCTATATATATATATATATACATATATATGCATGCGTACGTGTATATGTATATGTTTACGCACATGCACGTGTATGTGTATATATGTATATACGTATATATGTAAACATGTATATAAGCATATATATATATATATATGTAAACATGTATATATGTATATATGTATACGTATATATGTACATGTGTGTATATGTGTATATGTATATATGTATATATGTATATATGTATATATGTATATATGTATATATGTATATATGCATATATGTATACATATATATGTATAAATGCATATATGCATATATGTATATATATATATATATGTACATATGTATATATGTATATATGTATTTATGTATGTATATATGTATATATGTATATGTGTATTTTATGCAGCGGCCTAGACAGAAGGAAACCATCACATGGATATAGAATATAGATAGATTAGTTTAGATGAGATTATAATTGCTAGATTGTTAGATAGCTAGATAGATAGATTCGATTAGATGATATTATAATAGGATAGATTAGATTAGATTGGATTGGATTAGATTAGATAGATCGATGGATAGATAGATAGATAGATAGATAGATAGATGGATTAGATTGATTAGTTTGATAGATAGATAGATAGATCGATAGATAGGTAGGTAGATTGATATAGATAGATAGATAGATAGACAGATAGACAGACAGATAGATAGATAGATAGATAGAATAGAATAGAATGAGTAGATGGATTAGTTTGATAGATAGATAGATAGATAGATAGATAACTAGATAAATAGATAAATAGATAAATAGGTGAACAGATGGATAAATACAGAGCCCTTTGTCTAGATCATCGAAGACATGGTTTTGATTGTGGGCATGCCTCTATGGAGTAGGGTCCATTCCTCGAAAACCGCCGCGAGGACGGCAAGCTGCGGCTCCTCTACGAGGCGGCGCCCATGTCCTTCCTCCTGGAGCAGGTGGGGATCGATCTGTTTCATTTCTTCTGGGTGCCTCGTGAATGGTGTGAGGGAACCTCACTGTTTTCTTTCGTTTTTGGCGCGGGCCCCCAAGTTGTTCCTTTTATTTTGAGGGGTTTCCCTGGTAAAATCCCAAACTCCCCCAACAAAAAGAGAGTGAGTGCCTTTGTTTTCCCGTGGAAATCCACTGGGCCCCGGGAGAAAATGATGAAAGCAGAGATTTTATCGAGCTGGTTTTGGAGCGCTTCGGGTTTGGGACATCCCCATTGAACGCTGGGCGGCTTTCGAGATCGCGGTAGAACCTGTGGCCGCTGACCGAGTTGCCATCAGAAAAGGGCAGACCTTTTGGTTGAGCCAAGCATGGCACAAGGTTTTCCTTTTCCTTCTGGTTTCCCCTTAAACCCATAGAAAAGGGGGGGTACCCGCAACCAACGAAGCGCCCATCTGCAAGAGTTGCACTTTGCGGGTCTTCAACCTGGGTGGTCACATGGGCATGTCTCAATGGGGAACCCTAAAACGGGAGGTGTCCTCTTTTAATTTTCCTGTGCAAGTCCAAAAAGGGTACCCTCAAAGAAAGGCATCAGACACACCCACAAATCTCCCAGCCTCACGTTTCGGAGCTTCTCCGGATCCTCTCAGCTCCGGCGGCTCTGAATGAATCTGGTCGTGATTTTCATGGGGGGATGCCCTGGCCAACAGGTACAGAAAACCCCCAGCTACACGATGTCCGCCAAGGGAATTTCCAGTTTAAAAACAAATGCGTGCGCCACATTGGATAGATTGGACCCAGGCCGGCGGCCTGGCCACCACCGGGCCGCGGCCTCGGGTGTCGGGTCGCTTCCTGGCGCGGGCCCAGTGACTCGCGTGGGAAAAAGTCCCGACGCTTCCTTGGCCATGAGCACAAAATGGGTTCGGAGCTTGCCATGAGTTTTGGCGCCGGGCTTTTTTTGAGTTACTCTTTTTTTTGGGGGGGAGATCATATTTGTTTTGGGGGTTGAAGAAATCCCAAAGCACGGGAGGATTTGGGGACCCAGTGCCAAATCCCCAAATGGGAGGCACACAAAAGCCGCCTTGGCTCAAACATTCTTAAAAGGCCATGGCCCCGTTACATGGCAAATGTGTGGCTCGTCTCGGTTTGAGTTGGTGCCTTCTGGTGCTTGCTCTGCTATTTGAAGCTGCCTGAGCTGCGCGCAGTGGCCGTTTTTGCTAGTGGCAAGCCCAGGTTTTCAATCACCTTTGGGTTTTTTCCAGGATCGAGATGAACAACTTTTACGGTTTTGTTGTTATGCTCTATGTGCGTGGTACGGTATGGGATCCTCAAATTTCAACCGTTGGAAACGCGGCGGGCAACTTCCCAAAGTGTGGGAAGGTGTTGCCAGGGAGTGGCAAGGTCAGATGTGTGTGATTGTGAATCCACCCAAGAAGTGAGTTGAACAACATTCCAAATTCCGGAAGTTCGTTCATGTATATACAAACAATTGTGTCGACATTTCCATAAGCAGCCTTTGCGCAATGTGGGCGACTATTTCTTGTGCGGCTTCGGAGGTTTGCTTTTGTTTGCATTCGGGTCAATTCTAGATTGCGAGCGTTTCCGTGTTTGTGTATGTGTACCTTTGTCATTGGGAGTTCGTGTAGATGTATGTCTGTCTGTGTTTGAGGTTGTGCATTGGTGAAGCTTTATGTGTGTGACCCTTCATGTGTTGGTGTGTTTGTGTGGTGGTCAGTCTTGCGTTTGTCAAGTTCTTTCCGTGCATCATAGGCGCCGGGTTTGGCGATCACTTTCTGTGATAGCAAAAGAACCCCCCCCTAAGCGACAAGGGAAATCTGTAAGGAAGGACCTCTGACTTCATCGCTTTTCTTCCGCTTACCGACTTTAGCGATTCGGGCAGGCACAACCGCGTCATGGACATCCCCCCGACCTCGGTGCATCAGCGCGTGCCCATCGTCCTGGGCTCCAAGGAGGACGTGGAGGAGAACCGAAATTTATCGATCCCAGGTGTGGGGTCCGTTTCTGATCGGAGACCCCAAACGACTTCATGGGTAAACCAAATGTGGGTTCTCTCAGGGAGAAATTCCCTGAGGTTGGCCTCATCCAAGAAAGGTTTCCCATTTTTTGGGAAACTCCCATATGGAACAGAGTCAGGACATATGTTTTTAGCCGTCCCAAAAGGGCCAAGTTTGAGGGGAGACTAAAGACGGAACTTCTGAAGTTGCTTTTTGTGTATGTGTGTGTGATGCCCGTCCTATGATTGGGGGTGTTCCCTCCAAAAGTGGTCTGAACCTCCGTTTGAACCTCCACTAAAAGGAATTGGACCCCCCCCTATCAATCAACCAGGACCAGGGCTTTATTAATCCGGGTTTAATATCACCCCGTTTTTGAGGTGGCCAAGGTTGGTTTGTTGCCACCAAAAGCAACGCGTATAAGGTCTGAGCCTCATTAAGGCATATTGGTGCTGCTTTTGCCAATTTTCTGTACCAAGAGAACCTTTCGTTTCTTTTTACCCCCCCCCCCCCCCCGCCCACCAAAAACTAGCCCCCGGTTATCGCGAAAGCGTGTGTGACAAAGGTGATGCAAGAATGTTGTGATGTACCCAGGTGTGATGTTGCTTGTGTACACTGCGTCGTGCCACGCATCCAGGCACTTCTCTATTCGACACTTACACACGCCAAACAAACATCTAAGCAACCCAATTCCAGCATGCAGCAATCCTTTTGCAGCATGGCCTCATGATCCATGTGCAATGCTAAGTGGCGAACGTGAAACTGCACAATCAAGCTCACGCATTCAACGCTGGGCTGCGCGCGCGCCGCTGTACAATCGCTTCGCTCTCGCTTGACAAATGCAAAATGTTATGTATTTAATTAAGTCTCTCTCTTTCTCTTTCTCTCTCTCTCTCTTTCTCTTTCTCTTTCTCTTTCTCTTTCTCTTTCTTTTTCTCTTCCTCTTTATCATTATTTTTCTCTTTCTTTCTCTTTCTCTTGCTTTCTCTCTCTCTCTGTCTTTCTCTCTCTCTCTTTCTATCTTGCCCTCTTTCTCGCCCAGTCTCTCTCTCTCTCTCTCTCTCTCTCTCTCTCTCTCTCGCTCTCTCTTTCTTTCTTTCTTTCTTTCTTTCATTCTTTCTTACTTTCTTTCTTTCTTTCTTTCTTTCTTTCTTTCTTTCTTTCTTTCTTTCTCTTCATCTCTATATCTCTCTCTCACTCTCACTTTCTTTCATTCTCTTGATCTTCCTCTCTCTCTCTCTCTTTTTCTCTTTCGCTTTCTCTTTATCTTTCTCTTTCTCTTTCTCTGTTCCTTTCTCTCCTTCCCTTTCTCTCCTTCCCTTTCCCTTTGTTTTTCTCTTTCCTCTCTCTCTCTCTCTGTCTGTTTCTCGTTCTCTTTCTGTTTCTCTTTCTCTCTCACTTTCTCTTTCTCTTTCTCTTTCCCCTTCTGTTTCTCTTTCTCTTTCTCTTTCTCTCTCTCTCTCTCTCTCTTTCAATTTCCCCTTTCTCCTTCCCTTTTTTTTTGTTTTCTTCTCTTTCTACTTTTCTACTTAAAATGTACAATTCTCAGGCCGGAGTTGCGGGAGCTCACTTCGCATTCTACTTTCCTATACCTAAAACTTGCGATTCTCATGCCTGAGCTGCGGGAGAGTAGTTCGCGTGCTACTTTTCTACCTAAAACTTGCGATTCTCAGCCCGGAGCTGTGGGAGAGTGCTTCGTGTACTACTTTTGTACCTTTTTTTTGCGAACACCACAGCGAGAGCGACCCGACACGCGCAATCTCCGCAGAGGGTTCGTCGGCGACGTAGAAAATTCGCACGCCGCCACAGCGCGCGCGCGATTCGACGTGCACAATTTTCGCTGAGCTTTGGCTTGGTTTTTTCCCTTTCGGTAGGGGCCTGTCACTTGTGCAGGAGAACACCCCATATTCATAGGACAGGTTCATTAGTTTGGGGCCAACGCTAGCAACAGCAGCCTTGTTGTTTCCGGCGGGTCGCTTGGGCCGCTGGTCCGATGGGGACTGCGACAGGAGTGCAGGAAGTACTACGACGAGAGCGACGACCCCAAGCTGAAAGAGAGGCGAGGGCACCATGGGCTGCAGCCAGTTGCCAAAAACATTCGAGTGTGTCTTACAATAGAGGAACCACCCAAATGGTTGGTTTCTTTTCGGTTTTCCTTCACTGCGAAGAGACAGACCCAGTCAAATTTTGAAGGAGGGAAAGCAGATTTTGACTTGACCTTTCTCAGCCAGAGCTTTTAGACTTTTAGATGTTTAGCGCTTAACCAGGGAACCACAGCAAGTCCCACTTTTCGCAGGGATCAACGAGCCACTACAGTTGAGGAAGCACAACGTGGAACATTTGAACCAGGTTACATTTCTGTGGAACCTTTAAAGTGGGCTCTCAAAGAGGGTTGCCAGTTTGTCAACCCTCTATACAGCGCAGTGGATGGACAGAAATCAACTTCGCACCAGTGAGGATACAGCCCTATGAAAACTGGGGTTTTCCCTCTAGACAAAACCATGTCACCTGACAAACCAGACCAACCTAACTTGCTGGTTCGATAGGTAGGGAATGAGACATGGAATGACCCAGAGAAGAAACAGCCCGGATTTGGTTTTCTAGGGAATCCCCAAAACGGTTGAATGAGGGAATGCCCCCTAGCAAACCAATCCCCGATTTGGTTTCTTTTAAACCATCAACTATGGTTTCCTTTAAGGGAAGCCCCCAAAGGGTTCATTCAACCACCACCCGGGGTCTCGGAAGGTTTTGCCCAACCTATCCCAGCAAGCCAAGAGAAGCCCGAATCCCCGGTGAGGTGCGCGAACCGACTCAAGGGCCTGGTCACGAGCTAAAGAAAGGCAAGAGGGTGGCAGTGGCGTGGTTCCGTTTTTTGGATGGTATAAAGGGACATCAACAACCAAAAGGAATGGATGGTACCCGTTTTGGTGTTGGTTTCTCAAGGGAAACCAAAGGGAAAGCAGCCATTTTGGGGGGGGTCCCCTATTTTAAGACACTATCAATAAACTGGGGTTTGTTAATCCGGGGTCAACGTTAGTGGTATCTTCCCCATCCTTTCCATCTACGCAGAACGCTTTGCATCATTTCGAAGAGAATGCGCTTTATGCATGGGCACGGAATCAGCCCCTGTGGTGGCAAACCTTTCTCATTTGGTGTTCTACAAAACCAAGTTGGAGATCTTCTCCATTGAGTGAACTATAAGGTCACAACCGAAGGCATGAGTCGGTGCGCGAAATGCACTCGCTCCATTTTCCAATGGGATGTCTTGGTGGTTCCCAGCCGTCCGGTTCCTTAGGTTTTCAGGTTTTAGTGTTTAGTGGTGGGGTTTCCACTTAACCCATTAAAAGTTATTTATTACTTTTAGCAGGGCATTCCAAAGGTGCCTTGTTCCGACGAAAGATCTGCAAAATTTGAGTTGGAGATAAAATAAACCCCAGTTTGTTAGTATGGGGGTGTCCCTGGCTTTACTGGCAAAGTGAGTTTTGGAGGGCCCCCACCCCCATATTAGCAAACCGGCGTGGGTGAAACCTGGCCTTTTTACCGGCCTACGGCATCAACCATTTCTTCAAAGCTTTGCCAACTTTGTCTATGCAGGTTTCCCATCAAACGTGGCAGGTTTCGTGGCTTCCGGTTGGCAGCAGCCAGTTATTCCTTTGGTCAACTGTGCTTCACCTGTGGGGCAGGGGAAGTAGCATGGAATTGGTTCATGGGTCGAAATACGATAAAGGGCATGCCCATTCTGATGCCCTCTCACAAGTTGGTTTGGACAGGCAACTCAGGCCATACAGAGGAGTATAACCACGGGCCAGCGCACATACCAGAACAACGCCCATGAGCTACCGGGCCCCAACGAACTACTCTTAGCCGTGCTGCGGCTGAGGCTTGCGTGACTCTGCCAGATCGCTGTTTCCGTTTCTGCTAAATTGCAATGCGCACACAGGCGACCTGTGACGGTACCAGCAACGATAACGAGCCTGAGCTTGAAATGACTTTTGCCCCGATTTTTGGAAACAGTTGCCCAATAGGCTCATATCCCAAGTGTGAAATGGAGCATGGGCTTTTCTGTTCAACTGTGATTGTTGTGTCAGATGAACAAAAACAGGACAATGCAACCGGGCAAACTCGGGCCAAACTCAGCCTAGGAAGTTTGTGGTTTAGGATTGCCTGCTTGTCCGCATCGTGTTGAGACACCGCCTCCCCCGTTTTGGCTTGGGGGCCCAGAGATGGGATCTCAAGCTTCGGAACCTGGTCGTGGGAAGGGGCTTGACACCCGTTGATGGACGAGATCCATTTCGCGCCGCCGAAGAAATCCAGGTTCTGCAAATACAAAAAAAATGGTTTCAACCACGGTGTCAATTATTTAGGTCCACCCTGGTCACACCATGCCCCGAAAACCACCTGGGAGGCTCTTCCTTGATGGGACCCATAGCAAATGGCATCGGTTCTCCTTGTAGCTTCTCTTTCAACAACACCCACACAGTTGGGGTTCCGACTCAAAAACGACGAGCCATCTACCTGGTTGTGGAAAATGGGCGAGGAGTCGGGTTGCCACTTTCTGGGAGTGGCCATTTTTTGACCAGTCGTTGTGTTTCTACGCTGCACCCTTGAACGAAATAGCCTTTTGGCCTTTTGTAGCGAAAGCAGAGCCCAACCCCCCCCATTTGCCACTTGAGTAGGTGGTTCTACTACCTGGTTAAGTTGGAGTTATGGTCAGTAGTCAAGCCTATATAAACTTAAGTTGTAGAACTAGATTTTGTGCACTGCTCACAGGAGGACTCTTTCACTTGTTTATCACCTAAAACGACACAGCATGTCTCAGCAGATTGGAATCCCTTTTGCACTGTTGTTAAAGGCGGCACACACACAAGAAACTAACCAGTTGTGGGGTCCAAATCATACGTCCTGACCCATATGCATTGTGCACACCAGCCAGCTCATTCGGCTGTTACACTGTTAAGGAAGGCTCGACCGCGCCTCCTCTGCCGAAAACAAAAAACAAACATGCCACATCCCGCTTGGTTGGCCTCATTCGTCGCCGCAGGCTCGCTCACTCGTTCTCCTCATCTACAGAAAATCTTTGGACCGTTTTTTCGCTTACCTTCAATGGTGAGTGCAAGCCCGGAGGGCGATTTCTCCGCCCTTTAGAGATTTGGCGGGCTTCAAGTAGCAAACTGCAAATTTTAAGCCAAGCCGAAAGCAGCCCGCCGTCGGCAACACTTGCCCTGGGCTGGGAAGCAGAAATCCTAGCACGGAAGTGTTCGACGAGCGGAAAAAGAGTCGGCGAGGGTGAGCTAGGGCTATTGTATAGGGGCGTAAATCATTAGAATGTGGTTAGTTGCGGGGTACTAATCACAAGTATATTTTTTTGAAAGCGGGTAAAGTCTTACTCCCCGGTATACGGCATATTTTTGACAGATATTCATGACGTACATTCCTCATTTCGTTTGTCAGGGTTGACCTATAGAGGCCTGGGGGTGGCATTTTTTGAGGGAACCCTTTTTGGGGTGGTTACAAAACGAACACCAAAAAGAAGTCAAAAGAAGTCCCCTAAACAAGGACCCTGCATCTGTCGGCATGTGTCCTCATCATATGAACTGCCTCAGAAAAGAAAGAAACACAACAGGCTACCCTCCCTTCCACAAACATAGCACCTGTGGGAGGGTACCAAAAAGATAAGCTTTCTCTTATACAAAACCCCCTGTCAGGTTCCATGTTAGTTGGTGGCAGGGTAATTTCCCAAGCAGGGGTAGACCAGACATGGTTCGCCTTCCTTTACGAGAAATCAGCCTTCCACGCTGTCAAAGTCTTGGGAGCAACCCAGTCGATTCGACAAGCCCAAGTTTGGTCAAGTCAAGGAATCACTCGCTCCTTGGTGGTTCCCAGCCGTCCCTTGAGGGTTTTTAGGTTTTCAGGGTTTAGTGGTTTAGCGGTTTAGTGGTTCAGTTGGGTTTTCATTTAGCCCACTAAAGTTAAGCTTTCAGTAGGGGATCTGAGGACAGCCTCGAAACTCCGAATCACTCGCATCCGATCGCAGCATTTTGCTCCAAGTTCCGACACACATTTTGTAGAAACTCCGACGAGCGTAGCCATGGCAAGTTCCGACGTTTCGAAGGCGGGCGCTCGGTTCGATCGGTCTGAAGGGGTCCGTGCGCTCGGCGAAGCTCGGCCGCAGGGGGCGTTCGAGAACTGGGACAGTCGTCTAGTTGTCTTTGGCTTGCCCGAAAGAGTCATTCCATCCCGTCAGAAAAGGAGGAACTGCCAAGCAGCAAGTTTTGTTCGGGTCAAGAGCCTCACTCAGACAGGATTGTCTATTGAACTCAACTTGCCGATTTCATGGTGCACTAAATGGGCGTCGCAAACCTAGGGGACCTTTTCTGGATTTTGCGCATTGTTTCTGACTTCGCTTTGACTTCATTCGGAAAGGGGTGCCCTGCTTTGAGAGAGACCCAACCGGCCATGAATCCTAGACGGGCCACGTGGTCTGCCGCAATTGTTCAGACCTCGGGTTTTTCTGGGGAGGGGTTCCCATTTAAACCTGGTCCGCTTGGTATACAAGGCTTGGACAAGCTCGCCATTGGGGAGAAGGTTTTGAGATCTGCATGTAGCCATGGATCCTGACCCGGGCCATCGGGCCCCATGGAGCCACATTGGGCCTCTTTGCCGAACCGCCTTTGTGAATCTGAGCGGCTTTTTTCATTAAACCTTCAGGTGATCGACCGTTTGCTCGTTCGCGGGGGTGGAGGGAGCAACCCACCCTTGCTTGAGGTCTGTGTTGTTGAGATGGGAGTTGGTTGTGCTTTGGCTGCATGTGCAAATGCAGGACAGCCGGAACAGCCTGGAGTCCACATGCGAATGGCTCGACTGCACGGACCTGTATAGAGCTGACCACAAACCGCTGTGAACGATCGGTTGGCACATTTGGCCTCAAAATAGGGGACCCCACAAAATGGTAAGTTTTCTTTTGGCTTCCCTTTGACACCCATCCAAAAAGGGGTCCCCCACTTTTTGAGGCACACATGGACCTCAGCTTCGAAGCATCCCCTAAAAACACACATATCGGCGGCCAGGCTGCGGCGTTGGGGCTATCGGCGGCCGCGGGGGCCGCATTGGCGCTGGCAATCCAGAAGAAGGCGCAACTTCCGGGGTTATCAACAGGGCTTCCTCCATGTTCCTTTTCTATTTCCTTTTTGGAACCTTCAACAAGGCTAAAAGGGTTGGTAAGGAAACCATGAAAGGGAGGCCCCGAAGGAACCACTGCACTTGAGTCGTTTCCCGTACTTTCCAACGACTAAGTTGTGAGAATGGCTGCGGGGACCGGCGCGCAAAAGAAAAATGGCGCAACCGAGACTGACGCATCTGGTTTAGCTTGGTGGTTCCCAGCCGCCGGGTTCCTCAGGCTTTTTGGTTTTTAGGGCTTAGTGGGGGTTGCCACCACTTAACCCACTAAGAGTTCAACTTCTAGCAGATCTGAGGACAGCCCAGTTGACAGTCTTTTTGTTTGGTAGGCTTGCACTGAGATTCCCTTCTTCTGGAACCAGTCGCCGGTTTCGACCAGGTTTCGACCGCAAGAGTCGAGCAGCCAGAGAAGTTTGTGCTGGACCCCCGCCCGGGCTCCTGACGCCGGTTTTCTGCGTATAAATGGCTAATTACAACGACACCCTGGCCCCCTCAAGGAAACCAACTGGAGGTCGTAACAAAAGGGGACTGCCCCAGTTCGTTATTTAGGCAATTGATGATCAACATGTTCTTCAAAAGGTCCACTTTTAGATTGGGTGATGCAGTGCAGGCTTCACCTGACAAATCCCGAACTTGCGGACTTCGGAGTGCCAGGGTTGTGAACCAGCCGCCGGTTCCCGTTGATTGGGGCCGCCAGCACCATTTTGAAATTGCGCAGATCAAGCACTGGAAGAGAAGCAAAAAGGGCAGATCTAGCGGTTTGAGCCAAGGTAACGGGAAACGAGAAGGGAGCTTGTTTAATACTGGCATCGCCAAACCCCCGCAGCGACTGGAAACGGTTCTCGCGAGCGGAAATTACGCGCACGTTGCGCCAACAAAAGCAGCGGCCAATTTGTTGGATGCGTCCAATTTCTTGGAGTTAGTACTTTTTGTTCTTCTTTAAACAAAAATAAAAAAAAAAAAAAATAAGGGAAACCACGAGGAAAGCTAGACTCTTCTTTTGGGGATTTCTGAAACAAGACAAACCCGGAATGGCTCTCCATCCTTGCCTCGGTGGGGTGGGGTTGACTTCCTCGCACGTCCTCTTGCACCATGGAGCAATTGCTGACCAACCAAACCAACCAAACCATGGCTGGCCCCCCTGCCGAAAGGAGCCAGCCATTTATTGTGGTGTGATGGGTTGAAGGAAGGAGAAACCGAGCATTGTTCTTGGGTCTCCAAACACGCTAACAGTTTTAGAGTTTGGCTTTAGACTACACCAACCTCCCCCACACCCCTCCAAAACCCCATGCCCACCTCCACATCCCTCCCCACACCACTCCCACACCACCACAGCCCCATTCGATGAGTTGCGGGGCCGTTTTTTTCATCGGCCGGAGCTACGATTCGGATTTTGCCCCGTGGCCATCTTTCCGAGGCGTCGCCGCAGCCTTGGAGGCGCGGAGTGGAGGTCGGTGTGAAGGGGCCCTCGGCTTCGCTGTTGGATCACGTTTCTTTGGTTTGTTGGTGTTTTTGGGTTTTGTGGTTTTGTGGTTTTGTGATTTTGTGGTTTGTTGTTTTGTGGTTTTGTGGTTTTGGTTGTTGCCTGTTGTTTGCTGCCATCAAAAAGGTTGGAAAGGTCTGTTCCCTCCTTGTACCCTCCTTCTACCTACCCTCTCTAAGGTTCCTTGGGCCCTTCATGATTGCTCTGCCGGAGGTGTTGGTGGGTTTCGAGAAAAACAAGAAACCGAAGGGCACGCCTATCTCCCGGTCCTTTGGGGCTTACTGTTTTATGCCGATTTCCAGGCGCCTCAAGTCAGGTAAGCGGCAATTGGCGTGGATGGCTTGGATTCGGATTTGAACCGAATCTTGTGGCTAAACTGGGAGGCCCGAAGCTATATCAGCTCCAATCAGCTCCCGCTAGGTGGTTTGGATGGATGGCGAAATGGGGTGGTTTCCCATTTACTCTTGAAGAGAAGTGGTTCAAATCCCACACCGCCAATTCAAATCACCAACAGAGGTTAAGCAGAATTACCCTCCCACCAATTAAGATGGAACCTGACGTTCTTGGGTCCTGGAAGACCATTTTCCTTTTGAAGGGACCGCTTGTCAGGTTCAATCTTAGTTGGTGGGAGGGTACTAGATGAGGTAAGGTGTTTTTTGGTACCCCCAGAAACCGGTTGTCCGGGGGGATGGGTATCGGGCGTATTTTTTTCTGTGAGGTGGCCGAAGGGTTCTTTGGATGAGTTACTGTGAATTCCCCGCAAGTCGGCCGGTCAGATCTCAGGACTTGATTGGTGGTTTGGATCCTCAGTTCCTTTGAGGGGAAGGTGCCCTACCTGGGTGTTCGATTCGAAAAGTTAGTAAGTTGCTGGTAACCTAGGTTATCCTACTCAGAAGTTCCCCAAAGTGGAATTGACTCTGTTAGTGGGTTGACTAACCACTTAGTGGAATCCAAGCCACAAAATCTTCAAGCGGCCTAAGGACTTACTCGAAAGGTGAACCCCGTTCCTTTGGCATGTCAGCACACATAGAAGAGTGACACCACCACCCGCGTCACAGCCAACAACTCAGACAGATCAAGATCAACATGTGTCGATTTTCCCACCAGCTGAAAGCTTTTCGGGTATCTGCCCAAAGAATCTCCGGGTGGTTCTGCAGGGGGGCAGTACCCCAAGTTGCCCAAATCAAGCCACCGGCCGCCGAATCGGATCCGGAAGGCCGCGAGGCGCGAGTGTGGGGAGGGCAAGTGGGGCCCAGATGACGGCGCCACGGCCACCGCCTGGGTGGCATACCAGCGCCTCGGACGTCCGGTCGGGGGAGTGGTGGCTGGGGGGTGGGGGATGGGGAGGGGAGGGGGGAGGGGGGGGGGGGAGGTGTTGGGGTGGGGTGGCTCGCCAGTTTTTTTTTAAAAGGCAACCAGATGGGAACCACTTGTTTTAGGGCTTCAGGTGCTTGACTTTTTTTGGAGAAGCTCAGGCGTTTAGGCTAGGTCGCTAGCCAGAAAGCCGAAACAACGCTTCTTCCTCTTTGGCTTGGCGGCTGTGCATGTCGTGGGAAAGATGTCGCAAGGAAAAGCCCCCCTTGAGGAAATAGGACTTTCAGGTAATCTTTTAGAGATGCCTTCGGTCTCCAAAGAAGAACATGGTTTGCGTCGTGTCTTCCATGTCAGCAGCGCCCCAAGCTCTTATTGGCCATTCTAGGCGGTTCTACTACCTGGCTACATGACTATATTGCATATATATATATATATATATAATATATATATATATATCCTATATGCCCCCTTTTTTACCATGTCAGTCGAGCCCAACAAGTCGATGGGTGGGGAGGGGGGAGCAGACTGCCATCAGGATGTCGGACAACGCGTTCATTTTCCCGATCACGCCCTCCACGCTCTTGTCGGAGATGTGCGACACCTGGTCTGCAGGCACAGAAAAACCGCCCAGGAGCCACTTGCTCAAAGCTGAATCGTGGAGATGAAGGTTCAAGAAGAGTCCGCTGGCCATAAATGGGTGCCTTCGACGCCTTTTGAAACTTTTTCCTGGTTTTGTGTGGACCATTGCAATGCCGATCGGTTTTGATTACGACTCACCTAGCATGGCTGGAAGCATTTTGGGTGGTTCGGTGCTGCCTCAAAGGTAGGGCGATATCAACCTCCATCTTAGAACCGAAAGTTGGCTCGGGTGCGGAGGCTGCGTTTTGCTGCCAGTTCCCAGAATTAGGGACCGATTCCTTCAGGTGGTTGAAGTTTCCTGTTGGTTTCCTCGAAAAAGCCGGGCCGGATCTGAGTTTTTGAAAAACACCCGTTTGAGTAGGTTCTACTGGCTGGCTTAATTCATGGGGATGATGAGGCCGATAGGGTGTGTCTTGGGATGGCTCAAGTTTGACTCGGACAGGTCGATCGTTCTTGGATTCAGTTGTGGAATTCTCAGTCTGTGTGGGGTGGGTAGCGGAGAGCCCCAAACTTCTCTAGGGTTCCTTAGGGTTCCATACTGTGGCTGGGAACACATGCACAAAACACACCAATCGGTAGATGGTTTATCCCATTCTTTAAAGGGCCTCATCTATCTCAAGTGCCTGGCGTGGATTTCGTCCCCCTTCAGACCCGTCTTGTTCAACATGTCTCTGAAAAAAGCTGGTAGTTGGAGCAGGGGGCAGGGGATAGGGATACCGCAATGTCTCAGGTCCTGAGCCTTTTGGGGAACACCCCCCAAGTTTTTGAAGCAAATAAAAAGGGACATCAAAAAGAACCCTTTCAACAGGTGACCCAAAAAGAATGGTCCCTTTGAAGACTTGTCGCCACGTCCAGCCAAGAGCCAAGAGCCAACTGTTCAACTTTCACGAAATACACAACAGACGGGCGACAGGCAGGCGCTTTTGGTTTGATGGCTTAGCCAGAGCTTAAAACATGTTGGGCCTTGCATGTCAAGCCAATGCAGGGTGAAGAAGCTTTTCGGTCACCGGAGAGTATGTCCACAGGCCTTTCGAAGATGTTCTTAGCTGCTTGGATGTTTGATTCGCCAAATTCAGTGGTTCGCCAACCCGCTAACAGGGTTAATTCCACCTAACGTTGACTGAGTAGTTTATGACCGAACGATTACCAACAGCTTACTAACTTAGCCAATCGAGCAGGTTCTCACGCCAATTTGTCTAAGGTGTTGCAAGAGGCAAACCACAGGGCTGGGCACCAAGGCATCTGACCGTGTACCCCTAGGCGTAACCCAACACCTGGACCCCAGTCCACACTAGAGTTGTCAGGGCCAGAGTAAGATTCCCACAACAAACAGGACTCACGCATCCCCGTGTTGCGGGATTTAGGTCCGCCCCTTTTGTGCAGAGTCACCGGCGAGTGCTAGCAGCGAGCGACTCCGGAGTCCCGGAGGCGGCGTCCAGAATGCCTTCGAGCAAGTGACTAAGATCACACAGCTGCAGTCTGAAGCCGGGGCTGCAGGCGGGGGTAGGTTGTTTTTTGGGGGGTGGTCCACACCCGTTTAACGCGAAGATACTTGGTGCGGGGACCTAAGAAAGGGAGGTTCCTGCAACCGGAATTTCTTTATCTAGGTTTCCGATGTATCCTAAGGTTGCCCCAAGTTAGCAAGGAATCATACCCTTCGACCCTGCATTTGGTTGTAGACGAATCGTTCTGGGACGAAAGGGCCTGCCTTATCATGCTGGAGCTCAGTAGTGAATGCCCCAGGGTTTGGGAATGAACCTGGGGATTCCCTCAAAGGAAACCATAGGGGATGGTTTATAGGGGGCATCCCCTCATTTCCTGCTGAGAACCAGCAAGTTATTCACCGCACCGGGTGTCCCAAAGTGGGTGTCCATTTCGTTGTCCAGCCCAAGTTGGGTCCAAGGGCCATCAGAGAAGTTGGAACCAATCCAACAAATCTTTGGGCATACCCCAGACCTACTGTGGATAGACGAAATCCACAAAACGCACCAGTTGGTAGCTGGTTCATCCCATTATTTATGTATACGTATATATGAATATATTTATATATATATAGGGTTTCATCCATCTAAGTGGTACCAGACCGGGTGAAAGGACTCTTAGCAAATTGAAGCCAGTCGTCCGCAGAGTCCGAGTCAGGCAGCATGCATGGAGCGCTCTCGGTGGGCGGCCTGGCCACGACCTTCACCGCATCCCAAGGACCGGACGTGGAGGTGGTTGTTTCGTTGTTTTTGTTTTTCTTTTTCGGCCTCAAAACGTTCGTTTTGTTTCCCCTTTTTTTTCTCCCCCCGGTCCTAAAATTGGCGGGGTACCACAAGAATGGTGGGCGTCCAACTTGTTGTGGCGGTCCCCCTTCCCCATTTTAGGAGACCCCACATCAGTGAAAGAGAAGAGGAGAGTGAGAAGAAGACGCTACTTTATTCGAAGGCATACACAAGAATGTTGCTTTCGTGCCATGGTGCATGCCCAACTACACAGAACTGACCATTATTGGGAATTCATTGCTGTTTGCGGGAGGCATGCAGGGACCAGATATAGTTTCCCACAAGAGAACAGGGGAGCACCCAATGTTCCAATGTCCACTTGGGGAAGCACATAACTTTGCTGGCAGCTCATTCCAAAGTTTCGGGGGTTCGCTTAATTTTTGATGCATGAAACGCCTTCAACATGCCACTTTGAGTCTGCCTGGAATCCTTAGAAGAGTTCCCCAACAGTGCAGAACTCTCTTGTTGAGGACACATGACCCAGTCTACAGACAACCCAGCAAACAATGGCCCCGACCCATTTGTTTTGCGTATCATTTTTCTGGGCATAGGGGGGCCCAGCCGCCTTGAAGGACTTTTGCTGATGGTTCCCAACATGCCGCTCGCCGGAAGGGTTCCCAGGGCTGTTTTCCGGGATCCCCCGGGCACCTAACTTCATATCGGTTATCTTCTTAACTCATTTTTGCTGAGTGGACTTCAAGTTTCCCGGATTTTTTGCCATTGGGCCACGCTCTTTTCGGGAAGTCGAGTACGCCCCCGAATTGCACCAAGCCACCGCTTGGCTTGGTTTCCGCAGGTTCACCTCCATTGGGTTTACGTCGATGGGCATGCGTCAAAATAGGTGGTGCAAGATCGTTTTGCCTTTTGCCTTCCCTTATTCTTACCTACCCGAAAAGGGAAAAAAAGGAAAGAACAAACAACACACACACACAAATGATCCAGCGGACCCTCATCTCTATGCAGGTATCCGAGATTTGGGCCAAGAATTGATAAAGGGTCCCCTCAAAACGACTTCCTTTTGGTTTCCCTTTAAGTCAACCTTATTTAACAAAAACAGTATCGTTGCAAACATACACCTCTAAGGTTTGATTCCCCATTCTCTTCACCCATCGTTCTTTTAGACACTACCCATTTTCGCAGGGTTTGGCAACCATTGTGTGAAGGATCTCTGAAGAGAATGGGGAGGGTACAGCTAGAACACCCAATTTGAGCAAACGTTATACAAAGGTATCTTTAAACATCCAGAACGACTTCCTGTTGGTTTTCCTTTAAGGCAAAGTATCCTAAACCACACCCACTGATCCCTAGGTACAAGATCGCCGGGGAGCTCATCCCCTGCGTGATGCACGTGGCGGCCCGCGCGGTGGCGGGGCAGGCGCTCAGCATCTTCGGGGACCAGAACGACATTCAGGCCGTGAGGCGCAGTGGGTTGGGAGGGCTTGGGCGTTGGGTGATTTTGAATTTATATATTTTGTGTAGTTTGTTTTTTGGGCATGTGTTCTATTTTGTTGGGGGCTGCGTGTTGGGTGTTTTCCTTTGCCGGTTTAATTTGTTTCGCTTCCTCATGCTCAATACCGAATGACCCAGGGTATAGGGTTGCAAGGGATTGTTTATAGGGGGCATTCCCTTCTTTCCTGCTGAGCACCAGCAAGTTTGATGGGGGGCGTGCTGGACCAATTTGTTCGCTTGTGTTTTTCTCTCTCGACTTTGATATAGCCAATGCGCTTTAAAAAGAATCGCCAGCAACCAACGAGCGTGCCCCTGGTTGCGAACTAGTTCAGTTGATGGCGATGGAAGATGTAGCATGTGTGGCCCAGGAAGACCACAACTACCGTGCCGGAGCCAATGTATGGGCGATTCTCCAAATGGAGGCCCAAAAAAAGGCTGGTTGGCTCTGTTTTCAATGCCAAGAACGGGGTTGTTTCAATTTTGAAACACACCGATGTGAAGCTTGCCGAGCTCCATTTTCAATCAAACCACTTGAGACATAGGGCTTGATTGACCGTGAGTCCTGGCGAGGCGTGATGTGGGGAGGTGTTGAGAGTGAACGCATGCCGCAGCTGTTTCATTTTGCGAACGGGATACCTGAGAGCCAAAATCATTGACTACTTAAAGGGGCAGGGTACTTAGTAAGCGGTTAGAAAGCCTGGTTATACCCCACAAAAGCAATGATTATAAGTCTCCGTTTAGTGGGTTATAGCCAGGCTCACAAACCACTTTCTTGACGTACCCGATCGCCCCTTTAAGTGGTTGGTTGCAGGATGCTTCACATGGTTGGTTTATCGGCGCAACGCTCCAGATCCAAGCTCCGACCTGCAGGTCCACAGGTTTCGCCATCCTCTTCGGCAGCAGCGTGCAGCAGGCGGGATCGATCGATTGGAACCTTTGGTCCCATTTCGCTGTACAAGTTTGGAGAGTCAAACCAACCAGTTCCCCTGCTTTCTCATGGGTGTGTACTTTTCTCGGGTTTTAAAGGGAAACCAAGAGGAAAGCCACATTTGCTTAATGCTTTTTTTTGGGGGGTCCCCCAACAAAAAAGACCCACCCTCACGTTTCCTTTTGAAGTGGGGAAGCCCCTTGAACACCAACAACCAAAAACGGGTTCCCGGGTGCAACGTTTCGTTTGTGTCTCCATCGGATCGACGTTGACCATGGGAGACATTGCTGACTTGCAGCAAAGAAATGACGAATTTTCCTAGGCCACCGGGTCGAATGTTGAAGGACCGGGTTGGGCTTTTCGTAAGGCCACAATTCCAGGGCAGGCGGGCAGGCGCAGCCAGTCCTGTGAGCCTTGGGACTCGGAGTGGACATGCGACAAAGGTCCTAGAAACACATGCCTCTGTGTTTTTACCAATTTTCCTCGTGATAGCTTGGAAATGAATCGGGAATCCTGTTTTGACATGAGCCAAGCATAAGCCCAGCCAAGGAATTAGGCAACTGGAGGCCTTTCAGGTTCGTGTGTAGCCATACCCCCCTCTCCACTTCCCCATTTCCCCCTCCCCAGAGTCAACGCCTCCCAAGCCCTTGAGGCCTTGAGGGGTTAAGGGATAGACCCAGAAAGGGGTCCATTTAAAGTGAGTTTTCCTTGGTGATATTTGCAAGTTGGACACAGAGGGAACCTGGCACCCTGTTTGACCGGGTACCCTCACAGACTTCCCCCACAGACCCCAACCTCTGAACCCCGAACCCACCTTCTCCCAGCCCAAGCGTCGAATCCCTCGTTCCTCCGTCAGTCCCTGGACTTTGCGCTGGCCTCGCACATCGCCACGCTGCGGAGCCGGGTGCCCTTTGTGCACGCCTTCGATGGCTTCCGCACCAGCCACGAGATCCAGAAGGTCCAGGCGCGGCGATCCATGATGTCAATTTGCGGGATCTGATCTGCAGATGCGGAGCGACTGGACGTTTACAACAATATATGCATATATATATATATATATATATGTATATATATATATACATATATATCTATGTATATATGGGTTGATCAACATTCCTGGCCCCCACGTGACCATGGATAACTTTCCCATTTAGTGGGAAACATAATCCTTTGAGGGATTTTCCCCAATGGTCATCAGGTATATGTATATGTATATGTATATGTATATGTATATGTATATGTATATATATATGTATATGTATATGTACGGTTTTCCATATGACAATAACTTTTATGCACATATGCGTAAACACACATACATACACATATGATGCATTTAGTGCATGTTTTCAATTGAATACAATAGCAACATACACACGGAAGATATATACAACATATATGCAGATACACATAATACACAATACATATACGTACATATACATACATGTACATACACATACATATATGTATCTATACATGTTTGGTTTCCATTTTTGCGATCCGCCAGGCCCTGCCCAAGGAGATCTTTGGGAAGGTGGCGGAGCTCCTGGCGCCGGAGAGAGAAGTTTCGGTTGTCGCGGGTCGCAGAGCAGGGCGGTCGCGGGTTCGGTGACCTTGTTCGCTTTCGGTGGGATGCGGATGCGGATGCCCTAATTTTTGCAAGGACTGGATCCTTCAAAACGGCTGAAATTAAAATGTTTTGTCCACTGGAAATGATGAAAGTCCTTGAGTTGGGTCCAAGAAGATTCGCCGATACGTCCGTTGCTGATGTCCCGAACCCTGGACTTATGGACTACATAAATGCGATCTGACCCACAGATCGCAGTTACCCCCTTTCGGAGGGTTTGCCTTTTTTGGTTTCGAACCATGGTTGCAGCGTTGCTTCACCAAAGGCTCGTTTGAACCTGTCTCGTTTTTGGAAGGCAAGGGGTTTACTTGGGGGCCCGTAGACCAAGAGAAACCCGAGGGGGGGGCGAAAACTAGCTTCAGGTTGGAAAGCGCCGCGTTGAGTTTTGAGGTTTGGAAGAAAAGCAGCACTCCCAATGTTGTAAGAGATAAGCGGGGGCCCAGGCGCGGAGTGATCAGAAATCTGACCGTTGGCTTGTTCCATTTGCAAGCATGTTTACAGTAGTTAGGCTCCCAAAGGTGGGCAAGTGAAGGTTGATGGGGCTGCGACCAGCCTTGGTGTTCTTTTGGTACAAATTGCGCGGTAATTTGCGAGCCGCGATCGCAATCCAGTGAGTTGAAGATCAACACTATGGGACAGTGGATTAATATTGGTTGATTCATTGGGGTAGATCCCTCCGTCTTTCTAGGATGTTGGCAAGGCACCACATGGCTCTATTCCACAACCTTTCGCACAAGCAAAGGCAAGCAAACTGCGCGCAGTTTCAGTCCGTCGCCGGTCGTGACACTGAGGGATTGTCAAAAGGAAGCACGCTGTAATTTGGCCCTCCTTGTTTTAAACAGCATGCCAACAGGAAGCCAGCCGAGTTCCACAGAAATCAGTCCACTTGGCGCCTATTTGGATATGTCTAAAATAGGCGACCCCTCTAAAGGGTTGCTCGTTTGTGCTTATCCTCCTGACCCCAAGCCGGGAGAGAAAACAACAAGCATAGAAAATCCAGATAAAGCTGTTTGCCCGCACCCAAAGACCCCCCCCCAGTCCCCATCTCCAAATGTTTCGCCCCGAAAACTCCACGTGCTCGTGTCTCCGATCGGATCGGCGAGGAGATTGACGCACACCGGGCCAGGGGTCTGAACCCGAACCACCCCCACGCGCGGGGCACCGCGCAGTGTGATGACATCTACTTCCAGGCGGTGGAGGCTTCGGGGTGCGAGGGGTGCGGGCAGGGGTGCGGGGAAAAGGGTTGGGAGAATGGGTTCAAACAGGATGTGCGTGTGTGTGTGTGTGTGTGTGTGTGTGTGTGTGTGTGTGTGTGTGTGTGTGTGTGTGTGTGTGTGTGCTTTAGGGGACCTCCACAATCCCAAAATGGGCGAGTTGTCCTGTTTGTTTTCCATGAACACCAGCAAAAACAAGGTGCCCTGAAAAAAAGAGTCGACAGACCCATTTGGCAAAAACAAAAAATTTCGCCTTTGAAAATTCAAGCAGGTTAGCCAGGGTTGGGACCCTGGAGGTGAAAGCCGGGAGAGCCTTTCCCATCGCATCGGTCAGGCGGCCAACAAGTACTACCTGAACGTGCCCCACTTCGTGGAGGAGGCGAGGGAGTCGAGGGACTCTGCGAGCCACGAGCCCGTTTGCGTCCCCCTGAGGTAGCTACAGTTTCACATGGAACTCACCTTTTGTGTTTTGAAAGGAGAACAATTCCTCGAACCACCTCAAACGGGTGTGTCGTTTTGGAGGGTACCTGTGCCCCTTGTTTGTGGTTTTAACAATGCCCGTAATCGTTACGCACTTTCTTCGAGATTCTCTAGGTGTCTAAGGAAGGAATTGGCAAAAACACATATTCGTTCTGGAACATTCTTCAGAGGCAACTCAATGAGGACACTAGGAAATAAGGTGTGAGTCCTTCCTTTTGTTCCTGAATTCCCGATCCGTTTGTTGGGGTCACCCCAATGGGACCACAGTCTACCCAAGCCTGTTATTGAATCCCAGTTACCACTAGGTCTGCTAGTTTGTCGGTACCTTTTTTGGGGTTGGTGTTCAAGGAAGCCAAAGGGGGGAGTAAATTTTAGGGTAGACGAACTATGGAACATACTATGTTTTCGGGGCACGCCAGAGGTGGGCAAAGACTCTTGTGGACCTCGGAAGAAGCGACCTGCTGGTTTATGGGGGGCGGGGGTGACCCACAAGTGATCCAGATCCAACTCCGAAATGGCACAGCTGCTATGTCTTGCAATGCCCCGGGTCAGCATTGCAGGGAAATGGGTGTGTGCTTTTTGAGGGACTAAGCCCCTCTCACCGCTGCTACTTTGGGCGCCCAAAACAGGGGAATCCGTGTTTCCCCTTTGGGCAGTTTGAATATCAGCTTTTAGGCCGCTCGGTGAGTTTCCTGTTGGTGTGATGCTGAAAGAGGAGCCCTTGGTTGGTGGTTTGGATTGCGGCTGGGAAGCTGCCCCCTAACCCTTAAACCACCGGGAAGCTGATACATATAGGAGTGTCTTTTTGAGGTTACCCCGTTTTAGTGGGTGCAAAGGGAAACCAACAGGAACACCGTTGCTCGCCATATTTGGGACCCGGTCCCCTACTTTAAGACACATATAGGGAGCCCTGCCAAAGGAAACGGGTCCGGCTCGCCATTGCGGGTCTTGCTCGCAAGCCACAAATGGGTGTGTCTTAGTTTGAGGTACCCCTTTATGGGGTGGTTGTAAAGGACAACAGCTCACTTGTCCAGAGCAAATCGACCTTTTGACCTAGGTTCCTCTTTTTGGGTTCCCACGTTTCGTCGCGGCCACCCAAAAGCCTTTTATCTTCAGGTCGTTTGGGCAGCGGAGAAAGGGCCAACCCCGGCCAACCCGGAGCATTTTGGTTCCCAACCATTACCCGCAGGCTTTTGGGTTCTTTCGGGGGGGGGTTTAGCGGCTGGGCTGCCATGCAAAAAAATCCGCTCGGATCCGCGGACGGGTCCTTCCAGCGGGGCTCGATGCAACCTTTCGCAGGCCTTCGCCTGGCTCGAGAAGCTGTGCGGCCGCAAGTACGAGCTCTTCGAGTACGTGGGCAGCGGGGGGTCCCAGCGCCGAAGCGAAGCGAAGCCCACGGAAAGAGATCGGGGTGCGAATTTCACTTCGCGCCTGAGCCCTGGAATGATGCTTCCCCCATTCCCCTAGAAGTACCAACGAACCATGGTTTTTCATGGGTTTCAAAGTGGTGCGAGATGGATTTCGCCCATCCGCGGTATGTGTCCGTACTTTGCAAGGGATTTTTGGTTGAGAACGGTGAGAACCTGAAGGGCATCCACAGCAGTTGCTGTGGTATTTTAATTAAGGGTCTGTATTATTTCCGGAATTGGACCGGGCTTTCCTAAAATAACCTCGTGAGTTTCCGCCAAAGATCGGGATGCTTTTTTGGACATGTTCCGGGAACGTAGCGAAGGGTTTACCGGGTCAAAGCCTCCCTAAATAAAGGGCGCACCCGCCGCGATAAGTGGCGGCGTGCACAAGCGGTGTTCCGTTGACACTTTCCATAAGGGCATCCCTTAAGCGATGAAGTAGTGTACCGGTAACCCAACCATGATTAAGAGACACCAAATTTCGAAGCCCAAAAGGGTTTGGGCTACCCTTTGGCCATTTGGATGGGGGGTTTTCCCGGTCGTCAAAGGGGTGGCTCCCATTTTTATGGCCATAAGTCGTTTGGAGGCGAACGAGATGTTCAACGCAACTCGGTGGTTCCCATTGGCTCGGGCAGGGTGTCTCTTCCCTTTTTGGAACCAAAAGCGATCGGTTCCACAGGGTTTCCATGACCCCTCCATTAGCGGGCCCCCCTCCCGTGGTCATGGCATGGCTGTGGGCCGCCAGGCAAGAATGCCAAGTACGTGCTGGTGGTGATGGGCTCCGGAGCCGGAGTGGTGGAGGAGTACTTGCAGAAGATGGGGCCCAAGGTGGGTGTGGGGGGGGGGTTGTTGGGGGGTTTGGGTTGTTTGGGGGCTGGGTGCTGGGCTGAGGGGGCCCAAGGCTCTGAGAGGGGGTTGGGGGGGCCCTCGTCGAAGGGCAGGGCCTGAGCAGTTTCGCATTTTTTTCTCTCATGCGCGGTCCAACAACGTCAATGGTTTGCAGGCTCTCAAACATACTTCCGTTGAACCACATGTTGAACATTTAGAGGCAACTCTGAGATTGTGACTGCAATGGACTCAGTGTGATCATGACAAAGTTTTGGCTTTAAAGTGCCCAACAGACCAGTTCTAGTTCTCTAGCAATTAAATCAAGTGACATCCTCAGATTTACTCCCTACTGGTAGTTTGCAGTTACCATCTCCCGAAGTACTTTTGATAACTTTTTCCAGCTGCAACCACAAGGATGCTACTTCCCTGCACACAAAGTTATTTGTTTCTTCAAGAGGACATCGGAAAGTTTTGGGTGCTCCCTGTGAAACTAGCTGGTCCCTCCATGTCTCCCGCAAACAGCACTAAACAACCAAAAATGCAAAAGAAGGGATGGATCTCTTTTTGGAGAGCACCCCTCAATCGGCCGGGTTACAAATCCGTCAGCTGCACACCCTGTTCCACTTCAAGAATGGTGGTTATGCCTGTTTCTGTTCTTGGCTTTGCTGGGCTGCTGGGCTGTTCTATGAGGCTTCTGGGCTGTTGGGCTGTTGTTGGGTTGCTTTCGCTGACCTGCTGACCTGCTGGGTTGTTGGGCTGTTGGGCTGTCTCACTTTGGGTTCCCGAAGCTCCCCAACGGCTCGACAGGCAAAGGACTGCGGCTGCCTCAACGTGCACCTCTACAGGCCAGAGATCGATGAAACGTGACGGTAGGCCTAGGTGTGGCGTCCTTTTGATCGGTTAGTTTGGTTAAGAATAGACGGGTTCCACTGATTTACATGGGTTTTAGTCCATTTGCCAGGCCAAACTACTTTTCAAGAAGGCCTGCTATGGCGGTGGGAGAAGGAAAGGGTGCAGCGTTTTCTCTGAACATCTGAGGGCACCTCCAGGAACAATGAGAACCCCGGACGAATAAACCCCAGGTTGATAAATAGGGTCTTTTTTTGGTTTAGTGGGGCTTCATTCAGAGACTGTTGGAGGGAACCACGCCCCCATTCACACGAAGGGTTTGTGAATCCGGGGTCAACATGGAAGTAAATGGTTTCAGCTTCCCCGATGGTCCCACGCCCAACTGTGCCCTCATCACTTTAAGAAGCTTCGAGGACAAAAAAAAACAAAGTTCCAGGAGGAACATCGCTTTATTCGAGCTTTTCACCTCCAAAGTGAGGCCTCTTGAGGCTTTTGGGTGCCCTTTTGGATTTGGATTTCGAGTTGGAATTCGGAACTGGATCCAACTGCAGGGGGGTCCATTTTTGGTATTTGTTTGGTGGTTCGAAACATGCCTCGTTTGGTTGCCAGTCCCTTAGGTGGCAGGCATGATGCTCAAAGGGGACATGAGGGAATGCTCTGGAGGATGCGAATCTGAACCACCCCCCTAGAAATAGTGGTCCGTTTCTGCAAATTGACCTTACGAACAATCTAAGACGGGTTTGCTCTGAGCCTCCAAAAGATGATATCAAAACAGGAGGGTAGAATGCAAGAAACTTGGTTTGGGGTCCTAGTTTTCTTTGGTCTCCCCTGCAGAAACGTTCTCTACTTGAACCCAAAGGGGGTTGTTTAATCAATCGTGCTTTCTTCGCAGTTGTTGGATCCTGCTTTTAGTTTTGGTTGGGTTCTGTATTTGTTTTTCCCCGCGGGCTGCAAAAAGCATCCCGTTTTTCGCCAAGCCGCGTGGGTTGGAAAGCTTTGAGCGTTAAGCGCCCGCCCTTCAGCCGTGAGGCCCTGGAGCGAGAAGCACTTCCTGGCGGCCCTGCCGTATCTGGGGTCCATGCGGGCCGTGGCGGTGTGCAACAAGATGAAGGAGGGCAAAAGACGCGGGGGGTTGGGACCCTGGGAGGGAGGGGGTTAGAGGCGTTGGGGGGAGGGGGGGAGGGTCTGGGTGTTGGGGTGTTGGGGGTGGGGGGGGGGGGATGGTCTTTCGACGATTTTTTGGGCATCTAGCACGGACTCCATCTATGGCACGGGTTGGACCTGGAGGACATGTGAGGATTGTGGACCAAGCGCCCGAAATCGGGCCCCTTTCATCTCCCCTGCAGATTAACATGGAGTCAAAACCCCCCAAAAAGAGATGACAAATGGATGGATTTTTGGGCTCCACGTTAACTAATATGCGTTCGTGGCAATGGGTCTCTGTCCGTGGCTTTTTCTACCAAAGGCAGGCTCCCTGCCAGTGCCAGGTTTCCTTGCACGGGGGGTGAGAAACGACAGGCTTCGCTTGCCAAGAACTCCTGCTGGGAAATCCTGCACCAGTAGGCGAATCAGCCGATCATAGGGTTTCATGCGTCTCCACTGATGCATGTTTGGTTTTTGGCCATCTGCAGAGGCTAGAACCACCCGATGAAATGGTGCCCGGTAAGTAATTAAGTCATGTGGGTTTGTCTGAACATAGGACCCCCCCCCCCAAAACGGTCTTTAAACTAACCCAAAAAGGGTACCCTCAAAGAAGACAACCATATAACACCACCCCTTGAGTAGGTCAGACCCACTACAAATTTTATCCATCCACAGTACGCGCATGTTTTCGTCCGCACGTTCTGGCCTTTTCGAGACAGTATGTCAACGCCTTGCTCGCCGCGTCGATGAAGTCTCCCGTACACTCCCCATGTCCTTCAAGTAGTCTCTGACTCGACTAATGTTGACTCGGATAACAAGCCCTTCCTGGTACTGGGGGGGAGGTTGTTGCCCTCCAGTGATGAAGCCCCACTAAACCAGGGCCGCACCCTGAATTGAAATCCACCAGGGGCTTAGAATCCGAGGTTCCCAGTCGAAAGCAAAGCGAAGCCACGCCCTGTCAACCTGGATCGAGGACCCGGCGGCTCATGGAGAGCCCCTCTTCCTGGACGTGTGTCCGGCTCCCGGACTTCGGTTTTCCGCCTGCGATGGCTTTGGACGGTTTGAAAAGAAAAGTCAAGGGAGCCCCCTGAAGGCCATTTAAGTGGTAAGCAAAAAGTTTGGTTGCTTTGTTTGGGCCATCCGCGCAGGAAGTGAGACCGTAGAAACCCTTTTCTGGGACCCGTCCCCACTATGAGACAGAGTCTGAGAATAGTATGTTTGGTATGCTTCGAGTACTGTGGCCAAGGTTCGATTAGGAGGCCCCGCGCATAGTTGTGGACAGGGGCTGGCGCTTTGGTTTTTCTGTGAGTGGCCGCTTGGCAGATGGGAATCCCGCATTGGTATCGCGGCGAGGGTTATTTGGGTGCTGAAAACCATATTTTGTTTTGTTTGCCCAAAGGGAAGCCAGAAGGGGATGGGTCATTTGGGTGCATCTTTTTCGGGAACCCTCCAAAATGGCAGGTTTTGCGTTTGGTGTCCCTTTACCCCCCCCCAACTGGTACCCTCAAGAAAAGACCAACTGCATTTTGTTGCAACCTCCAGACCCCGCCACTCAGAATCCAGGAAGGTGGACCCCGCTCTAAGTTTCCACGTGGATTCGGTTTGCCGTTTGTGTCAGCTGGCAACTCCAGAACGCAGCAATGACGTGATGGTTCCATCCGAAGTATCCCACCTTCTGAGGCTTGGAGGTGCTTTAGAAGTTTGACCCCAAAACCCCCAACTCCAAGTAATGGCCTAAAGGAGCTACCTTTTGTTTTCCTCCCCTGACTCAAAACTCCTTGGGTACCTGAGGTACCTCTAGGCTCCTAGCTCCGCTCAAAGGCCCGCGTGAGACTCGCTCGAGGCACTTCCCTGCAAAGGGCCGGGTGCACCGCCAACGTCATCAACGGCCGCTACGGCGCGGGACCTCGGACTTCGGATGAATCGAGGGGTGGCTGTCGTTGAGGGAAGAAATGAGAGATCTACTTCAGGGCGGTTGCTTTGATGAGCAGGGTTTTTTGTGGATGAATCCGAGGTTGGCGTGATTTTGCGTCCAAGAACCCTAAAAAACCCTAAAGCCCCAAAGAACGAGGTTGCCAAACTCTATGTGTCCCCCATGTGGGGAGGGGCCTTTCGGGGCCTTTCGGGGCCTTTCGGGGAGTGCAATGGTGGCTTCCTCCTTCCGGTTTTTGAGCGCGGACCCGAGAATCGCGCCGAGGCCTGTCCAGCAAGGACTTCACCCCGGGCATGGTGCACGCCATCTACGAGAACCTGCGCTCCAGGCCTCGGGGCTGCGGGCGGTGGATGCGGCAGATGCGGCGGATGCGGCGGATGCGGTGGGTTTGTGGCGGTTGGTCACCGGAGCCCCAAACAATGGGCTCGATTTTCCGACGTAAATGCAGCAAACTCCTTGGGGTGTCAACCATTCGTGGTGCGAAATTTCGACCATTCACAATATGTTAATGAAAGATGAAGCAGAATCTAAGCAAATCTAAGCAGGTCGTTTTCTGTGTACCCCAGATGGCCATAGATAACCGAAGGTCCAGGTTGGAAAGGTAGGTAACCACACAGAAAAACACCTCGATGCACAGACTCAAGTTGGGCAATAGGATCCAACCAAAAGTACCTCACCAACAAAACACACCCTAAAAAAGAAGAAGAAAAGCTGCGCCAGGAAGCCCCAGCATCCCTTTACTGTGGGCCTGGAGGATGCATCTTGGCGTGGGGGAATGGGCGGCTTCCTTGGCACCCCAAAAAGAAAGATGGGGTGGGGTGGGGTCAGGATGATCAAAGAAAAGCATGGACAAATACAGCGCGGCAACTGAATCCGAGGAATCCAACTCGACCAGGAAGCCAAATGGATAAATTTATGTTGGATCGAAACGGTGTCGTTTGTTTTTGTTTTGGAGGGGAGGTGGTGGCCGGTGGGAGGGAGATTTGTGATTACTTCCCTACAGATCAACCTGGGACCCAAACCAAAGAACGAGAGGGTACCCAACCCCTCTTGCCCACCAAACCACCAATTAGAGGGAAGCTGTTCTTTTTTTTGGGGGGGGGTCCATGGTCCATGGACAAATCTGCAGAGGTACTCTTTGGTTGTAAACTGGGTCGCTTTCCCAAGCGGCGTGCCTTGCCTGTTCTGTTTTTGCGCCTAGATGGCCAGGGGTCGGCTGCCGAATCTCTTTTGGCCGGTCTGTTCTGAAAGGCACCCCTTTCTTATCTTGGGTTATGAAAGGGGTCACGGGCAAGCCTTGTTCGTGGTTTTCCCTCATAGCCGTCTCCAGGAAGTTCATCACGTTGCCGCACATCCTGAGAAGGTGCATCAACCTGCGCATTTGTCTCTCCGAAACGCACATCAAGACGGTCCATCTGAAAGGTAAACATGCGGGTACCTGCGACATTGTCCCCATGCAATGAAAATGTCATCTGCGCACATGCTGAGAGCTCGCAAATTGCCATCATGACTGAAATCAAACTAGTCAAATCGTAAAAGCTGACATCACTATCTGAATATTCAGAAACCGCGGCAACCCTTCTCACATGCGAATTTGCAGAATTGGCTGAGCTGCTGACGTCAATGATTCCATGGCCGTAGACTGGACCGCTGACTGCTGCTGACGGTGCAACGCATGGGGCCTGTGTTTGACCTGCCCAAGAGCATTTTCAGCGCGTCTGCAGTATCTTGCTTTGATCCCGCTTGAATGCATAGCAGTCCTTCTTCCAGTGACCACGCTTACTGCAATACAAGCACTCATCACCCTTTGCAGCGCCTTCTGACTGAGAGTCCTTCTTGCCGAAGTCCTTGCTCAACAATGAACCAACTCCCGTAACTCGCAATGCCACTCCATTTTGAACAGCCAAGTTATTTGGGTATGTGTCGAAATGGGGATTTGGACCCCCAAACAACTTCCTGAAACAAAGGGGCCCTCGCACGCTTCGCCATGCATCTGCCAATTTAGCGCGCTCACCTGGTAGCACAAGATTGCTATCATTCCTGGCAGGTTTATGGCCATGCCAGGTTGCACGTGTTGGCTGGGAGAGGGGCAAGACGGGGCAAGCCCCCATTTGTAAGTCATGTTTGGGCACCTCCGGTGGGGTGGGTTCAATTTTCGCGATGGTCTCCGGAAGGACACACGGTGCGATGGCTTTTTCCCTTTCCAAGTCGTCCCCCAAGGCAGCCTTTCCTCCGGAGAGTGTATGGGGGGGGACCCATTCAATGCACGCAAAAATATAAAACTTGTTGCCCTGGATAGGTGAAGCCCGGTTGATAAATCACCAATCCCAACTGGTGCGAAACGGATTTTGTCCATCCACATGACATATCCCACTCAGATATCTATCACCTTGGCCGCGGACACGGCCAAAACCTCAAGAACGCCCAAACCCCGAAATCACCAAAGCCCAAAGCCCCAACCCCCCCCCCCCCCCCCACCCCCAAAAAAATAAGGAAGAAAAGAGAAGCAACAACAACCCCACCTTCAGCCAGCGGTTTGGAAACAAGAGGTGGGCCAAACGCAACATGATCAACATGTTACCCCAACCCCCCAACCACCCTAACCTGTTTACTCTTGCCAAACCCCCAATATATGATACAAACAAAAAAGGGGACGGACAACTGCGCCGTTTTTCCAGCCCCCGGTATTAGAAAACGCAGAGACGTTGAAACCAAGCTTCCATTTGCTTAAGAATATGGTTTTCCCTTGTTGGTTTTAAAGGGAATCTATCACTTCTGGACATATTTTAATTTTTTCCTGGGGGCTTCAGCAAATGGAAGCAGCCCGGCGACTCCACGCGTGGACCGAGGACATCACCCACTACTCGCTGCCCTACGGGCGCCTGGAAACGGTGCCGGAGACCACCAAGCAGTGCATCTTCTGGGGTTTCGGCAGCGCGCCTTGCCTAGGAACCTGGCTGTGGTGGTCAAAACCGTTCTGGGATCCCTTTTGTGGGGATTGGGATGTTCACTGAGGGTACGATTTGGATTTTGACCCATGGCCACCTCTTAGCTCGGCTGCGGAGGCTTTCCCGCTTTTGGGGAGGAGTCCCCTTGGTCGTTTTGTTTTTGGGAAGTTGGGACCCCCCAAAATGGCCCTGATTTTTTTCTCGTTTGCCTCTTGCCATTCTTGCCAACCAAGAATGAACAGGGTTTCTTTGACAGACCCATACGGCTTGACCCCCCCAACACAAAAAAGGTGGTTTTTGTTTGGGCCCCCGTCCCAGGTTTGGCTTAACGTGCCGTGGATGGACAAATTCCAGCACCACCTAGGAACGATGATTCCCCTGTCAAATCCCAACAAACAGTGGTTTGAACTATCAAGCAATGTTTCCAAGTGGTGCATTTTGAGTTGCGTCCATCCGCAGTGGGGGGGTACCCGGCAAATGTTGAAATGTTGGTTTTCTTGTTTGTTTTTTTGTGTAGAATCATCCGAACAGGAAAGGCGCGCCCAGATGGGTCTTTGATTTAAGGGTAGGAGCTTGTACCCTTTAAGTAACCGAAGCGAAGCAGCCTGGTGTCCGAATCCCAACAGTTGAACCCAAACCCCAACCTGACCAAGGGGGTAGTTCAGGGCCCTAGAGTTCCTTAGAGTTCGCCGTAGGGCATCCCCCCCTTGGAACACCCCGTTTAGGGCTCCATACTTGTTTTTGACATGCTCCCCCCCCCCGCCCGGCCCAAAAGATGAGTTGAGTTGGCTGCCTCGTAAAATGATCCCAGAATTTGAGGCTCCAAAAAAGGGTCGGCTTCTTGAAATGATCTGACCTTTGGGTTGCATTTAGGAATTCTTCAACATAAACCCCCCCCCCCCCCAAAGACAACATAATGTGTTGGTTTCCTTGCTAAGATGGTCGGCTTTCTTCAGCAAAACGGATCCGTTTCCTTGCAAGATGCTTAGAATCCTTTGAGAACGTCGGTTCCATTGTACTGAAATTCTTGGGTCAGGTTTCCTTGTTCGTTCCTTTGAAACCAAGCAAAGTGTTCGAAAACAGTCTTCCCAACAACCAGGCACACGCAGGGCTCATGTCCACTTTTGACACGGAGCGTAGTGCTTAAGCAACGCCCGTTTGGTTGCGGCAGCATCATTGGCCGTTTTGATGGGTAGAAAGACCTTGGTGGGGACCGCAGGAAGTAATATGAACCGTCAAACACTCTGATCAACGGATGCCCGGCTGACTGGTCAGCTCAATTTGGTCGATGCGGCGTTTCCGGTTGGCCAGCAGAGTGGGTACACTTGCCAAACGGGAATGTGTGCGAAGTGCGCCTGGGAGTCAGCCACCCATGGGCTCCAACTATGTGCCCCTTGTCCTTTTTGAGTGGGGTTGCATTTGAATTCAACCGACCAAAAGCCTTTAAGGGGCAACTGAGACCCTGGTTCTCCCCAAGGAATCCTTGTAATTCTCAAGGCCTAAAGGGGCAACTGAGAAGCTGGTATTTGTTGGGCTATGTTGGGCTTGCTCGCAAGTGGCTTTCCGGAGTGTAGCATGGTTGCGCCAGGCTGGCGCCTTTTCGCCTTTCAGGTAGCTCTTAGTTGGGGTTTGGATTGGTGGTTTGGATGGTTGGATTCGAACTTCCCAGGTTTTTGCAACGGGGAATTGGGGGTTTCCGATCCAGTGGGTGGGAGGATTCGACCCTTGTCCTTTTTTTGGAGGGATTTTGTTCCCAACCCTCAGGGCTAACCTGAGGATGGCACCGTGGGCGCCAACAAGAACACCATCAAGATCATCGCACAGCCGCTGGGCAAAAGGTGCCCAATTGGCCAAGACTGTAAGGAGACTATATGGGGGGGGTCTAGTCAGAACGTATGTTGCTTGCAGATTGCCTCCAAAGTCGGAGGTAGCATCGCCCTTCCAAGGCATTCAACCCCCTGGTTAAGAGGCCTTGAACGAGTAAGAGTCCAAACCAAGCTTAGAGTTTCTACAATACTACTGCCTGTGTACGACACTACTGCGCCAGGCGCAGCACCTAAGAAGGCGTGTGGACAGAACGGCAGCAATAAGACACTGCCAAATCACCAAGATGGGCTTCACAGGCGCTGACCGTGTTGCAATGAACCACGACGAACTTTCAGAAGTGTGCCTGCAGCGTTTTTTTTCTTTTCTTTTTTTTTCAGACACCCCCATCTTGGCGCAATGGGGTTGCTCTTGGTTTACAACCGCCCAAAAAGGGAGCCCTCAAAAAAGAGAGACGCCCATGTAAAGCTCCTTTCAGGTGGTCACCTTTTTTCCTGTCAGTGTAACTCTCCTGTTGGGTTGTCCTTGCTTCCCAAACTGGTGGCTGTGGGCCAACCAAAACGAGGCTCTGGAAATTTCATGCTTGTTGACCATCGGGCCAAAGAAGAAGAAATCTGCTCAGAAAAGTGTTCGTTTCACTCGCTGAACATGGTTTGACCGAAATAACATGTTGAGCCGTTGCATAATGGCCATGAAGTTCGATAGGGAACCGCCTATCCAAAAGTCGCGGGTGGACACAATCCCCAGCTAAATGGTGCCCACCTCAGGACCCCACATTGAACTCCAAGCCCAAATCACGAACACACCCAATACTTGGTCCCTGAGATCGTGGACTCCTTCAGTCACTTTTGGGGGCGTTGTTGCCACTTTAGTCGCATTCCCGAAAAGTTTGGTTACTTGGTTTGGCCAGTCGACCCAGGAAGTGAGAATTGGCAAGTGTGGACATTTCTGCAGGTTTGAGCCAAGCCCAGGTGCTCGGCTAACTTTTCTCAACCTGGAGGGCCATTGGCTTGGTTTGGTGGAACACATCCCAAGCTAAAAAATGTTGGTTTTCCTCTTTTTTAATACCAAGACAAAGTGTGTGTGTGTGTGTCGTTTATTAAGGGATCCCAAATTTTTGGTGGTTTCTTTTTAGTGTTTCTTTAAAACCAAGCAAAAAGGTTGCCCTCCAAAAAAAGACACACCCAAGTGAAGGCAACCGCATCATCTTCCCCATCGTTCGCCTTGGTAAGGAATTGGGATTGTTTTCTCAGACAGGCCCAATGTGATGTTCCACCAAACGTTGACTCATGTTTTGTTTCAACCAGGCCAAGACAGGATATGGGCGTGTCTTTTTTTCAGGACCCCCTTTTCGGTGGGTGATCTTCAAGGGAAGTGCAAGACACACCGAAAGTGTTTTCTGCTTGAGATTGTTTGACCCCCCGATTGCTAACCATAAAGTTGGACCTGCGAGGGATTTGTTTGTTTGCAAGGGTCCAAAAGGCAAAGGATTTAGAAGTTAGTTTAGAACTTGAACAAAGTTCAGCTTGACTTTGGGAATCGACACGCTTTGGATGGAACCGATTTTTGCCACTTGCCGGGGTCGAAACTTGAGATGAATGAGCACATTTCCTCGCTGGCTGGTGCCAGTTAAATCTCCCAGCTGGCTCCTTTACGCTCCGTTGTGTGTTGAAAACTGATAACCCTGGCTCAGTTGCGACGGCTACCCCTTACGTATGGGTTCTAAAGGGAAGCCAAAAGAAAAGCCGCCAGTTTAGGAGCGGGGGTCCCTAACAAAGACACCCAAATGTGATGTTAGCAACCCTGTCGCAGGAATCCCTCTCGTTGACGGATCCCTGTTGCCTCAGTTTGGAGGAAGCTTCTCCCTTAGGCCTTGAGCGGTGCTCTTGAAAACTCGGGAGTACAAGGCTGTACGATTTGCTCAGTCGCTTAAAGTTGGATTGGCGAAGCTGATGTTTGGCTGAGAACCCTGTGCATCTCAAAGAGAGAAACGGGACCTTCCATTTGCCGAAGTGTTTGTTTCTATCCACTGTTGGTTTTGTAGGGATTCTATGGCTTCTGGGCATGTTCTAAAGATGTTTGTTCCAGGGGGCTTAAGCAAATGGAGGGTACACTTCGCTTGACGCGTCGAAAGCGAGGCGAAGAGGCAAGCGAAAGCGCCGAAAAGCATGACTCGAGCATGCAAAGCGTTTGGGTATTTGCTCCTATCTTTGGGCAGTGGGCTATTTTGGGCCATATGGCATACCAACCGAAAAGAGGCACTTTCCATGAACGACCAACAGCCGGAAGCGCCGGAAGCAGCCGATGGCCGTAAGGAACACGCCGCTCTATGCACAGGGCTACTTCAAGTATGATGCGCTGAAGTCAGGCGCGGAATGTGAAGTGGATTTGGTCGAAAAACATGTTGATTTTCATTTAAGCAATATTTTTGCAGGTATGAAAGCTACCTACCTCGTATGTTGGAGTTTTACTTGCTGTTTGCCAACCTCGTGTGGTTGGTACAGTCACATGATTGTAGTGGTAAACCGGTACGTAGTAATTTTGTGGCCCCTGGCAACCCGTGGCAACAGGCAACATGTAACACGTGGCAAGTGTCTTTTCTTCTTAGGATCGGAGAAGTTTGGTTCGGAGTGGGGCTGTCTGCATTGAGGCACATTCACAGACACAGAACACAAAATACAAAAACGGGGAACTTCTATTTTTGGGGTGGGGGGTCAATTTTGCTCACGTGAGCTTGGTCTCCAAATTGGGCTTCCACCCCTCAAAGTGGGGCCAAAGGGGTGCCAAGCAAAGAAGGATCCCATCCAAATCGTTCGGAGACCTTTAAAAGAGGGATGTGGACAATCATAAGCACGAATACTAAGGGGGGAAAAGGCCCAGGTGGTATCCTCAACAGGCCCAGAACTCCCTGGATCCCGGAACCTCCCTCCCTCAAAAGCCCAAGCCCGACAAAATCCCATGGCTTTCAGCTGTTGGGGCATAACCATCTCGCAAGCCCTTTTTTTGGGTCTTCTTTTCCTGCTCATTGGGAAGCGAGACTTGGTGGATTTCATGTTGGTTTCCTTTCAGAATGGACCAAGACCGGCCTGCATTTCTTGTATATGACACATCCTACCAAAAGTCGACCTTTCAGCATGAATAAATAAACACCAAGACATGACGCAAGGACTACCCTTTTGGTCGCAGGGCTTTGTTTTAACCCTTTTGGCTCCCCTTTTGGCTTCCCTTGTAACCAAAAGAACGGGGGGCACTCTCAAACTCTCCGAGCCGATAGGCGGCGTGACCATCAGCCATCTGCGCTTCGGGCCTGAGCCCATCAAGGGCAGCTACTTGATCGACGCGGGGTGCAACTACCTGGCCATCCACAAGAAGGCGAGCGGATCGGACGGATCGGTCGCTGGAACCCTTGGCTGGTTTTGAGAGATGGGTTGACGCAACCCCACTATTAAAGTGGTTGAATCAGTTCCTGTTTAAGATGTTGCCTTCTGTTTGCTGAAATGAAGCTCTTTTTACTTTCCCCTCTTGGTTTTAAAGGGAATCGAATTCACTGCTGAAAATAGTTTCTCGTTTTTCCAGGCAGCTTGAGCAAATGGAAGCAGTAGAAGCCCTGGTTGATTAGGGGAGTTGAGGGCGCAAGTTGGAATAACCCGCTGTTTGAGTTTGATGTGGAGGGGGGAGCAATCCATAAATCCGGATATCACTTTTGTAAGCTAACACCCTGTAAAAAATGGATTCCTGTGAATCCGTGTGAAAACTGTGGGTGACAATGAGCAGACAGGGTGCCCTCATATGGCACAACTCTCTTCTGGCAGGCCGTGGAAATGGAGTCGTTTTGTTGGTGCGGGGGGAGGAAGGGGGTGGTGCCCTTGTGTTCCTCTACATGAGTTCCTCTAATGTGCTTTGTTGGGTTTCCGACTTTCCCACCAAACATGGTCAACTTAAGAGGAACATCCCTTCCCAGAGCTGAGGGTTTCCTTGTTTCCTTCTTTCCCTTGTTTGAAGCTTTAAAGTCAACAGGCCACTGATTGCCCATTGGGGTGTTTCTCACAGCAGGTGGTTGGCTTCCTTTTGCTTTAGCGCATCACAGATTTCGGGGCACCTCAAAGTGAGTAGCCCCAGAGAATCTCAGAGAACACATCGCGGCTCCGAAGTCGGCCAAGCATGTTTCTCTTTGACACATCATCAGGGTCCCTCGGACGAATTTGGGCCAGTTCAAGCATGGTAAAACCTCTGGTTCGCACGTGGCCAGGAGTACATCTTCAGCTTCTTCGCGGATATCCTGCTGGACCCCCTGGCGGACGGAGGCGCGGCATTTTGTTGCGCGGAGGTTGGTTTTTGAGCAGAGACATCCCGCCGGGCTGTGACCTGGAAGCTCCAACTTGTGACCTGGAATGGAAAACTTGGATGGGGTTTTGCCATGGGAGGAGACTTAGGGTTTGCTCAACACTTGGCTGAGGTGCTTAGTGGGGTTGGCAACGTAAAGGAGCCGCGTTGATTTGCCTAGGTCACTGAGATGTTTTCAGGCAAACCCAACTCCAAAAGGGCACCCAGAGGAGGTTTCTAGGGAATTGGTTTATCTAGGGGCTTAGGGCGGGCTTGTCATTAAGGGGCCCCTATCCCTACCCCTACCCAGACAGCTTTGTTTGGGGCTTCGGTGAGTAGACCTCAGGTTTTACTTGCTTCTCAGCATCTGGGAATGACCTGCAAACCATTCCCTACTAAAAGCTAATTCGTGAAGTGATACAGGGTTATTCCCAAACATTTAGTTTTGCTTTCTCCCTATTGTTTTTTGTTCCACAGAAATCACAAAATCAGACCCCTGGGCCCGAACATGGGGCAAACAAGAAATAAATAGCGAATGTTTGTGATAGTGGCTTGTTGGTCTGTTTGTTTGTCTGTCTGTCCCTCCGTCTGCCTGTCAGTGGGTCGGTCAGTTGGTGTGTGTGGTTTGTGGAAAGCAGCATGCCTGGTTTCGCCATGGGGGAAGTTATCCTAGAGTCCTAGAAGAATGGTAGAGCTGCAAGTCATCGGGTGTTGGGTCCCCAATGCTCAGACAGTAAGTCGTGCCCATTTGATGACCGCTGCTCTGGGTGTTCCCGGCAAACGGAGCCCCCAACAAATGCGAACACAAGTTGCCCTAAACAAATACTCAAAGAATAGGACAGACATCCCTGAACAAGCTTGAAATGCTGTGGATGGACGAGATCCTGCACCGCCTAAGAAACCCTGAAAAGATGATTCCCCCTGTAAATACCAACAAACAATGGTTTCCCATGGTTCAACGTGGTGCAGGATTTCGTCTATCCCCAATAGGGAACCCCTGGCTTTTGCTTGGGTTCCCCTCTTTCGGGCCTGTGGATCTTTTTTTGACCCCTGACAAAACGGCAATCTAAAAGGGCCCCGATCGATTTGGGTTCGTCTCGAACTAGGACGGTTTCCAGCAAGTGCGCACAATCTATGCCAGGTGGGGCTATAGACAAAATGGCCACAAAGAGCGTATAGACAAAATCGCCTGTAGTCCTCGTCGTCCTCCGGCTGTAAGCAGCTAAACAGGGCACCGAGCCTCGACTCAAAAGACACCCATTTCAGCGGGAACAAATCCTCCAGGTACCTTGGTGCTCAATTGCCCATGGACCGACGCTGCACCCTGGCCGAGCCCAAAGTCGGGTTGACCAGCTCTTTACCGTGGGGAACATGGGTTCGGTATGGTCTCAACCAAGAGATTTGGACCCCACAAACATGGCTTCTGTTTTCCTTTGGCTTTTCTTTAAAACCATCTCAAAGGTGCCGAAATACTGTGAATGTATCAGTTGGGATGCATGAACGGGATCTGCTTGCCAACTGGTGCAAAATGGCTCTGGTCCATTCACCCCCAAAATGGCCCAAAATGGCTTTGGTGTTCCTCTTCGGCTGCCATTGGGAAGACTCACCTGTCACTTGCCTCAGTTGGACAACTCTTGGACCGTCCTAGATCGTGGCATCGTCCAAAACCAGACGGGTCACGGGGGTCACTGGATTTCTCCTTCAGTTGCAATCTACTGGTGGTTTCTACTAATGCCACTTTTGGAGGCTCCAGAGAAGGCAATGGAGTAAACCCTGAACAAGGGCGGATGCCAGTACCTGGCTGGGACAGTCCCTCAACCTTCCCTTACTCGAAATTCAATTGTGGCGCTCGTGGGGTGACTGTACTTCCTCCCTGTGTTGAGGTGTGTTTTCGTGAGGATATGATGTTAAATGATAATTCAGAGCACTTGTTTCATCAATTGTGCTTTGTCAAGAAAAGACTCTATAAGCCGACTTGATTGAACAAAACACATTTAGTAGGCTGTTCACCCTGGTGAAACAGAGAAAAGGGGACCCAGGAGTAGTAAAGGATGTATCTATTTTCATAGCGGTGCCCCTGGTTTTAGTGTGGGTTACTGTACACTTTTTTGATGGGTTTCCACCCTTAAGAAACAAACGTGTATTGGTCGGGGTCAACATCTTCGGGAAGTCCCTCTTCTGGGAGTTCCTTCTTCCTTTTTTTTCTTCAAACGCGGGCGTGGCTTTGAAGGACTGCTGAAGAGAGTTTTGGGGGCACCCTAGATGAATAAACCACTTGAGTAACACTGGTTTAAGAAGGAGAAGTCCCATTTAAGAGGGAATCCGGAAAACTTCTAGGAACAGCCGCTAATCCATAAGGGTCGACATGCTTCCGATACTGAGCATATATATATATATACATATAGAGAGAGAGAGAGAGATAGGGCTGGCATGTAGATGGGCGTACTTTGTTGAGGCCACCATTCTCAAGAAGTGTTTTTTTTGGTTTTAATGGAAACCAACAGGAAGCCACTGATTTGGGGGGTTCCCCCTTTGCACACATTCCCAGGTTCTGAGTTGTTTTTTCTTTGGGCCCTGCTGTTGGTGAGTGCCTGTGCTGTACATGACGAGCCACAAATTGACCGTGGCTCGTGTAGGTGACTCTTTGTTTGTTTGTTTTATGAGGGTACCATTGTTGGCTTTCGTTAGCGGTGGTTAAATGAAACCAAAAGGACAACCCCGCCATTTTGGGGGGTTTATATTTTGACACATTGCCAGATTAATGCTGTCAAGGCCCCCCCAAAAGGCCCCCACCCCCCCAATACCAATCGGGGCTTCTAGCAGCACCCAATAGTGCACAATAAGGTCTATTGGGGTCTAGTATGCCCCCAGCACACTGCAAGAAGAGTACACTCATATCCTCGATCTTCCAGAACCTTGAAAACACAGCTGAGCCATTTGATTCTACGAGGCAAATCAAGAAGGACCCTGTTTTTCAGCGTCCTTGGAAGTCCATTTTGCCCACCACGCGTTTTATTTCTGTTTGAGGAGCTCGAGGAGGTGTTGCCACCGCCCTTCCGCAAGATCATCGGCGAGAAGAAGCTAAAGGCGAGAGGTTGATTTTGTGGCCCCCGTTTTCGTGGTGATGTGCGTCCCCAAGCCCATCAAACCTGTAGGATCGTTTTGGGTACGTATTGTTATTTTTTAGAATCAGACATACTTTTCCAAATGGTGGCGTTGTCCTTTTGGTTTCACTCCAACCCCAAAAAGGGTACCCTCAAAAAGACGCGCAGCTCAAGTCGTCTCTCACGCTCTCACAATTCCATTGGCGCAGCGGCGACCGCTGTGCCTTCATGGCTTTTGGGAGGGTCGGCTTAGGGTTAGATTAGGAGGCTGGGGTTTGGCTTGCTCTAGGGTTGTCTTAGGCTTAGGGCTGGTTTAAGGTTGTTTGCTTGCTGGCGGCTGGCTCAGGGTTGTTTGATGGCTGGTTTAGGCTTTGGGTTGGTTTAGGGTCGGTGTAGGGTTGGTTTAGGGTTGCTTGCATGCATGCTTCCTTGCTTGCGTGCTTGCGTGCTTGCTCTCTTGCTCGCTCGCTCGCTTGCTTGCTTGATTGCTTGATTGCTTGCTTGCTTTTCTCGCTGGCTGCTTGGGTTTAGGGTGGGTTTAGGTTTGGTTTAGGGTGGGCTTTGGGTTGGGTTAGGGTTGGTTGCTTGCTTGTTTCCCTGCTTGCCGGAACGCAGTGGAAACAAGTGCTCGTTGCAGTGGAGAAAGACTTCCCGTAAAAATAGCTCACCCTGTAAACCACCATCCAAATCCATATGAATGCACGAGTGCTTTTTGATTTGCGCAGCCATGTTTGCTCGCAGAGGAACTGATGACCCCCCCGCTGCCTTTTTTTATTTTTATTTTTTTTGGCCCTAATTGAATCATCACTTCTTCAATCATCATGGGGGGGGCTGCCGACCCCCCCTCATCATGCGACCGCTACTTTTTAGATTCTTTGCCCCTAATTTTTTGATCATCATGGGGGGGGCTGCCGCCCCCCCAACCCCCCCGCTATTTTTTAGACTTTTTGCCCCTGATTGAATCATCACTTTTTCGATCTACAGGGATTAGTTTGCCCGTATTTGAATCCTCACTTGTACCATGAGGCCTTGCCGCAGAGGAACTGATGCCCCCCCGCTGCTTTTTTTTTGTTTTTTGTTTTTTTTGGCCCTAATTGAATCATCACTTTTTCAATCATCATGGGGGGGCTGCCGCCCCCCCCCAACCCCCCCGCTATTTTTTTTCTTTTTTGCCCTTAATTGAATCATCACGTTTTCAATCATCATCCCCCCCGACTTTTTGCCCCTGATTGAATCATCACTTTTTCGATCATCAGAGGGGCTGCCCCCCCCCCCCCCCCAGCCCCCCCGCTATTTTTGAACTGTTTGCCCCTAATTGAATCATCACTTTTTCGATCATCATGCGACCGCTACTTTTTGGATTCTTTGCCCCTAATTTTTCGATCATCATTGGGGCCCCGCCCAAGGGGGGCTGCCCCCCCCCCCCCAACCCCCCCGCGCCTTTAATTGAATCCTCACTTTAACCATGAGATGCCACTTTGCTGGTGATGCCGGGGATGTTGGCTGGACATGCGGGGGATGTTGAAAACGATGCTGATGATGTTGACGGACGCGTAAAAGACGTACATGTCGCGAGACAATTCTGTAAATTACAACATTTTAGTAGCCAGGACGGAAAACAAAAAAAAATCAAAAAAACAAAAAACAAAAAACAAATTAAATCTCGACCCATCAAACCACCCCCCAAAGCAAGTGAACCAACTCTAAACCAACCGTAAGCCAGCCCTAAACCCTAAGCCAGTTCTAAGCCAAGAAAGACTGACCCTGAACCGCCTTAAAGCAACCCTAGACCACCAAGCAAACCCTAAGCAACAGCTACACCAGCCCTGAAAAACCAACCGCAAGGCCAACGCCACGGTGGAAAGGAGTATTCGTTGCTCAGAGGAAACGAAAGGGAAACCGACCTGTATGGAGGTCCGACTATTTGAGACTCAAACCTATGGAACTCTGCCTATCTTATTGCGAGGTCTCTTAGGGGCCACTATGAGGTCCTGAACTTGGGGATCCCTTGTTTCAGGTTCGAATTATGATAGGATTTTGCAGATGGAAGTGGGCGATCGGGGGCTTTGGAAGACTGTCCTCTTGAAAAGGCCCCAACTGTCCACTTCTGGTAGCTATCTAGGCCTGCTCCGAATCCATGGCCCTTTGGGTAGAACACTGGCCCTGAAACCAAAGGAACCCAAGCGTGTCAAAACAGCCGCTTGGTGTTTGACGCTGTGCTGTGTCAGATGGAATCGAGCAAGTTGGAGAAGGCGAGCGGCTATTGTTGGCTCCTTTGGTTTGCCATGTTGGCCGGTTGCCATTGCAAGGGCCTCGAAAGCCAACGGCTTCGAAAGCCAATCGTTGGCAGCCCAACTTTCATAGGATCCAAACCCCGAACCCCAACCCCAAGCCCTCCTGTTGGTTGCCTCATAAAAAAACGAGCGCAACAAACCCCGAAATCCAAACCCAAACCCGGCCCCCTAGGTTCCTCCAAAGATCGCAGTCCCGTTCCCAAATTTTTGCCTTTGACCACGGCGAGCGCAGGTGAGCGCCATCGACGCCTCAGCGGTGGCGAAGCGCACAGGCGGGTCATGGGCTTCTCTTCTTGTGATTGTTGTTTTTTTTGGTTTGTTTTCTTTCATCTTTTTTTTGAGCAGCTAGCTAAAAGGGAGCCAAAGGCGTCCATTTATTCGTTTTTGGGCGGTGAACAAAATCCCAGTTTTTCAAGCCGCTGTTCTTTGTGGGTGCAAACCCCTATTATTTCGCCACATGGCAGAACATGGCACGGAGTCCCGTGAAAACCACGAAAAAAAGGGCGTTCGGGCTCCGCAACAAGACAAGCCGCCCAGCTGTTTGTCGGGGCCAGGCATGGGGAAGTTGATCAACAACATCATGACCGCGGTCTTCTTCGAGCTCAGTGGGGTGCTGCCGACTGAGCAGGCCTTGTCCTTGCTCAAGGACGACCTTTTCGGCTGAAGGGCGCGGAAAGAAAATCCGTGGATCTCGGAATCCGTACTTGTTTGAGTTGGACCCCGAACAAATGAGTGTTTTTTTGGCTCTTGTTGGTTGGTGTTTGAGGGAAACCAACCGGAAAATCACATTATTTTTTTTTGAGGGGGTCCCTCAAAAGAAGACACGCCCACATAGAGGGAAAGCTCGACCCAAACCCTGTCCCTTGGCGGTGTGGGGGATTTGAACCGGTTCTTGTACAGGGTACATGGAAAACCTCGAAACCGGGCTCCAAACGGGATAGCGTTTACTTCCCAACGTTGGCTTTAACGGGAATCTATGACTACTGGATGTATTTTTCTTTTCTTTCCACTAGCAAACGTGTGGGCGAATGGCAGGACGCTGTGAAGAAGACCTACAAGAACAAGGGCGACGCCATCGTCAACCAGTGCCCGGCCTGGATTTGTTTTCTTCTTTTATCTCTCTTCATAGGTGAGAGGTTTACCCCTGCTTTTTTGGGGAACCCCCTGCGAAAAGCGAGTGTTTTTGGGGTGGAGGTTCCAGCGAGGGTGCAGTCAATCGCCGAGAAGCCATTGTTGTCAAGTTATGCAGATGGGTTTTGCCTCGGAAGATGGCTGGCAACACAATCCGCAAAAGACGCACCCGTCTGAGCCATGGTCAAAACGTGTCACCGATGGGCAATTTGGGGTTTGGGACAAGCGTGTTCACCAAGTATCCCACCAACACCAGGGGGATACAAACATAAGATCATTTTTGGTGAGGTTGTTTAAAACAGATGGCGCTGGTTTAGACGGTTTTTTACTCCATTTACCAGGGCCATCAAAAAATCCCAAAGGCCACCTATGGTTCCGAACTGTTCGATTGCAGCCCCAGCGCTTGCGATCCACATGAATCACCGAAGGGTTGCTTTGATCCTACTTTGGATGAGCGACAACCATTCCGCACCACTTTGAAGCCAAAGCGAAACTATTGTTGTTTTTGGGTATTTGCAGGGGAATCATTTCAGGGTCTTTAGGTGGTGCGAAATGGGTTTCGTCCATCCACAGTATTGGCTGAAGGTGATCTATCGATTCCCAGCCCAACCGTGGCCGGATGAAGTCTTATCCTTCGCGCCGCTTAGGATAGATGAAGCCCCATAAATCATGGCTGATAAGCCATATAAACCGCCAATCCCAACTGGTGCGTTTGGTGGATTTCGTAGCCATCCGCGGTATGACTGGAAAGTATGCGTTCTTTTGGGTGGCAACTGAAGCAGAGGGGAACACCAAGAGCATCCGACCAACAAACGGACTCGTGTAGCCCGCTTGAATATGTGTTCTTGGCTTCTTAAAGCCAGGTTTCTCAGATCAAGGCATGAGCAAGGTAAGCCCGGGAACCCCCAAAAAAACAGAGAGGAATGACATGTGTTGGCGAAAGAACCACGCTGCCAAACAGCTAACAGGGTCTGCTCCTATGATCATGACTGAATTAATTTGGTTTTGGGTGTGATGTCAGCCTGGATATTTATCCACCTGGCGAATGGGGGGGGGTCGTTTGTAATGGGACACCTTCCTACGGGATATGAAATCCTCTTCTCGCCCCGCAGTTCAGACACCCAAGGGAATTCCCCGACGTAAATACCAACCAATCAAGTTTCCAACATGGTTTGAAAGTGGTGCAGGATTCCGGCCACCCACAGTATTAATCAACCCAATCTATTTGTTTGGTGGGGGTTCTGAACCTCTTGGGAAGGAACGGGCGTTTTGATCCAGTTTCCCGCTGGGTTTGTCAGTTTTGGAGTTCCTTTTGTTTCCTTCTACAACCCCCCTTTCGTTTTCCAAAAACATGCTTTGGAGTTGAACGCAGGACCAGAGTTTCTCAAAGCCTTCAATCCACCAAGACTTGTTTCAGCATCCAGTGCAATTGTCGTTCACAAATTAGTCCGCGTTAAGATTCATGCCCATCCCAGAAGCATGTTTGTCCTGGGCGGAAAGATCATGTTCTGAAAGGGACGTACGGCTCAATCTGTGCAGCAGCCGTGGCATCCTTAACCCATGGAATCGTGAATCGAAATAGGTGAAAGGGGCACCCTTGAAGAACAAACACTATGCTGTATACCCATTGTATACCCATTTTACCCATATCTCCAATTAATAGGTTCCAATTCAGCATAAAAATAGCCCGACTCAAGTAAACCTGTTAACCCCCGTTAAAGGATCCTTCAAAGAACGCCGATGTCTGATTCTGGTCCTTTAAGGAAGGACCCTGTCAAGCACCCTTCTCAAATGACAAGGAGAGGGCATGTTTTATGGCCCCACCGTGTTGTTGGGTGCTTTCATTTTCATTTTTCCGGATTTCCCTTTACACTCCCGAACACACATGGCACCCGTTTCCCCGTCTTTCCCCCTTCCTTCCCCGTTTCGGGGGGACGTCCGACGTGAGGAACATCAACGCGGTGGAGGCGGCCATCGCGGCGCTGCGCACGGTGAAGTACGACGCCAAGAGCTGGGCCGCGGTGAGTTGCGATCGGGAGTCCTTCTACGCCAAGGAAGCGAAACGAACACGAGACGCGCACGGGGCACCGGTCGGCACCGGTCGGCTTTTTTTTAAATAACCCAAAGCCCTTCCGTTTGCTGAACATATCTGAAAATGCGTTTTTTTGCCCTTGTTAGTATAAAAGGGCATCTATCATTACTGGACACATCTCTACCTTTTTCCAGGGGGCTTAAGCCACTACTTAAAGAGGCGATAGGGTACATGATCAGGTAAGTGGCTTATAATCCACTGAACGGAGACTTATAACCAGGATAAGCGGGTTATAACCATGGTTATTGCCCACTTACTATGTACGATGCACCTTCAAGTACCCAGAGGCTCTTTGGGCTTTCAACGGAAGACCCAGACCCCTCCATTGGACACCACGGAGTTTGGGGTCTCAAAACCTGGCTGTTTGAGGGCACTAAATTATTTGGGAGCCTCTGGGTAGTGGAATTGGAGGAAGGGGTTTCATGGGGTGTGTCCTGTTTTAGAGAACCATTTGAATGTTGGCCCCAGAAATGAAACAACTCCGGTTTATGTTGATTCAGAGCCATCATGTTGACACCGGATGGGGGGCCCCATTTTGGGCTTGTTTTTTCTAAGGATGTCACCTCCCATGGTGGTGTTGGCCCCCCCCCATTTTCTAAGTTGTGACGAAAATAAAATGTGTCTGGTCAGGAAGGGTCCCAGGTTGGCCCCGCCCCCCACCCCTCCCCACATTTTCTTTTATTGGGGGTCGGCCCAGTGCCACATCGGACCGAGGTTGCCCCCCCCCCCCCCCCCATTTTCTAAATTGAGCATGTTTTATGAAGATGGGGTGGGCCGCCGTTTTCTAAAAAAGAAATGGGGTTGGACATTTTCTGCAGAAAATGGGGGGTCCAACCCCACCCCCCAACACCAGACCCCCATTATGGGGTTTTGCCACATCTCCACTTCCTGGTGGAATCGGAGGACGGAGTTTGCACGGGGTGTGCCCTTTTCGGGACCAATTTATTGTTGACCCCAGAAATTCATCAACTCCCCAGTTTGGCCTGCTGTGTGCAAATAGCTTGCCCATGCAGCACAATCCTCCCTTGTCGGATGGGGCACCACAAACATTTGTCTCACTTCTATATGTTTGGGGTGTGGTGGCCCCAGCAAAAGTGGTCTGAATCCCCACTGGAGGTTTATGAGTCCAGGGTTCCAGATCCCCACCGCCTAGTGGAATTGGAGGGGGATTTCGACCCCTGCAAAACCCTCCATGTGTGTCTGTGTGTCTGTGTGTGTGTGCGTGTGTCTGTGCGTGTGTTTTTAGAGGACCCCCCCAAAATGGTGGTTTCCCTTTCGTTCCCTTGTTTCCAACCGCACAAAGGGTACCACCAAAAAGAAGCCTTTGCAGGACTCGTTCCGCACTTGCTGGCAGTCGTTCGGCGCTTTCCAGCAGTCATTCTACACATGTCCAGCAACTGTTTTCGGCGCTTTGTAGAACTCTTTGAGAACGTTTAGCAGTCGTTCAGCACTTTTTGCGACTTGTTCAGGTATTTGCTGCACCCCTTGCGCATTTTCGGCACTCTTATCACACATCCACTTTGGTGGGTTCGTGGCAGCTCCGGCATCCGGTTGCGATCAGCTTCCCGCTCGGCTCGGCATGACAGGAGCGGTGCGAGGCTCCCCCGGAGTATGTGACCCACGTCCTGGACAAGGCGAGCGTTGCCGCTTCGGTGCTTCGGTGCCGAGCGGATTGAGTTGTCAGCTGATTCACATAAGTGGGTCTGTCTGTATTTCAGGGAACTCCCCCCCCGCCCAAAAAAAGCAAAACACACAGTTGGTTCCTTTGGTTTCCTTTTGTTTCGCTTTGGTTTCCTTTTGGTTTTGCTTTGGTCCCTTTAAACCAAGCCCAAAAAGGGTACCTTCAAGAAAGGACAGACCCAAATGTGCAGCTTTGAGGCGCACATCGGCGAGATCAAAAGCCATCAACGGACGAAAAATACCCAAAGGGCAAGTTTAGTAGGTGGTTCTAGTACCTGGTTTGATAGGGACAGCAATCCCCACATATATATATATATATACACATATAATTATATATATATATATAAATATATATATATAAATATATATATATATATATATATATTCACGCACATAAGACTTTGCCATGTTGCGCAGGTGCAGACGATGCGCGGGCACGAGCCGCTCGGATTGCTCACGGTTTCGGCGCGTCCCGTTCCGAGCAACGGTTGGGCAAGGTTGGGATTTGGGTGTGTCCCCTTCTGGTTTGGAAAGGAAGTCGGAGCGAAGCCGAATCCCATGTGGGATTCCGAATCGTGTTAATTGGTTTAGGGAAGCCGGAAGGAAACTGAATCCTATTTGAGATAGGGCAGTTTGTTCCAACCCATGAAAGAAACACTCTTGAAACCAGAGCGGGAGGGCGAAACTTGCGACCTGCTGGATGGTCGCACCCCCGGTCGCCTTGTTTCAAAACCCTCCGGTCGCACCCCCGAGACCCCACCCAATTTTTTGCCAAGAAGAAGCCAACCTGTTGGCGGAGTGCTCCAGCTGCTTTTGAGCCGGGCCGAAACAACTCCTCGACGTATGTGCTCATTTCTTCTGGGGACACAAAAAATCAAAGGAAGGACCCTGACTTTGAGAAAATCGTTGGCCGTAACCAAGAGCGGCCCCTCTTGGGGCCGCCTGGGAAACTGGAGAGGTTTGCCATTGGTTGGCCCCGTTTTGGGTGAGGTACGCATCCAAGCGTGAGCCCACAAAAACCAAGGTGTGGCCCCCTTCTCGCGGGTTGAACCACTCGCATGCCCGAAGCCACGGCTTCGGTCGCTTGGGTTAGTTGGGCTACCTTTCCCTCCCTCGAATCTGCAGGAAATCCAATCATTTTGTTTTTGTGGGTATTTGCCCAGAACCGTAAAATCTCCCGGGTGCAAGACAAAGGTACCGCCAAAAAGCCGAAGACTCAAATGCCGCAGGACATTCCTTTGCAGTTTTTGAGCGTTATTTGCCCAGAGAACCTCCTGTATAACCTCCATTGGTTTCTATGTTCGACCCAAACATCTGGAAAATGGAACACCCCGGCAGGATGTTAAGATAGTTTTAAGATATAGTACTAAAAAAGGGCCAACAGGGGAAAAATAAATCCAAGCATATCCAAACAATCTTCTAGAAAAACAGAGCAGTTCCCCGCGAAGCCTGGGCGTGTCTTCTTTACAGGGAGACTCCAACAAGAATGGTTTTTCCTTTTGGCTTCCCTTTCAAAGAGGCCAACACAAGGGGGTAGCCTTGTGTGTCTTAAAATATCCCCACGAAGGTTGGTTTCCCTGGGCTTGGAAATTGGTATGCCGCTTTTTTAAGGGCCCCCCTTGAAAGAAAAGGTGTGGTTTTCCTTTTTGGTTTCCCTGGGGCAAACCAACCCCAGCAGCGGGACCGGGACCCCAAACAGGCTATGGGTGTGTGTGTGTGTGTTTAAGTGTGTGTGTTTAAGTGTGTGTGTTTAAGTGTGTGTGTTTAAGTGTGTGGTGTGTGTAAGTGTAAGTGTAAGTGTAAGTGTAAGTGTAAGTGTAAGTGTAAGTGTAAGTGTAAGTGTAAGTGTAAGTGTAAGTGTAAGTGTAAGTGTAAGTGTAAGTGTAAGTGTAAGTGTAAGTGTAAGTGTGTGTAAGTGTGTGTGTGTGTGTGTGTGTGTGTGTGTGTGTTTAAGTGTGTGTGTGTGTGTGTGTGTGTGTGTGTGTGTGTTTGTGTGTGTGTGTGTGTGTGTTTGTTTAAGTGTGTGTGTTTAAGTGTGTGTGTGTGTGTTGTTAGGGACCTTCAGGGATACCCTACAAAAAGGCAAGGCACCCATATCCCCCAAAAAGGGGACCCGGAAAACGAGTGGTTTGTCCTGTTTTCCCCCCAAACAGGGGATCAGGCCTCAAAAAGAAGCTCTCGTTTCCCCTTGGTTTCCCTTTAAGCCAACCCCAACAAGGAGACCTTCAAATACTCAAATCCAGAGTTCATGGACTAACCTTTTGAGGGTTCGGCTTGTTTTGGGGTTTGTCCACTTGTTCGGAAGTGAGACTATGGTTACCCCAAAAGGCGTATAAATCCCGAAAAGTCCCCACACGGGGACCCCCTAAAAAAAGGGAGCCCCCAACAATGGCTTTGGGTTTCCTCTTGGCTTCAGCCCAAAAAAAACACCGATGACTTGTTTGTTCCTCTTGGTTTCAGCCCAACAAGGCCGGAGATCTCCCCCAAAGAAACCGAGGCTCAAGGTCTCGGACATGGAGGCGGACGGCTGCGTGCCCCTGAGCCAGACCAAGTTCGCCAAGCGCGGGGTGGCGGAAACCATCCCCATCGTGGACATGGACCCCTCGCGGTTTCGTTTCCGGGGGGGAGGGGGAAAAGAACACCTCGGTTCCAAACACCCGAGCTTCTGACCATCTAGGTCCCCCAGTAGTGCTCTTTTACCCTTTTTTGCGGGAGGGTTCCCCTACTAAAGTAGACTGCAGCAAAAGGGTACCCTTATTCTAACCGCTCCACTAGAGGACCTAGGAAAGAAAAACACACTCAGTTGTTCAAAAACTCCAGCTTTTCACACATTTTTTGGTTTTCCCATTTTGGTGGTCCCAAAAGGGGATCGTTTCGGAAAAACCACCTCGGTCGTTCCAAAACCCGGGGTTTCGGGGGGGGAAATACTCAGTCGTTCCAAAAACCCGAGCTTTTAACCGTTGCGTTTCGGGGGGGGGGGGAATACCTCAGTCGTTCCAAGAACCTGAGCTTCTGACACATTTTTTGTTTTTTTCACCATTTTGGGTTCCCATGGTTAGCTTTTTGTGGTTTCAAGATTTGGGATCGCCGTTTGGGTGCTTTGGGCAACTGAGATACAGAATTTGTGGGTGGGTCGTCAATTCTTTTTGATGGTACAAGTACCTGTTAAACAACCATCATGGGGAAAAGTTAAAACTGCCGTTCTTGGTTGATGTTTGGATTTTGGGAACCCCTGCAAAGAAATTGGGAACCCCTACCAACAATGTATACAAACATGATTTTGAGGGTGTTTTTTTGGTTGGGGGTGTTTTAAAAAGAACACCTAAGAGGACTCGACACCAACCCTCTTTTTTTTGTGGGTACACTCGGTTTAAGACACACCTAGCTGGGGTTCGCCTTTTTTTGGGGGTTACCTTGTTTTGATATGGCTTAGAGGGAACCCAAAGGAACACCATTCGTGGGGGTTACCTGGACCCTCAAACTACCTATAAAGAAGGAACGCCACCAACCACAAATTTTGGTGCACCCATTCTTTTAAGGGAATGTTGAGATTCCAGGTACCTTTTTGTTGATATAGTTTGAAGGGAACCCAAAGGACAACCACCGTTTTTGTTTCCTTGTTTCCTTTTTTTTTTGGGGGGGAGAGATGGGTGTGGGGATTCCCCAAGCTGGACTCAAACCCATAGGCCCTTAAGGAGAGCGGTCCTTCGTCATGATCAAAAAAGGGGCTGGCGAAAGGGACCTCCCGGACGCTTTGCTTGAAACAAGTGGAAGTTTGGCAAGGGGCGATTCCGATCTTCCTCCTTGGCGTGGTTCTAGATGGCTCCTTTTTGGCCCATAGGTGAGCTTCCCTTGCTAGACGTGATGTGTTAAGGTTTGGTCTGTTGTCTCCATCTTGTAAGTCGGGCTGCTTGTTTGTGTGTTTGCTTTGGCCTGTTGTCTCCCTCTTTAAGTCGGGCTTCCTGTTTTTGTTTTTGCCCCCAACTTTTTTTAACCCTTCTTCTTTTTCTTAACCCCAACCTCCTTTTTGACCCCCGGCAGAAACCTTTTTTTCCCCAGCAGCTGGCAGCTGTTGGGGATACCACCTGGGCTTATTCCAACCCTTGTGAATCCTCTGTTCGTGAGCGGTACTTGGTTAATTTCCAAACCAGCCCCTAAAAACACAGTACATGTTTATCACTCTTGCTACTAGGATATAAGTTCCTGCACCGGTTGGTGATGTATGCCAGTATTGGTAGAGTTCCATGCATACCAATTGGTGCGTTTGGCGGATTTTGTCCATCCACAGTTTGGTGTTCGGATTGTGAATGGCCCATCTGACAACATTAGTCGAGTGATAGTTTGGGATGAGGTGTGGGAAATGCAATTTTTGAGTGATTCCAAGGGGTCAGTCAAAGTAGTCAAGCTGTGGATGGACAGAATCCAGCACCAGCTATACAGGTGGTTTATTTGTAGGTATTTTAAGTGGTGCAGGAGTTCGTCCATATGACTCACCCCGTAGATCTGGGTCAACACTGCACCGCTTTTTCCCCTCGCAGCGCGGGTCAGGGGCCCAACAGCCCAACTTGTGGGGCGAGCGGCGCTTTTCGCAGGACAAGTGCATCCAGTGCAACGTCTGCAGCGCCATTTGCCCCCACGCGGTGATCCGGCCTTTCCTGCTGTCGCACGCCGAGTTGATGCAGGAGCCGACTGGATTTGGGCGTCGGATATGTTCCCTGATTTGTGGAGGGGATTTACCACTGGGAAATTGAGCATCAGAAAATATGTGTTACGCTGCCCCAGGCGACTCCATGGAAACTCCCAGAATCTCGAATTAGAAGACTTGGTTCCATTTACAGAGGCCTTCCGGGAGCTTCCAGGATAGTCTGGGTGTATGTGACTTTCCCCTGTGGTCCGCTTGTCTTTGAAGGGGATCTACCACTGGACATATGCTTAGTTTCTCCAGGATTGGAGCAGAAAGTCGGGCCGAAGAACAAACAGGTTCTCTTCTTGGTTGGTTTTAAAGGGCACCCACAAGGAAGCCAACCATTTTTTTGTTCCCCCCCCCGATTTTGAGACAAAGACACCTGTGTGTGTGTCTGAAACATAGGGGAACCCAACACGAAACCACCCACCAACGGGGATAGGAGCCTGAGACTCTGAGCGCAGCCCCTCTTTACCGAAGCTGTGAAATAAATAAATTGAACCGAAGCTGTGCAAGCAATGGACATGACCCAACTATCATGGAACTGAGGCAAGTTCATGTTGGATTTATTTTCACCTGCAAAGAATCGCCAGGAGATTTACCTCTGCTTCTTGTGGGTTGGCTGACTTGAAGATCGAGTTTGCTTCTTAGATACTCTACAAATTAAGGCATCGAACCCCAAACAAGGGGGTGGCCTCAAAAGGAGTTTCCTCTGCGGATACTGTGGCAGGGTTTCTGAGGTGCAGGATTTCATCCATCCAGAGTATGTTTTGTTTTGTTTCTTTGTGTGGGGGGGGGGGGGGTCCAGGTGAATCTGTAGGATAACCACCCATTGCTCTGGATGCAAGGCGCCGGACTCCTTCGATGCACGCAAGGCGACAGGCGGGGGAGATGCGATCAGGATCGCTCGGCTGGCCATTTTCTCCGGCTGGGAAGGCCCCCCAGGTCTCCGAAGCGACTTTACACATGGTCTAAATATGACACATCATTTCTGAAGACGAGTTTTGAAGTGACTTGGTCTCTGTACCTGTGATTTTTTGGGCCGCGAGCTGACCGGGCTGATCGATCTCAGGCCATCAAGGGAATGCGAGTCGATCGCGAGGAGGGAATCATCAAATTTGTCGCGCCAGCCGGCAAGGTACATTTGGGTCTGTCTTTTTTCAGGTGTTCATCCGGGGTCAACATGAGCCAAGCTTCAATCATTCAAACTGAGTACACTCTTTTTCGCAAGCACCCCGTTTTTGGTTCCTAACAGTGACACCAACGGGACCTTTCATGCAGCCTTCTGGGGATTTTGCGAGGCGGCAACACCTACGCGGGCCTGCACTTCCGCATCCAGGCCTCCCCCAACGACTGCACAGGCGGCGACGGCCACCGCCGATTTGGCGAAGACGAGTGACGATCGTTTGGACCCAAAGTGGCAGTGGCAAAGCAGGGGTCCCTGAATTTCTCTTTTTTTGGAGCTCCAGTGGCGATTTCGATGGAACCCACCAGTCAATTGCAACTTGTAAATAAATCTAGGGGCTACAACGGATTGGACATCATTTAAACAACCATTGTAAATGTTGTTGTTTTCTGGGAACTATGATCATGACAGCCAGAAGGAGATTGTGTCATGGGAAATATCGCAGTGTAGGCAGTGTTCCATTCTCGGTCTAGCTGATCTTGGCAGAGGGCATGCCGAACCCCTTTGATTCCTTTTCGTCATTAGTGAGGGCCTGACCCATTGCCACGATTCCTTTGAAGCTGGCCAGTGGTTGGAAGGGAGCGGAGGTATCCAGATTTGCCTTCAAAAGAGGGAGCTAAGGAGCTCACGAGTCTCGTAGTGTCAACCCCCCTATTAATCAACCCCTGGTTGATTAATAGGGGTGTGCCCCCTTTTTAGTGGGGATTCATCACTTTTGGAGGGAGCACCCCCCCGAAGAATGGGACGGGCTTATTAATCCTGGGTCAACATGAAAGACCTGTTCAGGGAATCCATAAGGCCATAGGCCAACCTTCTGCGGAGTGTTGACCCGCGCAGGCTGCGAGGTCTGCACCAACGCGTGCCCGGTGGGCGCCTTGTCCATGCTGCCGCGGGTGGAGAGCCTGAAGCAGGGCCACGGATCCAACTGGGCGCCTCGGTGCTTTCGACTTCTTCTTCTTCTTCTTCCTCGGCGGTCGGATGAATCAACGGCTGACTTGGCATAGGTCCATATGGGTGGCTCGTCTTTTTTTAACCACCCGACCCTGGAACATACACGAAGATCAAGGGTAAATAAGGCGTGAATAAGCCGTCATATTTCATCTTTGGGGCTCGGTCTGGGAGTCAGTGCAGGAAGTCTTGGCTTTTTCGGTCGGATGAATCAAAGGCTGATTGACATCCATATGAGTGGCTTGTTTTTTTTTTCGGGACCGCCCAAAATTGCTTCGGTTGTCCTTTTGGTTTGCCCTTTAAAATGGGTGTCGTTTTGGGAGTTGGAACCCCGACAGCTTGTGGTTCTTAAAGGAGAACCAAAACGAAAACTGTTTGGGACCCATTGTTGGGGGGTCCCCTACAAAAGACACCCTGGCTTGCAGTGGGGGTGTGTTGCTTCTGGGCGGGTGGAGAAGATGAGAGAACAGGAATTGAAAGGGGCAGAGAAAAAACAAAGGGGACAAAGCACCGAAAGCACAACAACATCGTGGTCAGAATTGCAGGGCGAATTCACCAGCATTCTTGCGAAGCAAAAGGTGTGATGACCATCTCCCCCATTTTGGGTGTCCAGTTTGGTGCTGAATTGGACGCCCCCCGGTTTTGCGGAAAAGGCCGTTTTCGAGCTGGTGCGTCTTGGAAACCCACAGGTGCTCTGGATTCGGGTCTCGCCAAAAGGAAAGATTTCGCTTTCCAAAACCCTCCGAACGTCAGCTTCCATGATTTTAGCTTCGCCTGAATTGGTGGTCTGGATTTGTGCTTTGGCACTTGAAACCCTGGTTCGAGAAAGAGGGTAACCGGGAAACCACGAATCCAAACCACAAATCGTTGAATGACGGCTGTTCGGTTTGCTTTTTGACCTTTGCTTTTTGATCCATCCTCCCAACGGGTCCCCCTCAAAAAAAGGGGGGAGCAGCTGGTTTTGATACATGCACCCATACAACCTTGGAGCCCCACAGGCTTCCCGATATGCTAAGCCGCCAACTCAGGGGGAATTGGCTCCCCGGTTTTTGGTTTTTTTGCTTTTTTGGGGTTTCTTTGTTTTCCACTAAGCAGGCAAAAATGTGTTTTTTTTCTTTTTTTTTTTTTTTCTGGGGTCCTAATTCCAACCTAGGAATAAGGATCAAGTCCTGAGGTTCGGGGGTAGGCCAAGCATGTCCAACCAGGAGCGCTTTGCCATCTCTTTTGCCCAGGACTACGCCCTGAGCGTGCCGAACCGCGGCCAGCGCTTTGACGCGAACACGCTCAAGGGCTCGCAGTTCCAGGCAGGTTTATTGGGGCAACCCTGAGAATTTCTTAAAGAAACTTGCCTGACATGAACACTTATTTTGAACCCAGCGGTTCATTTGTTTTACGCGCCATGTTTTTGGTTCGTGCTAACCCTAGGAACAGCCCCTCCCCCCCCGTGTTTGACACATGCTGCACCTTTTGGTGCCAGCCAGTCAAAGACAACAACACGGTGAGAGTTGCCGCCGCTGTCGTTTTGGTTTCCCTTTAAAACCACAAAAAAAAGGGTGCCCGCAAAAAAGGACACGACCTATATGGCTATGAATGTTCAGAGTTGGAATCACCCCAAGAGGGCTTAGCCATGAATTCCCCTCTGGGCACAGCCCTGGTATTTGGGCCCCCCTAAAATTTGTCTTTTGGTCTCCCTTCATGTAAACCCCACAAAAAGGCAACCAGAACCCGGGTACCCTCCTTTAAAACGGCCACCCCCCCGGCCACGAGGTTTTTGTTGGGTTCAGATGCCGCCCAGTCCAGCTGCCCTCTCCCGGCTTGGGGCCCCGTGGCTTCGAGGAGCCGCTGCTGGAGTTCTCCGGGGCCTGCGAGGGCTGCGGGGAGACGCCCTACGCCAAGCTGGTCACGCAGATGCGCCGCGGGCGAAAAAGACGTTGGGCATGGGCCGCATGGGCCATGGACCCCCTGAGATTTTTATGTTTGGGCGGGAACCAGTGAAGCGAAGAACACGTGTTGTTGTTGTTGTTGTTTTTTCCCCTCTTTTTCTTCTGTTTGCCTCACGACGTGAGTTCATGGACGACCTTTTCGGTTGTAAGAAGGTCAAACAAACAGATGGCGAAGGCTGTTGCACTTGGTTGTTTCAGAATCTACTAGGGAAATCCATCTATTTTCAACCGGAAGGACACAGATGCAGTTGAACAACACGAGTCTTTTTATATTACCTCTTTCCCTGAGTTCACGGACTTTAGTCACTTGTTCGGATGGGACCATTTTTGTGGCAAACAAAAGGTTTCGGGAGTTTTGGCCGCCTCTCTCAGGAAGTGAGGTTAGGGCTGTTCTCAAGGGGTATGTGTGGCTGGGTTTTCTTCAATCAAATTGAACTCTTGAGCATGAACATGGCCATGAATTTTAAGTAGAGAGCCCTTGCATTCATGTCCACCTACCATCCATTTGAAAAGAGGTACTTCCTTCTTAGAATTCATAGCCACATGGGTAGGGTTGTTCCTTGAAATTTGATTTAGACATTTGAACACCACCACCCCACTCTTATTTCAAAATGGTCTTTTTGTTGAGCGTCAAACCCAGTTTGGTTTGGTGGCCCTTTACCTTGTCCGAAAGTGATTTGTGCCAGCGTTTCTGCAAGAAACCAAATCAATCTGGAAATCTGATTTATTCAATCAATAGCTTCTTTCAACAGCTGTTCAATGTTTCTTAACTATGAATCACTTTCTTATAAATTATTGTTATGATTTACTCCAACCCCCAGGAACCCTTCGAAATGCGAAACTGGCTGATTTGATCAACAGCCTAGGGGAAATCGCTTTAAAGGATTGATCACTTCCATGGAAAAGGGTCATTTGGGGGCCAATATTGATCAACCCCCAAATAGATTGGGGCACAGCCTCACCATGGAAGAGCGTCTCAAACGGAAACGTGTTATGCAATCGGGCATGCCTCTTAGTTGGTTTATGTGGGCCACTTAAACGTTTCCAAGCGGGCGTCCTGGGTTTGTTTCCCTTTGACCTACTCGGGTGATTTGGATGCTTGCAAAGTGGGGCAGGGTCCCTGAAAATGAAGAGGATGTCACTTCAATCTGGTGATACCCCCATTGTCATGTGAACATTTTATGGTTGTGCCTAGATTTGTGTAAATTCCCTCTGGATATTGATTTGAGATATCAAGCCAACAAACACGGTTTCATGCTCGGACCCTCCTTCCGAAAGCAAAGACTTGCTTACAAGGGAGAAGGGGATGCATTTCCTTGGAGACTTTGGGTGCTTGTTGTTTCTGTGAATTGCGTCATTTCCTTGCGTCCCATTCATTTTCCCATGGATCCAGGCTTGACTTGAAGTCAGGACCCCTCAAAGGATCCTTTTGGTGTCCCTTGAACGGGGGCCAGTGTATGGTTGTTGAAACATGGCCAAAACATGGATGTATCTTTTTTGGGGGGGACCGCAAAATGCCGGGTTTCCTGTTGGTTTCCCGTTAAAACCCACCAATAAAGGGAACACCCTCACCAAAAAGACAGACCCACATGCCTCTACCCACTCTTGCAACCTCAAGGGGCAAAACCTCCTTCTCAATTTCCCATGTCCTAGGCCGTTTTTCCTCTTTCTCCTTATAAAACCAGCAACAAACAGGTAACCCCGAATTGGTGGTTTGGATGTGTATTTGAAGCCCTGCTTCTGTTCGGGTGCCCCCGAAAACATCTCCAAACCGGACTCCATTCTCTTGGTGCAAACTGAGGCTCCCCCCTCGGCCAAGTGCTAACCGTTCGGTTGCCCTTACTCACAAAGTCCCCAGTTCAGTGGTGGGTTGGCTATCCACTAGCTGGGCGAATCAAACATCCAAGTAGGCTTTGGATGTGAAAGGGAGACTGAGACTAAGACCTTCTTGCGGCGCGCTTTTGGGTCGGATCAGGTTCGGGCGCCGGCTGATTGTGGCCAACGCCACAGGCGGGGAAGTTTGTTGGTTCAGGCTTTTCGGGACGAGAGAGCTTGCTGGTAGTGGCGGCCGGGAGGGGGCGAAAGAATGAATTGCATGGATTCTTCCAGGATTATTTTGAGTTTTGGTTTGGAGTCCACCACCCCGTTCTAATTTCTTTGGCCCTGAAAGAAACCCAGAAAATTGGTGTTTATTTTCGGAGGTTCAGGTTGAGTTGGGATGTTTCACAAGGTTAGGCACGGTGGACAAAGGTGAGTCTTGTGAAGCCAAGAGGAAACCAACCATGTTGGGTGTCCAAATTATATTTGCAGACAACCTTTTGTCTGGGGTTTCCACTTTTTGGCGTGGCCAAAGGAACTTCCTTCCTAATTGACACTCACAGGAATCAAGCACTTTGGTACGGTGGATGGACAACATTCTGACTAGGGCTTGCGCCAGTTGCGATGGAGGAAGCCCTAGTAGTGGGATTTGGGTCTTTCTTTGGGGGGTACTCTCTTTTGGTTGGTTGTTTGCTTTTTCGGAGTTTTTCACCATTGGCACCACCCCAAGCTCAAGTAAAGCCAAATTGATGTATGCATGTTTGGTTCTTGGTCCGGCGTTTTGTCCTTTTCACCGTGGTTTACAGGGACGCCAAAAGGAAACGCCGCAGGCTGCAGCAGCATCTGGGGCGGCACCGCCGGCTGGGTGCCCTACGCCACCGACAAGGCGGGCCGGGGTCGGACGGCGAAGCCGGTGGACGCCAGCAGACACGGCGTCTCTTCACGAAGGGTTGGCAAGTTTTTAGGTGCTTTGTAGTGGTTTTTGTGGATTTAGGTGTTTTTAGGCGTTTTTCGTTTTAGTTTGGGTTCTGATTATTTGTAGGGGCTGCACAAATCGATCTTTTTGCTACCATAGCAACGGTTGGAAGAGAGTGATACGGATGTTTGGGCCAAAAGGAAAACCAAATGTCTTCGAGGATTCCCGTATCTTCTGTTTGCTGAAATGAATATTTTGTACTTCCCCTGTTTGGTTTCAAAGGAAATCTGTCACTACTACTGGACATATGTTTTTTTTTCCCAAGCTTCAAGCAAATGGAAGTTATTGAGGCTCACGCCCGTATGTGTCAGTACAGCACACCCAACAAATGTGGTTGGTAAAGACAAGCCAATCACAGCTATGATCCAGGGAACACTCCAGCCTTTTGTGCAGCTGCTGCCATACCAAGGGTTGTGAAGACTCGGCTCGCGAATCCTGGCTCGGGGAAATGGGCGGCTTCGTACCGACCCTCACACTCAGGGCTGCTTGCAACAGGCTTCTTTTCCGCAACCTGGTGGTAGTTTTCATTTAACCAACTGAAAGTTAAACTTGTAGCAGGGGATCTGCTCCAGAAATCCGTCCGGCGACCCTTAGTTGGTTTTTGGATTCGTGGCTTGGGGCAAATGGGAAATCACCCCGATTTCACCACCCAACCACCGGGCTCCAGACCAATTGGCTGGGAGCTGAAAAGCCGCTTGGTTGCTAAACGCGGCAGCCCGAAAAAAAGAAAGAAAGAGGAAGGGACGAGAAGACCCACCCATGTTGCGGAGCCCACCTCTCCTTTCCCTCGGGTCTCCACGAGCCTTCGGATTTGGTCTCCGCCCCGCGCGCGGAAGCCCCGGAAGCCGCAGGCCACGGGGAAGGGCACGGCCTGGGGCAACTCCCTCTTCGAGGACAACGCGGAGTACGGCCTCGGCCAGGCGGATCGAAATCGGACTCGAGTTCGGATTTGTGGAGTCCGGCGTCGGTCGGTTGGGGGTGAGGCTTAGTTTTGAGGGGGTCGGGGGGGTTGAGGGGGTTGAGGGGGTTGAGGGGGTTGGGAGGGGTATCCAAGTTGCTGAGAAATAGAAAGATCAAAAGTCGAAATAGTGAAGGATTCCCTCTACAAAAAATAGGGGAGACCCCATATTAGTCAACAAGCTCGTTCACCTTGCTGTGGCCTCAAAGTGACCAATTTGAAGGGTACCAGGCAAGACACGTCACCAAAGAACACCCAGGCAACATGCAAGAACACAGCGCAAAGAAAACAAGGCAACCACAGCAACACGCAAAGAACAATGGCAAGCAATGCAAAGACCCCCCATAACAAAGAACATGGCAAGACAGCAGCAATCAGCATACATAGAACCCGCACAACAAACTATACAAGGGGAAACAACGCAAGTCCATCAACAAGTGCAACCAAACACGCAAAGCAGTCAACACCCCAAAAAAAACATGAAGCGTGTATATAGGTATACATATTATAATAAGAACATGCTGTATGCATATGCTGCATATATGCCATACATATAGGTAATGTATGTAGATTATATATATATATATATATATATATTATATATACATGCACGTGAATAATGGCACCACCCGTCAATTACTTCATCACCTAGGGCAATTATATATACATACACATATATATATATATATATATTAATGTACACATGTATAGAGCACCACACGTGACGCCGCCTCGAGGTGATGAGCGTGAAGCAGCGCCGGCGCCTGCTGCGTGACCGTGTGGAGGCAGCGCTGGCGCGGGCAGGGAAGCTCATGAGCGTGGCACTGAGGCGCTCCCGGGGCGGGGGGGGGGGGGCTGTAGGGTTTGGGGTGGGGGGTGAGGGGGCGAGGGGGTGAGGGGGTGAGGGGGCGAGGGGGTGAGGGGGTGAGGTGGAGGTGGTGAGTGGTGAGGTGGTGAGAGGGTGAGGGTGACGGGGTGAGGGGGTGAGGGGGTGAGGGCGGGAGGGGGGTGAGGGGGTGAGGGTGCCCAAAGGGCCGAAGATGTTCGATCCATGGGAAACATCTGCCAGCTGGCAACCAGAAGTTGGCAGTTTACCTCCATGTTGTTGGCTTCATGTTTTTCAATGGGCACATCCTACGTTTGCTTGCTGTTTGGTTTGAATGCATCATTTACGGCCTCAGGCGCAGCGAAGTACAGAAGTACAAGACCAGCTTAGCAAAACTTGTGAAGCTCCTGAAATGCTTCCCCGTTTACCAGCAAAGAGTAGATCACTTTTTGCCCGGGGTCAGCCCCAGCACAGCAGTTTGGGTAGTACGTAGCTATCCCCAGGCTGGATAGAACTCCTGCACCCGTCAGGATGCATGAACCCGGGTGAGTGTGAAGGACAAACGACCTACCAACTGGTGCGAATCGGACTTGAGACGGCTTTTGTTCTTCCCCTCGAGGAGCATATACCCACATTTGTGTCAAAATAGGGCGAGCCCCCAAAAATGATGCTCCTTTTTGGTTTCCCTACAAACCAACCCCAAAACGGGTTCCCTCAAAACAGACACACCCACATTTTGTCCTCCTTTTTGTTTGGGTGGTTTTCCCTTTACCAACTCCCACGGTGACCTGTTTCCCTTGGCGCCTTTAGGCTCATACTTCTGCTGCGAGCGGAGATGGCAGTTGGTTCTTGCCTCCAGGTTTTAGGAAACAAAACTGGGCCCCTTCAGGTCAGTGGGTCCTATTAAAATTCGCAAGAGAGGGATTCTGCGTGCTTAAGGTTGGATTTGGAGGGATTCTCGAAATGACTGTGCGGCCATTGAGCGGCTAGTCGTGAGGATTAAGCCCCCTCCCCAGAAGAAAGAAGTCCATTATTCCTTCCGCGTTTCCTTCCGCGACGCATGTTATTTTTCACTCCCAATTTACACATTGTTTCCAGCTGAAAGCTATGGGGCCGATCGGCCCAGAGGGCGAAATGGGGTGGTTTGAGACAACTTTAAGGAGGGCTCCAGATATTTGGTTCCCGAAAGTTCCGGGGCTGTTGCTGCCGCGCCATGAGCCCATCTCCAGGAGCCTCCTGGAGCAGTGGCTCGAGTTCGGCGAGGACTCGCTCGCGCGCTCGGTTTGGTCGGAATGTCGTTCGCCGAGGGGGGGGGTCTAGATGTTTTTGGTTGGTTTAGTATTTCGCCCACAACTTGTAGCAACACGTCGATGCTTCTTCCTTCCAGCATGCTTGAGGTTGGGAGGACAAACGCCAACACCTCCACCCCTATGTGGCAGATGGTGACCCAAGGGTGTGTGTGTGCTCTTAGGGGGTCCAAAACAGACCACGGGTTCCGCGGGCCTACTGGATGAGTGCTGTTTAAACAAGGTTTTTTCCATTTCCCTGTTTTTTTTTGCCTCCAAGAAGTGGCGAGCGTTTCGATCAACTTTTGATTGGGGGAAATCCAGTGACCCCTGTTCAAAGGAGAGCAAGAGGACACCGTTGCTCATGTTCCAGGGCTCCTGTCGTACGGATCGATCCGTGTTGTTCCTTTGACTTCTTGTCATTCACCCAGACTCAGGTTGCCCCCAATTGGTGGTTTGGATTGGTGGTTTGGGGTTTTGAACTCAAGGTTCTTGTTGAGGGCAAATGGGACAATGCCTAAGCTCCAACCACCGGCCCCCAATCCACCAAACCGAGGGAAGCTGATAGACTATCGTTCATAGACCTCAATCTCACTTCCTGAGTTCATGGAAGACCGTTTTAGTGTCCAACAAAAGGTTGGACTTTTTTGACCAGTCCACTCAGGAAGGCAGTTATGGTTTTCCTTCAAAAGGGCCAGAGTGAATTATGAGTCACACCCGCGAAAGCCCCCTGTTGTTCACCTCCTTTGCTTTCGCACCAGAAACAGCCGCGCATGCACCCAGATTCCCAGGACGACCTGGTTTCCTACAAAGACCCTAAGCTCGCAAAGGGTCTTATTTTGGGAAGGGGGGGGGTTGCCCTCTTAAAAACACGACCCCAGCGCTTTAAAACAAGAGCAGGTTGTTTATACAAGGAGGTTTCCACAAGCTTTTCAGGGGCGACCGACTCTGCAGTCAGATCCCGTGCGTGTGGGGAGCTCAGACGCGTGCTGGAGCACAATATTCTGATTCAGTGCCAAATGAAGCCATCGCAGCCGAAGAGGTGACTAGCGACTATTGATGACCTGAACTTACCACTCAGACCAATCATGTCAACTTCGGATCAATGTGGAGGATGCTAATCAGAGGAGCCCCCCCAAAATCGAATTCATGTCCTCAAACGGGGAGCCACCTCTGATTACGGGCCTCCGTATTAAATCCGAAGTTAGCATCAAGAGAGTTCCCTTCAAAAAGGCCTTTTGTCTAAAGAGAAACTCTACGGATGAGTTTTCAAGGGTATGACTCCTATTATGACCTTTCAAGGGTACCTTTGAAGGGTAAGAGGACCCCCAGATTACTCAACCCCAGTGAAATAATAGGTTTGGCTTTATTGGGGCACCATCACTTGAGAGGAACGACCCCCCACTCTCCTTGAAAAAACAAACTGGCCAAGACGGAGAAACAAATAATACTAATAATAATAATAATAATAATAATAAAACGAGACAATCCCAAAATAAATCCGCACCCAAAAACAAATCGGACCCTTGGGTTCACCTGGCCTGACTAGGACGGGGTCATCTCCGAGCGCATCTCCGACGAGCTGCAGCCCTTGCTGGAGGCCGAGAAGGACAAGGCCAAGGCGCGGGAAACGGGCCGTGTGACTGGACACGGACGGCTCGAAAATGGAAAAAACGGAGGGCTGAGGCAACTCGGTCTCCCAGTAGTGCCCTTTTACCAACTTTTTTTTGGGCAGGGTTCCCCTACTAAAATAGACTACAGAAAATTGCGCACCCTTATTCTAACCTCTCTACTGGAGGACCTAGGCAAGAAGGTTTTTCCATTTGTTTGCTTCAGGATATGTGTTATTTTCCCTCTACATTGTAGTTGTCCTTTTGGTTGCCCTTTAATTAAGCTAAAAAAGGAAAACCCATGGGTTTTCTCCCGTTTGCTTTCAGTGGATTGGTTAATTTGCGCCCCCATGAAACGTTGACGTGGAAAACAATGGAGGAAACTTGCCAGAGCATGAGTTTCTATAGAGGCACTCAAGGAACTGAGTGTTAAAAGATTGGTTGTGCCTCCCCACCCAGAGAAATAGGCTCAGGGGTATCGGGGGGACCCAACAGCCCCTGAACCACCTGGAACCGAATCTCTGAAAGGTCTCCCTGAAAGCACCCCTTGTCGCCTATTTGGGCCTATTGACTTCATATCTTTCAGTTTGGGGAAAAAAGCTGATTTTTAAGATATCATGCAAAAAAAATCGGAGAGGGGGGGGGCTGAGATTTCCCCCAGAATTAGATGCTTACGCCAGCTTTCAGAGCTGCCACACCCAGATCTTGAGCTTGACATTTAAGCAGAACATGCTCCCATTAAGAATAACACCCATCCCAACGCGGCGTTTGTTCCCGCTGTGCGCAAACGCGGCTTCAGCGCATGCATGCCAACTGCTGAGGGAGCAGTGATCTTCCGGGCAGACAAATTGTCCCTTGAGGAAACTTGTCTTCCAGGAACGATTTCCAAACGCCAGTTTCCACGTTAGACAGGAGAGTCCACCAAAAAGTGGCACCTAAGTACCCCCGCTATTTCTCTGTGGAGGAGATTGCGGAGATGGTCCGGCTCAAGGACTTGCCCCTTGGCCTGTTGTTCCTGCGGTTCCGGAAGCGCGGGATCCTTTCTGGGATCTGCGATCCGGATACTGTTTCTGAGGTGATTCTGTTGATTCTTTTAAGATTGTTTGGGTGTGTCTTTTTTGAGTCGGTTCCCCTTTCTTTTGTGGCTTTATCGGGAAGCCAAAAGGAAAACCACCATTTTGGGCGGTCCACTAACAAAAGCGACACGCCCATTTCTGGGGGTTATCAAAGTCACAAGCTGGTTGGTGGTTGGATCAGGGACATGTTTCGAATCAGGCTGATTCCCCATTCTCTTCATCGTCATTTTCAAAAGAACCCGCAGTTCCTTGGGTTTAGGCAAGAGGGAAGTTACCCCTAGACCAGAATACTCAAGCCACTCTTGGTTTCAGCCCCCTCATTTGGCAAAATCGTTGTTTGCTTAAGAATATGTTTGCTTTTTAAGTTTAACATTTCCAGGAGGCCTTCGGCAAATGGAAGCTATACATGTAGGAAGAGCCCAAGTCACATGGTCGCAAAATCTGGGGACTTCGTTGGGAAGTCCTTCAGTATCGCAGGCAAGCCCCAACCCCTTTCTCGATGCCTTGCAGATTGGAACTTTGCTGACCAACATTTGGAATGGGCTGCACTCTCAAGACGCCCTGACAAGTTTCAATGGACGCCGCCAGTCAATTGATTCACTTTTGATTTGGGGAAATCCGGTGACCCCTGTGACCAGGGGGCTTGGAACAAGATCCAGCCCAGAGGTTCGCCAGGAAGAGGATTCCAGCTGTGGACCGTGACTTTTGACGATGCGGGGTGTCCCTTCTTCAAAAAAATGGGCGACAATGTGCTGAGTTATTGGTATCTTCTGTAGTCGAGGGGGTTGGGAAACTTAGAACACTATTTTGGAAACGGAGGTTACTCTCCAATTTCCCATGTTGGGGACATGAATGTTGACCATGGCTCAGGTAGCTGGGGGTCGAGGATCTCACTCTAGTCGACCCAGGTTTCTTTTATCGGGTCCTTTAAACCACCGTTTAGCTGAGCAGACGCGGATGTGTGTGTGTGTGAGCGTTTTGTTGAGGCTACCCTTTGACCATGGTTCAAAGGGAAACCAAAAAGAAGCCAACGCCCATGTGGCTCCCAATGTACCAGGGACACCTTTCAACCCCCAGAATCACCAAATCCAAACCAAGTTCAACTACGGGTTACCTGACTTATGATTTACCCTGGTGGTTGTTTATTTAGTTGTAATACTACGGGAATCCATAAATCCGCCGCAGGATCCGCAGAGATGTTCGCAGGGAAAACCAAAAGGAGACCGAGCACCTGGCTTTCAAAGCCCCGTGGTCTAAGATGAGTTTCACCACCCCCAAGCCGCTATAAACCCTTCATCTAGTGGCACTATAGTAGTTCTAAGTCCAAGTACGTCCCTGGGGGTAGTTTTTTTTTTGAGGGTAGTGGAAACCAGCAGACCCTTGGATTTCTTGGCCCAGGTTCACCAAGCCCTCCATGTGGATGTTCGGCGGGGACGGCTGGGCCAACGACATCGGGTACGGGGGCATCGACCACGCCATCGCCTCCGGGAACAACGTGAAGATCGTGGTCTTGGACACCGAGGCGGTTTTGATCCCTCAAAAGCTCTGTTGCAGTGGGTTGCTTCCTTGTTCCTTTTTCTGGGTAAGGGTTCCCCTTTAAAGTCAACCAACAAAAAAAGGGTGCCCTTTTTTCCCATGGCCACTGGGCATCTGCGAATAGGTATGGGTCAAAATGAAACCACCTTGCCACCTGGATATGGACCGCAGGTTTTAGTACCTGTTTCCATTTGCCAGGGGTTCCATTTTGGGTACCTACTTTTGACCCACACCCAAATGTTTGGAGGGATCTCCTTTGGGCTGTTGCCGGGTGGATTCTTTACAGGTGGAGCTTTTAGTCGAATTTCGGCTTTTGGCTTGTGCCATGGATTTGCCGGATTTGACGAGTTTTGCCTGCTGGAAGGCAGAGAGAGATATGGATGTTTCTCAAAATCAAAAGTTGGACCCCTCCAAAGTTTGGTTTTGTTATGGTTTCTCATAAAATACCCACCCAAATGGCTTCTCCATTTTGAGAAACTCCCCGAAAAAGATGTTTCGAGGACTCTTCTGGGGGGACCCCGTTGAACAATGGTAGGGTATGTTGGAGTCATGGAGCTGAAAACAACAACATCACAAACGGAAAGTCAATCGGGTGGAATGTGGAGATAAATATATGTGCGTGTATACATGTGGTTACCTCTCGCCCCCATAGCTAGTGATGCATTTGCTGCTGTCATTCACATACTTGTGTAGTGTGCATGGGCGAGTGATTCTGAGTTTGTTGCTGAACTCGTACCAAAAACCAACAAGTTTTGGCAACCCCTTTTTTGACCCCCCCCCTTTTCGGTTGATTTCCGGGTCACCCTGCACATTGTCAGCCGCAACCCCAAAAGACCTATGTTTCTCTCATGGAAGCTCCTCTTGGGTTATGGACCCATATTTTGGGTTTTCAGTTGGTTTTGCAGAGGAATATGGAACTTATCAAATCACCGCTTCGAACTATTCCCAGCCAGATGTGTGCCGCCGTTTTTCTCCGTGCTTTCAGCCTTGCGCGATTCAACAACCAGCACAAATTGACGCAACGAATCCAAATTGCACTTCCATTCTCACAGGCCACTGCAGTATCCACACACCGCGCCCTTTGGCCAAACACAGACACTCCGACATGGACCTAAGATCTGGCAGGATCTGGCAGAGTCCGGCTTACGAGGCCACTTATTAGGGGCGCTGAAGTAAACCGTAAACCCCTTGTTGATTGATAGGGGGTGCACTCCAACATGATTTTCATTGGCAGACTTAGCTTACCTTTTTAACCTTTGCAGTTTTGGTTTTCCATAATTTTGCATGTCGAAGTGAAAGGTTAACTTTTTTGCAGGGGATCGAAGTCTGATGCCACCGTGGATACAGTTAGGATGGATGAACCCGCAGGACAAATCGCTGATGAACCACCAACGGACTTGGCAACGTTCTAACTCCAAGAAGGGACACGTGGCTCGGTTCCTACCTGGCTTCATCACATTGGTGATTTCTATATGAAACTAAGCCACACAGACACACATGGCTCACATGTCTATAAATATAATATATATATATATATATGCATATATATATATATATATTCATTCATTCATAGATACTTGACCCTTCGCTTGCGCTCGCCCATCGACCCCGCAGCCACCAAAAGACGTTTGTACATACTATGCACATATTTCTCTACACACGTACATCGGTGTATGCATACACCTGCTATCTATTCACTTCTTTATTCCTGCACCTCCTAGCATTCTCCCGGGATGTGGGCCGTGGGTTTGTGTCCTCTCAACTCTCGCCTCCTCGCCGCTCGCTTCGCCGATTTTCGGATTTTTTCGGAGTCCTCGGAGAGTCTCGGAGTCGATTGAGAGGTCTACAGCAACACCGGGGGGCAGAGCTCCAAGGCCACGCCCATGGGCGCCGTGGCCAAGTTCGCCCAGGCCGAAGGGCCCGCGGGCTCGAAGGGCTGCGTGAGTCGTCGGGTCTCGGCGAGTTCGTTTTTTTTTTTGGTTTGGGGGCTTCGATATTTATCTAAACGAAGGATAGTAAGGCAAAATCCCAACTATAAATAGGTGTCTTCGCCGCCTTTTGGATTCCTTACATGGTTCTGTGTAGACCATTTCTATGCCAATCGGTTTTATGACTCTGAGTTTTCTTTTGGGTGCATGTTTAGGGGAAAATGAACAAGGGAACCCTCTGAAGGGCACTGTTTCAGCAAGCCCCAAGGCCTCACTTGCAGGAAGCCAGTGGAATGGTTAGATGGCCCGAGCCACCGGGCCTGGACTAAACCTGTTGCACATTTCAGGCGGGCAGGGACCAGCGCAAGAAGGACCTCGGGGCAATGGCCATGGCGTACCAGCACGTCTACGCGCCGCGCTCGGCGGTCAAGAGGGTCAAGCGCTCGAATCGGAGCTTGTTTTTGGAAAGCTACCCAATAATAGGCTTTGGGGTGGTTTGGGTTCCGGGGCTGTTGGGCATAGCACCCGGGCTTATTTTTGGTCTTAGGCCCTGAGAAAAAATGCAAATAATATTAGCTAATACGGTATCTGCCCAAAGGTGTCATGGTGGATGGGTTTTTTAGAATATAAAGGGCTAAGTGATTGCACTATATTCCCTTATCATGACCAAGTTTGGGTTTGAGGTCCCCCGCAACCCCATTCCAGTTATTTCAGGCAACCCCTAGTGGTGGTTTTTATTGGCCCTGGTTCTTGTAGAGAGTAAATGGGGAAACTACCTCAGGAGCAACACCTCCACACAACCGGGCTCCAAACCACCAGCCAGAGTACTCCGGAACCCCTCCGGAGCCCGGCATCCACACCTGGGCCGATTCCAGCGGCCCGAAGGGCCCGGGTGTTTGGTCAATCGACCCCAGTCTTTTCCAGACATTCGTTTCTTTTGACCGGAGATCACAGCTGGTGGTTTCCCTTTACCCACGGGCCAAAGTGAGCTTTTAATGAAGGGCAAGTGGTTCTGGCTTTTCAACCCGGCGGCTTTCTGGAAAGCAACCCAGGTGTGGGGAAGCGGTTCTGGAACAATGCGGAGCAGGAATATTATATATGTATGTTGAAAGATACACATATTCTTCGATTCGTGGCCCCGCGACAACAGTCAGAGGTAACGCCGCGCCAAAATCAAGGCAAGAGCAAATGGGTTCGATCAGAATACATTTGTATATATTTGCTTATTTTCTCTATATCTATACATGTGTTGGGGTAAAACTTTAAACCCATGCTGAAGGTCCGGAACTCGAGGATTCCGGGATCCTTCCTCCCGGCCTCGCTCCTTCCGGCCTCCCGCCTTCAGCGCCATCGATGCCTCCTCGCCTTCCGATGGATGCGTCAGGTGGCCTCGTGCGCCATCGGGGCCAACTACAAGCAGACGGTGGAGGCCTTCGCCGAGGCGGAGAAGTACGCACCTCGGAAGAACGAGCCGAGCAAGAGAAGACGACGAGAGGAGTTGCGCTCCCGGGGAGAGGGGGGGGGGACGGACGGGTTGGGGGGGGAGAAGTGGGTGGCTCACGTCGTTTTGTTTTTTTGGAGTTGGTAAACTTGGGCCCCTTAGTTTGGCGGAAAAGGGGAACTAAGAGGAGAACACATTTTGAGACAAGGCCAAGGTCCGCCAGGGTTTGATATTTTTGGGGTCCCGAAAGGCGGGAGGCCAGAAGGAAAATCATTTCTTCATGTATACATATATATATATATATATATGAGTGTTGTTGCCTTTTGTTTTGGGGGGGGGGGGAGATGAACTTGAGGACTGATTTTGGGGAAACGGGGGGGGGATCAGTGGTATTATTTCGTGCGCAGAGAGCAGTCTGTTTGGTGCCATGTTTGGTTGGAGAAAGTGGGGTTTGTTTGGTGGAGAGAGTTGATCTGTTTGCCATGTGGGGCCTGCAACCTGGGCTTTTGAGCAGATTATGCCTGACTGAAACCTGGGTTTCCCTCGTGTCTTGGTGGCCTCTGTTCTTTTTGAGCACATTGTTTGACTGCCGGCTGCTTAATTTTGGGACAGTTACTTGAGGAAGCCAGGGTTGGTGTGTCGATTGTTTGGTCTCCTGTTCGGTTGAACAAAAGCGAGACCCCTTTGAAGGCGGTTGGTTCTGCACTCACAGAAGAGGGCCACAGTAGCTTCAACCAGCAGTGGGAAAGGGGTGAAACGGCAAAGCAGAGTCAAGAAATGAGGGGAAAAAAAAAACGGGCTCCTCAAAACAATGACCACACTGCAAGCAGCTGGCAGATTGGGCGAGGCGGTTTTGCCGGGGACCAGTTTTCTACCCTTTTGCGGACCAGGTCTTTGGTGTAGCCCTTCTTCAAAGCGCAAGACATAATTTTCGCACCCGAAGGCGAAATGAGGGGAGCTGCTTTTGCCAGGTTTTCACGAGTAGATATGTACCCCAATCCGAATGGTGTAAAGTGCAGTAATCCCTTTGGTGCATTTTGCTTGGATGTTAGGACTTTAAGTTTTTGCCAACTAAGGGGTTTTCCATTAAACCACTAAAAGTTAAACTTTTAGCAGAGGAGCAGAAAGCAACCGAGATCCTGCACCATGTGGGATAGATGAACTCCGAGCAACGGGATAGCCTAGCGATCACCTCGAATTTGACGCAAACATTTGCTCCAAGGATGGGCCAGCGCTGCTGATGTGCTACTCCCCGTGCATCGAGCACCGCTTCTTCAAGACAGGCAAGGTGGGTTAGGATGGGATTGGCCGGACGCCTGGACGCTCCAAGCCATTCATGGACATCTTCAGGGCAAATTGGGGCGGTGGGGGTACTGTGGACAAAAACATCCACTTCGCACCAGCTAGTAGGTGGCCTATCTCATGATTCACAGGGTTTTACTTGTCAATCCTATTCGGTGAGAAGCATATTTCGTCCATCCAGAGTATCACTATCGCTATGACACGCTTAAGAAGTTTCCTTATATTAAAGGTGTATCTTCGGCCTATCCAGGCTTATCCATGGTTAGCCCTCCCCCCGTTCAAATTAGCTCATTTTTTGGAGATCCAGGACAAATCGGTGTAAAATGGGGTTGTGGGGTTGATCATCATGATGAAGAACACCCTCAAACTGACTGGCTTGCTGTTGGTTTCCCAATTCAATCATAAAAAGGGTACCTTCAACAAAAATGACTCGCCCATATGTGTATATATATATATACATATACATATATACATACACATATATATATATATGATCATTGAGCCCCCCAACCCAAGCATGGCCAGATGAAGTTCGCAGGCTCATCAATGTGCGCCTTCCCTGTTGACTCGTTTCCCTGCTTTTGTCATGGAAGCCAGCTTTTCCGGAATTTCTACAGGGAGTCGGATTTCCAAACACCAACCAAAAGAACGAGGGTTTTCCGTGAACCTTCTCTTTTTGCTGGTTTCTTAGATTTTTGGTAGACTTGTTTATGACTCAAAGCAGGTTTTTGCATGTGCCCACAAACTTGTGCCGTTGTGCGGTTTGGTTATTCAGAAGGGAATGCTTGCTACTGCATTGGACGAAACCCGTTCGCACCACCTAAGAAACCATGAAACCGTTGTTTGTTGGTATTTACAGGGGAATCGCATCCTTCAAGGGTTTCTTAGGTAGCGCGAAATGGATTTCGTCAATCCACAGTAGCTAAGCAGTGCCTCAAAGTGGTATGTGAGGCGGGATTCGCCCATTTGCTCAAGGGAAGTAAATAAGTGTCCCCTTCCAGGGAGGGTTGGTGAAGCGCGGGCCCCAACCAAAATTTGCAGGTGTCCCCATGTTTAGTAGTTCCCTTTTCAGCCCGTTTAAATATCACGTTCTGGGCCACTTTCAGATGAGTTTTCACTTGGTGGGGGATGTTTATGGCATAGCCCTGAAGGATACAAATTCGGGCAAGTTGTTTGCAGCGGCTTAGATGTCTCACATCCGGCGCTTTTTTTCTTTCTCTGCACTATATAGGAGACTTCCTCCGGTGGGAGCTGCGTGAGTGTTCCGAAAGTCCAAACTAGGACCCCCTGAACGTCACGTTCCATGTTACTTAGTGGGAGGGTACGACTTGGGCAAGTGAAAATGGGAATTTGGGCCCAGCTGGTTTGGCTCCCCTGCACCTCGGCGCGAGGCCTATCTGCCATGTCTCTGGATCAGAAGGATGCTGTTGAGTGCACCTCGCTGGGTTTGGGGCCGTCTGGAACCGGTTGGGGCCAGTAAAGGACCCCACAAGGCATGGGTGCGTCCTTTTTGGTGGATTCCAGTTTCAAGCCAAACGGAAACCATCCGTTTTTGGGGTTTCCCCTATTTGAGACAGACCCAGATGGTCTAGAGGCTTGTGGTGGCGTTTGAAGGGTGGGAAAACGCGGTCAAGCCACTGCGAAGGACTTCACTTTGGACCCAGAACCAGTTGGCGTTCGTTTCGTTTTGGTCGCTGTCGTTGTAAAGCTCAGTTGCCCAAAGGGGATCCACCTTTTGACCGGTTGCTTTCCCTGGTTTGGCAAAACTTCGCCTTTTATGTCCAGGTCCTCTGGTCAAAGTCAAGCAACAATAATATGTGTGTGTGTGTGTTCCCTTCGGAATTCTGGAACTTGATTGGACGACAAACCTTTTTAATGGGTCTGTTTTTGAGTTCAAAGGGAAACTTAAGGGATCCCTGTTGAAAGCAGCACCAAGGTGGGGCGAGCGAGCCAAATCATAGTGGCTCGTCTTTTTGGGAATCGGACCCCAACAAGGCGGTTTTTCCGGGTTCCTTTGACGTTCTCATTTTTTCACCAACCAAAAAGGGGGACCCTCACACGGCGCCACCCATATTTGTTGAGCCGATCGTTTTACTGACTTATTGGCTGACGAGACGTATCCATCAAAAACGCCCTGTTTGATCAAAACGGGGCCGAAAAGGAGATCGTCCTGGGCCTCCAGACTACAACAGAGCCATGTATAGCTATAATATGTGCCATGGTCAGGATTTGATATACCCTGCATAAGTTGCGTGTGTGGAAATTGAAAAAAAATAGAGAGTCTGACATAGACTAATCCGTTCCTCTAATAGTAACATGCGACTCCCCAATGAACAATTCTCTGCGGCGAAACAAATTGTATGGTTGGGGGTTCCTGGGTTTCAAGTGTGGCGACGTGTTTTGTTCACTTTTGGGTGGATCTGGTCATGAGCAGCCAAAATATGTTCCAAAATGCTGTCTTCAAGTAAAGGATTTAAACAGAAGCCGCAACCTGTTGTTCTTCTTCCACTGACTGAGGGGCAATGGGTCCCTGGACATTTTGCCGATCTCATCCCATCTTCAAGCTGATGTGAATCATGGCCTTGGTCCCCAGGAATCGTTACGATGGTCAACATTTCCTAAAAAGGCCCTGACCATCCATAGCAAGCACAAAGAAGACTCTCGGATCGACCATTGCATTTGCTTGAGTGTGTGGGTGTGTCGTTTTTGATGGTGCCGTTTTGGGTTGGTTGTAAACGGGAACAAACAGATAACAACATTTTTTTAAGTAAAGGCATTGTTATCGGGTGGTGGATGGTTCCCCACGTTGCTTGCGGGTCTCGCCAGTCTCAATGATCATGCTCCCTTCTGCGCCTTCCCTTCTCGCATCCACTTTTCTTGCGCCTTTTTTGTCGAGGGTACCCTTTTTGAGTAGGTTTCAATTGGAAACCACAGGGAACACCGTTGCGCAATTTTGCGCAGGTCAACCCCAAACAACAACCGCACACCCGTTTTGGCGCGCGAGTTTCGGGCGAATTGCTGAGGCGGGTACTGGCCCCTCTACCGCTTCAACCCCGCACTGGCCAAGCAGGCGGGCTTCGTAGGGCATAACCATGCCCTGGGATGCATTTACCACCATGCCAAGGTTGGGTTCATATAACCACCATTGTTTTCCTCTAGGATTGTCGTCATTTGAATTGAGTCGACCATTCTTTTTATTGGGGGTTGAACCCTGGGGCATGGTGAAATGGGTTGAAACTCCAGTTATCCCAGCTATCAGAATGGTTATGCCCCACTTAGTGGCTTGAACATCCAAGTTCGTTAGTTTCAAAGCTGTTGTTTGTTGGGTTCCTCCCCTCAAATGGTTAATTAAGAAGAGACCGCTTTGGAAGACCTGAGGGCTGCTTTCCTTTTTTCCCAGGGACCCTGCAAAGACCCCCTTCCAAATGCAGCCATAGGCCCAGCAGGTTGGGACGCGGGCCTGACTGCGGGCTCACTTCCTGAGTTCAGACGGTTTGTTGGAGGTCTGTTTTTTTCCAATCCGCTGGCGGTGAGAGAGGTGTCTCTTTAGAACTGAACTGCCGAACAAGGGCACCATTGGTTTCCACAGTCATTGGAGTTCCGCGTAAGTTGCCTGGTTTTTGCCAACCCTGAGAGTGCCCTCAAGCAGCTGGGTATCTCTGTTTAACGCGTTGGTCTCACTCGATGGGCACGCGCCCTATATTTTCATATATCTATATATATGGGGAAATGCATTGTTTTGCCCACCAAAATGCGTGGGATTTTCCTGAGAATTTGAGAGGGGCCCCTGGAGAGAGAAAGGACATCCACACCACTTTTTCTTGGTGGTTCCCAGCCATTTGTTTAGGTTTTTGGGCTTTTAGGGTTTAGTGGTTGGGTTTCCATTCAACCCACTAAAAGTTCAATCAAATCGCAGGGGATCTGAGGACATGTGCCATTTGGAACAAACAACACTGCGCCAGCCCACACCGAGGACCCTTGCCTTGTGGACGCGGCTTTCGTCCGTCGAGTTTTTCTTCAATTTCACGGAATGGGTTTGTCTCAGAGTAGCGGAAGCCTAAAATGTGCGGTTTCTCCTTGGGTTCCCTTTAAACCTGCCCAACAAAGGGTTCCAAGTCCAAAGATACGTTTTCTGGGAGCCTTTTGAGCGGGACGTTCTTGCATGCCCCAGACCCCAGTCCGATTGAAACACGCGACAAAAACACGGATGTGGTTTGATATCCGTTTTGAACAGATCAGTTTTCAACGCACCGATGGGTTGCTGACGTGAGTCCGCAGACCCAATCGGCAGGCTGTGAATGCTGCACCCGACACAATTGGGTGTGTTGTCTCTTCAAAAAAAGCCTTTTGATTGATATGGAAAGGAAAGCCCACGGAAACCAAACAAATCACCTTTAACTCAAGGGTCCCCCGGATTTTGAGGACACCCACGCGCCCACGGGACGGGGTCCGTTTGTTACCCGTGGCTTTATTTGCAGCGAACCCCGGATAAATCAACCCCTGGTTGCTTTGGACTGGGCGGTGCCTCCTTGATTGCGGGTTTATGCAAAAAGGGGGCAACATCAACTCACTTGTCCAAAGCCGACCTTTCGACCTTTTGGTTTTCCCTTTTTGGGTTCCCATTTCCAATCATGGCAACCCCAAAGGTGATCACCTGTTGTTTCCAGGTTCTTTGGGCAACTGAGTCAACAGGGACGCCCACGAATCAATCCCAGGTGCGAATCGGCTGAGGAGCAAGGATTCCTCCCCTCATGCGACTGAAGTTCCTGACACTGAGCACTTTAATGGTGCGATTAAAAACGCGCGGCGCATGGACACCGTCAGCTTGATTCATTTGGGGTCAACATTATCAAGGGTTTTGGTTTTGAAGATCACATGTTTTGAACAAACCTCTGAGCAATCAAGACTATACTTCCCCTTTTTTGGTTGCTAAGACTAGACGTACTTAGCTTTTTCGGTGGTTTTGATCACATCCCATGCTTCGGGTCAGGGCGCCAACCCCTTCCTCCTGGACTCCAAGAAGGTCACGGGCGACGCGCCTCGGAAGCTTCGGACGCCTCGGGCGAAGCCGAAGGGGTTCGCGAGATCCGAAAGGTATGGAGCCTTGTGGTGTTTGGGGGGGTGGGGGGGTGGTTTTGGGGGGGGTGTTTTTCGGTGGTTTTTGGGCGGGTCAAAGGGACGAAGATGGGGAAACGACAAACCTTCTTGGGCGATGTTTGGTTTGTTTGTGTTTTTTTGGCTTGTTTTTGGTCGTTGTTTGTGTTTTTACATGGAGTTGTCAGTTGGAAGCCAAGAGCCCGAGCTTGAGGCGCGAGGTGTTCTTGCCCCCAAGGCTTTCGCAAGTGATACTGTGGATGGACCAAATCCATTTCGCGCCAGCTTCGTCCACCTATACCGCCCTGTACACCGTGAGATTTCAGTGGTTATTTTTGGGTTTTGCGCCAGTACGAGGCCCACACAATTCTCCCATGTGCTTGGCAGTCAAATGATGCTGGCGGCTCGGCGGCTTCAATGGCTTGAACGGATCTTCAACCCCCGATTAACCTTCCAAGTAAGCTCTGAAAAGAAAACGATTCTCCATGGCTCATTCCGCTCATTCCCCCTCCACCCCGGCACACACCTTGTGGTTGAACCTCTTCCACGCCCATTTGGGCGGTTTAAGATGGTTAAAGCATCACTTCTGCGCCGTCAAAACGTGAGTTTCATTTTGGGTGATATTGAACGGGACAGGAACACGCGTGAAATCTTAGAGCAAACGGGTGGCGTTTGCGCTTGGGGATTGGACCGGACCGTCAAAACAATGAACCTCCAAACCCTGCATAGTAGTCCATATTTTGTCCCAAATCAACACATCCCCCCCTCCCCCACGCGGGGAAGCTTAAAGCGCCCGCGCCCTCCCTCCTTGCTCCCTGCCACTCGCCTTGTGAAGTTCTCCACAACAACTGGGTACCGTCAAAAAGGACACCCCCCATCAGCTTTTGGGGGTATCCAAATGGGGGTCGATCAAAAGGTCTTTTACATGGGATGACCATCAGGGTAACCACGAAAAAAGATGATACTCCCACGGGACGAAAATATGCCTGGTCAAAACTGGGTGCCTTCCACCCAACATACTTTTCAAGCCCCAAATTCGCACCTCCGAACAGATTTGCCGCCTGCCTCGTGCGGTCCATGCGTCGAAGCGCGCCACGTGCGGTGCGCGGTGTGAATACACGGCCGAGGTCATGAAGTTCCTGAACCGCCAGAACCGCTACGCCCAGCTGGTGCGCAGCTCCCCGGCGGTGGCCGAGAAGCTCCAGGGCGAGCTGCAGGCCACTGAGGGGGGGGGGCGGGGTGAAGGAGGGCTGGAAGTCTTCACTGGTGTTGGTTCAAGTCTTTCTTTTTTTTCTCCTTCCTTGCTTGTTTCTGTTGGTTCTGTTCATTTTTAGTAGGGGGCCGCCAAAAACACCAGGTTTTTGCCAGCCCATACCAAGGGGTTGAGAGGTCTGCGGGTTGGGGTCTTGAAGTTCCTGAGTTCCTGGGCTTCAAAGCTTGGGTTTGGACACGTGGAGTCCGCCAACAGAAATCAATTGAGGGGCCCCTTGCGTTACATCTCTGATTACACAACCCCCACAACCGTTGGTATTTAGAGGCATCTCCTCTTTTCCCTGCAAACAAACGTGAAACCTGAGCATTTGAGGTGGAAAGGCGATTCCTCAACACGGTTGACACGTGCCTAACGGCAACAGGCAACCCGCTTTGAACAAAAGGCAAACGGCTCTTCAAACACACGGGTTGAATGGCAGAAGCACGAGGCGCGATTCGCGAGGAATCTTCTTTCGAGGCCCCGCCTCCCGTTTGATGTGTGGGATAGACGAAGGGACCTTTTGGTTTCCTCTGAGCAAAGAGAGCAATCGAAAGGAAACACCCCATTTTGGTGGGTCATCCCGATGTTTGACATATTCCCCATTTGGGTGATCAAAATTCAGATGTTTCTTTGAGACCCCATTTGTTTTTAGAAACTCTAGTTGTGAGAACCTCCTTGTTGTTGAACAACTCACATTTTGAGCCCCCCTCCCCCCCTTTTGCTGACAAGAACCCAGAAAACAAATACCCCAAAGGAATGAGGTTGCAACATAGACCCTAAGTGTCATCCCCCCCCCCAATGTTTTGAGAACACTCCTCATTCAGGTGTCCCTCAATTTCCCTTTTCGCACCTCAAATAGTGTCAGTTTCCATGGACCCACCGAATCATAGCTTTTAAAAGGGACATCTAGTGAGGCCCCCCCGCCCCTCCCCCCCACCCGCCCCTCGCCACTGTGCGGATTGAGGTCTACCTCAAGGACCGCCACGCCTCCCTGCGTGAGAAGGCGTCGCAGCTGTCGAAGGACGCCGCGTCCCTCAAGGACGGGGTCGCCATGGGCTCGCGTCCCTAAGCCACCAATCAGACACTTACTTGCCCAAAGCCGACCTTTTGACCTTTCAGTTTTCCGGGTTTGGTCTATTTTTAGTCATGACCCCAAAAGGTGATCACCTTTTATTTCCAGGTCCTTTGCGCAAGTGAGGACAGGTTCCTAAAGAAACCGAGGCCCAGGGGTGGCCGTTACCACAAGAGACTCCGCCGGGGGGGGGGGTCCCGCGGGGGGTCGGTCAGGAGGGCCTGGAGAAGGCGGGCTCGGCGGAGCAGGTGCTCATCGCCTTCGGCTCCGAGCCTCCGCTCGAGTTGGGAGGTGGGAGGTCGGGCGGGAAGGGGACGTCTCGGAGTCGTGGCTTTTTTTTTGTGTGTGTGTGTGTGTGTGTGTTTCAGTTTGTTTTTTTTGGGGGGGGAGATGAGGAGATTGAAGGGAAAGCAAAAGGAAGGCCGAAGCCAGTTTGGAGGGGTCCAACCTCACAAAAGACGGACCCGGACGGAGCATTGACATGCGAATGGCCCTGACGAAATGAACGGCGTTCCAATGAAACTGAACTTTTGGAAGGTCCAAGGGGGAAAATTGAGGGACCCGTCTCCCCGCGTTCCTGGCTTTAGAAAAGGCACCCCTTGTTGCTATAAGTCGGAAGTCGGTGGGCAACTTGGTGCAAGGGAACAAGAAATCGAGTCAGCCATGGCTTTTCGGCTTACTTGTAGCTAGGGATCGCTGGATCGCGCTGTGAGAATGTGGATGTTGTCGGTGTTGCAATTTCCAAGGAAGACTACACGATGTGAGCTTGAGTTGTTGCCCTGGGGTTGTTTATGACATCACCAATCAAGGTTCCTTTCGTTGCCCGTGTGTGGGTCGATGTCATTGTTCTCTGAGACTATTGCTCATACAACCCTTTGTGGTTTTCCTTCAAGGCCATGGTGGTGGATTCGCTATAGCTTTTTTGTTGGGAGGGGGGGAATTAGCACCTTGTGTTCGGTTTTGAAGCACCTCACAGCACCTTTCTATTGATATAGGCCCTAGTAATTCACGCAGATTGATTTGTGAGCCCTCAAAACTCTGCGGATTCACGTCTTGTCCGCGGGAAGATACCTTTTTTCCAGCAAAAACGACCGTTGCCGGAGTTTTGTCAGAAGATCTTGTATATTCAAGGTTGACAAGATGAACAAATATGAAACAGCATCTGAACCTCACGTGTTTCACCTGTTGCTTTGATTCAAAGGGTTGGGTTACAGGAATTTCTACAGGAAAAAGCAGCTTATTGCGGGTTCCTATGGCCATTTTCTGTAGATTTTGCCGGTAACCCAACCCTTAAGACTGATTATTAACACATTTTGCTTCGTTTGATTGGGATCCATCAGGGGTCAAGGCTCCCTACTTGGGAGATCTGAGGACACCGGCGTCACCGAGCAGGTGGCCAAGAAGTTTGCAGGCCGGGCTCTTGCTGGATGCCTCGATGCCGGGCTCGGGACCGGTGGATCGTTGCGAGGGAGAGGTCAGGCGCATAGGCGTGCTTTTTGTTTGTTTTGGTAGAAAAATGGATGGCGATTCCTGGTTTACCTGGTGGTTTAATCATCTTCCAGGGCCATCTATTTCCCCTAAGAGGACACCTATGGTCGGGTGACATTTTTAACGTGACCCAGCGACATACGGTGGGTGGACCTGTTTCCATTTCGTGTCGGCTGGTAGATGGTTTGTTCCCAGTGGTGCAGGATGTTTGGTATGGATCGATGTTTTGGGGGGGGTATACCGGTATACCGGTATACCCTTTTTGGCGGGTTTGAAAGGGCAACATGGGAGCCCAAAGTTGACCCTCCACATGGAGGGGTGCCAGTTTTGAGCAACATCATCAGCAACGAAGAACCCGGTTCCATTTGGCCCGGTTCTTGGCGCCCTCGGCGGAAGAAGCTGCCCCTAGAATTCCCAACCCAACCATTGTTTTACTTTTTGATGGTGGGTTGAATCTCGGGGCATGGAGCAACAGTCCCGGTGTCACTTTGAAGGAACCCCAAGTGCCCGCAAAAGAGGGTCAGTTTGCACTTGGTGCGATAAGTAGGAAATGAACCCAGGGGTCCCTGAAAGGAAACCGCCAGTTGGATGATTTAAATCAAGTCATTCCCCCATTCCCTGCTGAGTGCATGATTGAAGCAGGACTCATGTCAGGGTGTGGCTCAAAATTAACCAGGAGGTGTAACGCCGGCTTTGGTCCATGTTTCCACTTGCCAGGGTTCCATTTTGGAATTCCGGTTGTTTGAGCCACAGCCATGTGAACCGCACCCCCCCCCCCCCTCCCCCCGGCTGCGTCCTTCCTGCCTTCGCCCGAGGCCTCTGCGAGGACCGGGGGGTGGTGGTGCGCCGCGTCTGCGACCTCGACGAGCTCAGCGACATGGAAGAGCTCAAGGCAGAGGGCCCACGCGATCCGTTCGCCTCATTTCCGGGCTGTGGATGTGTGTGATGCTCAAGGGAGACCAAAAGGGAAGCCACGTGTTTTTGCAGATCCCCTTATCTTCAACAGTCAGTTATGTTTTGGCAGGTTCAACTCTGGCCATTTTTCTACGAAGCGGTTTGGATGCTGTTTTGTGGATTCCTGTTCTTCTCCCTGGTCGTTTCTGTACAGTGGATCCACAAAGACCGCATCCAAACCGTTTCCTAAGTAAGGGTTTGGCATGATTACATGTTTCCCTTGAACATGACGAACCACGAGGAGGATAAAATCCTAGGTATGGGGAAAAGGGTAAGGCCCCCGCCCCTTCCCCCCCAGGCACCCTCCTTCTCACTCGGGGGTTTTCTCGCCTTCGGAAGCGTTTCGCCGCAGGCGGCGACCGCTGGCGCGGTGTGCGTCGTGATGTGCGCCACCTGCGGGCACGGGGACTTCCCTCAGAACAGCCCGGGTCCCGATGTGATCGATCGACTGTCGAGCGGGTATCTGGGTATGTCTCAACATAGGGCTACCCCCGAATGGTGGTTTCCTGTTGGCTTTCCTTTCAACCAACCTCACAAGGGTACTGTGAATAGAGACAGACCCATCTATCGATCGATCTAAGTTGTTTTGTTTTCAAGCAAATGACGTACGCAGTGCATGCATGTATTGCATGCATGTATTGCATGCATGTATTGCATGCATGTATTGCATGCATGTATTGCATGCATGCACGCCTGCATATATGTCACTAGGGTGTGTGTATGTGTATATATATATATATGCACATTATTTCAATATCGATATGTATTTTTATAATGCCTGTATGTATCTTCCTATACAGATGTGTAAAACATGTATTACGGGTGAGGGGCATGAGCGACCCGCTAAATTCGCAGGGACCGCCGAATTTGATCGTGGCTCAGAGCTCGCCGCTTTGCGACCTTATGTTTGTATTGGGGTGTCTTTTTAGGCCCCCCCAACAAAAGAAGAAGCATATAGTGGCTTTCCTCTTGGTAGTCCTTTAAAACCACAAACGCCTTGGTACATGTCTCTGGTACATGTGTCCGTTTAAGAAGCCAACCATTTAACAAATCATTTTGTAGCTGGTATGTTTCCCTGCGAGTATAGTTGGTTTAACATGAGGTTTTGAGGTTGGTACGCTGGCCAATAAACCAGGGCGCACGCCAAACATGTCAGTGGAACATAGAGGTTGCTCACCAACATCTCATGTCACTTGGGGATACAGTCATCATCAACTGTGGCTCTCACACGTGTACATATACAGATATATAGAGAGATATAGATGTGTGGTATTTTGTTTGAGACACCTAATTGCCTGAGGAGCACACGCTTGAGCCCTTTGACTATGGTGCATGTGTTTTGCGGATTCGATTCCGGCAAGTGAGGCGGGCTCTTTTGGAGCAGTCTGTCCTCGCCCAGCTTGGCCAACAAGGAGCGCCGTTCGCGTTGGCAAATCGAACGAATCTAACGAATTGAAGGATCTGGGTGGTTTTTGGGTTGGTTTAGGGTTGGATTGGGGCTGTTCAGCGTTGGTTCAGGGTTGATTCAGCTTGACATAGGTGTTCCTTCTGCTCGAGTTAGGATTGATTCGGGGTTGGTTTGGTTTGTTGAGGGTTGCTCAGGTTGCGTGAGGCCGGGGTGCGGGTTGTGTAGCGGTTTAGGGATGGTTTGGGGCGGGGAGGCCAAACGGCTGTGGGAGATTCGTGAGGAGCTCAGTGAAATGCGGTTCTGCACCTTCGGCATGGGCGACCGCAGCTACCACGACTCCTTCTGCGAGGAATTCGAAGGGTGAGGGCGATGCTCGCCGAGGGAGATGGGAGTGGGACGCCAACACAGGTGGACTTAACCCCAATGGTGTCACTATATTGGGAAAATCAACCACACCTGGGGTTAAGTTTAATTGCTTGCGGGGAGGATCAACAAAAATGGAACCCTGTTCTTCCATGATATCCGTGTCCCGTCCTTCAGTGATATGCTAAGCCAGTACATTAGATAATCGATCAATGAGGAGGAGTTTGAATCAACCCCCTCAGATGGACTCACAAAAGGAGTTTGTTTAACCCAGCCAAAGGAGGTTGAAGACCCTGTACATAATGGTTGCTTATAGGTGGACTTTAGGTGCTTCATAGGCATCAAGGTAACAGGGCGTGAATGCTTAATTTACCCAAAGGGATGTTTTTGTCAGACCCCCCATTTAGTACGAAGTTGGGTCATGTTGAGACTTCAAACACCCCCAGAAAGAAACAGTCGGGCCACTTTTTCTTGCACCTGCCCTTGGCAAAACAGCTGCCCCTTTTGTTTGGCTTCTTAAGGGAAGCAAAGGCCAACTCAGCATTTCCGTAGCGCGGACTTTTACAAAGAATCAGTTGGGCTACTTTAGAAGGGGGTGTTCAACCCACTAAGTGGGGTATGACCAAGGTCATGACTGGGCTACCTGGGAGTAGAACCCGTATAGTATAAGCCATGGTTGCTGTGGGTGGACGCAATTGAAATCCATTTCGCACCACTTGGGATAGAAGAAAGGTTGATATACCACCAACGGGCACGAAGTGGGTCTTGTCCATCCACAGCATGGCCTACGGAGTGCATGGACCATCCAAGTCGAGGCGTTTTGTTTTGGGCAGAAAAAGAAATCATTTTCTCGGGGACCCCCCAAAAGGCTGTGTTGCCCTTTGCCCTTTTCAACCACTAGGGGTGCCCTCAAAGAATGGCACTCTCTTTTGAGCTCCGGTTTTCCTTTTGGTTTCAACCCAGGATGAAAAGGGCATAGCCTCACTAAAGCACACCCCCAATCCAGCACCCCCTTCCTCACTGCCGCTTTTTCCCATGTCCAAAATCCCAAGTGTCCACAAGGCAGCGGCTGGTGTGCTGGATACTGTTCATCTTGCCTGAAAACAAATGCAAGTACGACTAGGTCGCCCAGTAGTGCCCTTTTACCGTTTCTCTTTTTTGGGGAGGATTCCCCTTCTAGACTACAGAAAGCAAGTTGGTACCCTTGTTCCAAGTCCTCTCTACTGGAGGACTTAGACGAGGCTTACCAGCCGCTTCAAACAAAAACGCCACGCGGGGCCGGGCCAAAAAACCGTCGAGTCCTCGGCTCCCTTCGATCGCAGGCCGCGAAGAAGATCGAGGCGCGCATGCTGGAGCTCGGCCACTGGGACAAGAAATCCCGAGCGCTGAGCCAAAAGGCACCTTTTCTTAGCTGCTATCGTTTCACTTCTTGGGAAATCGAGGGTTTTCCAATCAACCCCCAAATTCTTAAACTTTTTGCAGGGGGGTCCTTTGGGAGTAGGGGATAAACTAAACTAGGGTTCGGATGTTCGCTACCTTTGGGTTTAAGCCTTTGGGTTTCGCTAACAAAAACTTAGGTGTATCCGCTACCTTTGGGTTGCTTGAAATAGGGGACGTCCAAGCTGACATGCAACCGTGAAGTCGTCCTTTTTGCTTTCCCACTTAAAACCGAGCACAAATACAAGGCCGTCAGAAAAGACACCCACATGAAAACCGCCAGTTTTTGGGGTTCCCGATTTTTAAGAGACGTGCAGAATAAGCAGAATCACTGTTTGAGGGCTTATCTTGGGTGTAGTCTAGGGAGTCTAACTGTGATCAATTGACTAATCATGTTGCTCCCCTGCAGGTTAACATGGAAGCATTTTTGGGTTCCACGTGGTTTTCAGGGAAGTAGCCTGTTAGGTTGTCCTTCATGTTCCGTTTCAACCACCAGCAAGTCGTTCTTTTTTGGCAGGGGGAGAGATCAGTGTGACTCAGCATGATGCAGCCGTAGGTACTTTTTTTAAGGTCAGATTCTTGAAAGCTAACATGTTGAACGTGCCGGAATTCGGACGTTCAAGAGACAGCTATTTGGGTTGAAGTAGCAGTGGCCCTGGCGGGGAAACCTTGTAATGGTTGGGGTTGTGTTCAGGCAAGCAGATGACCATTATGTACCTAACTTTGGCTGTCATTCGAAAAGGACGACCCCCAGCGAGGGCATTTTCAGGCATGGATTCTGCAAGTGTGGAGGTTATACTGCCTTACAAGCTTGCATTGGTGGAATATTTGCCTTACCTCCAAAATCCACGCCTGGAAAATACTCTAGCGTGTAAACTCAATCTGACCTGCCATCTTCTAGTGGCTGTCTTGAGGAAACGAAACAAATGCGTCGCCTTTCTGGGGGAACATCATTCCTGACCAAGCAAACATAGACAGCCAGACAAGCTCTGCATAGGCAGCGGAGTGTAAGAAGCCAGCTCAACCAATTTTTAAAGCACCCAACACCCACAGGACACAAACTCCCAGTTCAGTCATTCGGAGTTTGTCGCTTTTGGCGGGTCCTTCAATACGACTGGGTCCTGCCCACATGTGGGGCTCCCGACTTCTCTATTCAGGTCACGTAGGTGGGAAACTCAGACAAACAAACAAGCTGGGATGTGGGGGAAGCAGGGATGCCGGCATAGTTGCCAGGAACAAACCCTAAACCCAAAACCCTAAACCCGTCGACCCTCTTGACATGGTGCCCTTTAACCACGGCAGGGAGATCCCCGCGTCGCATCGCCGCGAAGTTCGTTTCCCCCGAGGAGCCCAGAAGCTGCTGGAGATGGGCATCGGGGATGACCGGGACGAGGAGCCCGGCGCGAAGCCGCCGAATCGCTCGGCCAGGTTTTTTTTGGGCGTCCTCCATTTTGTTTTTCAATGTTGGGGTACACATAAGCCACAGAATCTGTGACAAGTTGTTTTCTATGTACGCCGGATGTGGGTTAAGCTTGGGAGATTCTACTGTTTGGCTTCGTGGATAACAAGGCCCGTCTAGATCTTTCATGATGTCGGTGGAACCAACTGTCAACGGGGTTTAGGGCACTGCTCAATTGGCTTGAACAGCCAGACCTTGGCGAAGTGATCCTTCTGGTCCGCCTGGTTGGACAAACCTGGAACCTACTTGCAGTACCCCTTGAGAAAGGGCAACCGAAAGCATGCAGTGGATTATTGACACATGCTGAAACGTGTCTTTTCTTGATTTGTACCTGGAGACCTCAACGGACCTAATGGGGGTACCAGGTTCATCAAGGATCGAGGCCCATGTGCCAAGCATTTGCATTTATCGGCCGCTCTGTCGGCAGATACCCAACTCGGCAGCTTCTTGGTGGTTTTCAAACCTCACTTGGGCCAAGTTGAAGTGAGTCTCCGACCCGATTGGTCGGGTGATGCTTGCAGTGGAAACATAGGGGAGCCCTGCCTGGTTGTTGAACGAAAGTGGTTTCAACATCAGGGGGTCCGTGTCGATCATTGGTTTCACAGTTTCTGAGGTTTTGGGTTGGGTTGGGTTTGGGTGTTTGATCAAAGTCAGGGTTCCATTGTAATTTGCTGGAGGGGAGGAGGGGTTGGCTCTGATGGGGAAGCGGCGCATGCTTGCAGAACATTGGATTTTGGTGTGGCTTTCCGTGATACCAAGTTGGAATTCCGCTGGGGAAAATGCGAGACGGATGGGTGAAGAGAATGGGGAATCGACCCTTTGTTTACAAATATGGGAGCCTCACAATTGCACATGTTCCCCTTTAAGATCACCCCAAAAATGGTACCGAGTTTCCAACCAGCAAGATGCTTCTTCCATTTGCTTAAGACTCTGCTTTATGTTCCCCTGTTGTTTTTGTGAGGGAATCCATCATTACTGGAAATATGAGGTTTTGTTCTAAGGGACTCAAGCAAGGACTCAGTAAGCGAACGGGAGGACAAGTGGGAGACCGGCTTTAGCGCATGGCTCCCGAATTTCTGGACGACCATCCGCGCGGCTGCTCCCTTGGACGACGGCAGGCCCATGCTTTTTTCGAATCGGATCTGCAGACGAATCGATTTGTGGGAGACCGCGAAAGGGTTTCCTGTGGTCATGGTGTTATGGTGTTTTTAGTTTTCCTGACTTAAGTACCTGCCCTCCCACCAACATGGCCCTCTGTCACAGAGGGCCTTCTTAACTTCTTGTGCTTTGGGTGTTCCTTCATTTTCCCTCTGAGCAAGCAACACATGAACTTTTTTCAGGGGTTTAGTTTAAGTCTGGCCCCCAGTATTCTGACGGCTTTTTTGGGTTATCAAAACTGGGGTGATTCTGATGGAACATTCATTGGCCACTGCCTTCCGGAAGACCGTCACGTGGGTGGTCTGGTTTTTGAGGCGAACAGCAGCCTTTCAAGATTAGCTTCAAGTGAAATCGGAGAAAGCCACGATTTTTCAGGTTGCGCTGAACCCGTCTACCCCGGCAGGCCACAGCTGCCAAGACTTCCTCAAGCAAATACTGGGGGTGTTCCCTCCAAAAGTGGTCTGATCCCCCACTAAACGGGGCTGCTCTCCCCGATCAACAATCAACCAGGATTTTAAGCTTCCATTTGCTCAAGAATCTTTGCTATCTTCCTCTTTTGGTGTTTCAAGGGAATCTATCACTACTGGACATATTCTCTTATTTTTGCCCGGGGCTCAAGCAACTTGGGGGCTTAGATCCAGGTTTGGCACTTCCCAACCGGGCGAGAGATTCGCAGGCCGAAGGCGCCCCTCTTCGAGGTGAAGTACCACGAGCAGGCGACCAGAGTAGCGCTCATGCCTGCCAGTCCGGGGTCATACTGTGGATGGGCAAAATCCTGCACCACTTTGAAGCCATGCGGAAACCATTGTCGTTAATTGGGGGGAGGGTACTCAACTATTTCCCCCCATTTAACCCACCCAAGAAAGGACACCCGAAAGCAGGGTCTTTGCACCAAAACCACAGTTTAAGCTGGTCTTTGGAAGGTGCGGGTTTTATTGTGAAGTGGTGTTTGTTGAACCACCATTTTGTTCAGGTAATTTTGAGGATTACTATGTATATGGGGACTCCGATTCCCTCCATAGGAAAATATGATTCCCATTCGAGCCACGACTCGTGTCTTCGGATCTTGTGTGAAATGAGCGCGCCAAGACTGATTCGTAGAAGGGCTTCATCGAAGTTGTAGTAAGGCATGTATGACAACAATGAACTTTTGTTGGGGAACCACGTTGCCAGCGAGTGGACATCAATCCCCACCTAAATGTTCAGCAAAAGGGCCCCAAGGAAGATTCACAGCCATACGAACCTTTTTGTAACCATGTTGGCGGAGCCAAAAGTCAGCTCGGGTTTTGGGCGCTGCTCCATTGAGTGACACGTAAGGCAATCAGTTTGCAACTGGGGCCAGTGTTTCAGGAGCAGCAAGTTTGGGTTCTCCCTACCCCCTGAACGGGTAACCTCAGAACCATTTCATCAGACTCCCTTCGAAGGTTCCAGGAATCTTTCACCGGACGGTAGCTCCCTCCCTGTGGGACAAGCTTCCCAGGTTGCATTGTTCACCCGACAGGTACCCATTTGGCTCTACTCACAAGGCGGAAGAAGTCTCGGCTTACCCTTGCCCCAGGTGTACGCAAAATATGCTTAAAGAGGTACCTCAGATAGGGTTACCCAAGGGTCCATGAAATCGGGCATGGCTTGGTCTCAATTCCTCAAATTTTGGGAGCAACGGTACTCCTTTGGGCCCTTGCACATTAAACCAGACTTAGATTGTGAATGTAGTCTAACCACAAAAGATGGATTCATGTATGCGTTGTTTCTACATGTTCTGTATGTCTCGCTTTTTGCGTGACTTTAATGTGATGTGAAACCAAGGAAGGGTTTTCCGAGTCATCCCACACCGTTGCGCCGTTGCGCCAAACCCGAAGGCGGCCGCGGAGACCCCGGCCATCGTGCCGCCGGGCTCGCAGCTGCTGACCATCACCGAGAACAAGCGTGCCTCGATGCGGAGCTCGATTTGAGCCACAATCCAAACCCGGGTAGATGAAGGTCAAGGGACAATCCCAGCCATAAATAGCTGCGGCCGGCTTCTTGTTTCTTTACATGGTTCTGGGTAGACCATTTTATCAACCGGGTTTTGATCATGATTCATTTCGGGTCGGGTGTGAGCGAATGGCCGAGAGAGCTGGTCTGGAAACTCGAGAGAACGGTTTTTGGAGGTGGCGAATCTCTGATCCCTTGTAGGATATTCGAAGAGTACTAAATGAGTATGAAAAGACAAGCAACAGGGGAAAGAACGGGTGAAATCCACAAAAAGCCCAAACCGCTTTACAGCGAAACAGATTCGGTGGTGGTTTTTTGACAAATCCCCTCCCAAAAAAAGTGGCCTACTTTTGAACCCCACTTAAAGAATAAGGTATTTTCGAAAAAGAAGACAACCCAGATGGTTTTTCCATTAAACCTCTGAAAGGTACTCGATCTTTTGCTCGGGGGCGCTTGGAGCAATTGGCTTCGGGCTTCGAGAGCCGGAAAGAGGGAGAGCACAACGAAGCTCCATTGGGCTGATGTGTTTCCTTCAACTTGTTTTTGAAGGCAACCCCGAACTGCCCAACCAGCTCCCCAACGCCCCAACCTCCCCGGGCCCCGCCAAAACAAGCAAGGTGTATACCATGATTGCAACCACCCAATTCATTAAACCGACAAGAGGCTTGGTCAACATCGCCCGTAGTTTATGGTCCATCTGGATTTACGGGGGGGGACGAGCTCTAAATTCTCAGGCTTGCGACATGTCTCATGTGGGTGTGTCTTTTTTGAGGCTGCCGCTCTTTTTAGTACAAGAAAAACCAACAGGACAACCGTTGCCCGTCATTTTTTGAAAATGGGCGCCGTAGATGTTTCAACCACACACAACGGGACTCGCCCTTTTCAAGCGAGCGTGTTGGAAGCGCATGGCAAGTGAGCCCCCAAAGAGCCAGGCGTAAAAAGACTTGGCCGGAATAAAGCTCGGCAGACTGGTTTAATGGTAAGGGGGGCTTGTGCCACCCAACATTTTTCGGGGACTTGCTTGGGAGTTCAACCAAGTTAGTAAATTGTTGGTAACCTAGGCTACAACGACTTGTAGCTGCCTTCAAGTGGGGTTAACCCTAGTGGGTTATAACCTAACTGGCCAACCACTTACCAACGGTACCCGAACATCCAACCAAGCGTCCGTATACGTCCTCTTTAGACATCACCCCAAACTGGAACCTGACCAACTGACCCCTTTCAGGCGATCAAGTGGGGTGGCCGTTGTTAGTGGGTCAGAGCCCAAGTGGCTAACCACTTGCGCGAATCCAGGAACCTAACCGACTGACCCCTTTCAGGCGATGAATCCTTTGGTGCATGTTGCCAAGGGATGTTAGGACTGAATAATTTGTTTGCCAACTAGTGGGTTTTTCGTATTAAACCACAGGTTAAACAACTGTTCGCAGGGCTTCGCAGATTTCGCAGCGGAGAATCCCTTCGACCGCCTTCGACCGAAAAACTGAGAAACTCGAGGCATGACCCCCGGGGGCTACGAGCGCGACATCCGGCACCTGGCGCTGGGCCTGGACGGCCTCGACTTCCCCTTCGACCTGGGCGCGCCCCGCTGGGGATTTGCTTTTGTTTTTGGCCGGCTGGGGCAAGAAGGTGATGAGTTGTCCATTTCTACTTTTGTCTGCAGGATGTTTTTCTTTTTTTTCTTCTGTCAAAGCAATCCCGAAAAGGACATGGGCGTTTTTTTGTTGTTGGTTTTGTTTGACAAAGCCATCCCAAAAAGGGAATCCGCAAAAAAAGGCAGTCGTTGAGTTTAAGGCCAGTTGTGGACTGGGATTGACTTTGGGGGACCCTAAGATGGACGGTTTCCCGACTTGGTTTCCCCTTACCAACCAAGCAGGGGTACCATCAAAACAGACACCCTTTTAGGGGGCAGTCCACGTGAACAAAGGCACCATGTTTGCATTGCCAGACTTGTTTGGCCCTTTTAAGCTTTTGCCTTGTTGGGTGTCCAAATGTTTCCTTGCAAGCAGCAAGAAGTTACACTTTTTTGTAGGGGGTCTAAGTCTGGTCAAGTTTTGGTGGTCATTGATTTTAAGGCATGGTTGTGGTTAGAACATGGATTGTTGACTTTGATATTTTACAAACATCGGGCATGATTGTGCACAGAGTCTCAGTGCGACTGTTTGTGATACCAAGCCTTAGAATGACAACGTTGTCACAATGGGAACCCCACTTTGGCATCACAGATTTCGGAGTATGTCCCACTCCCTTTCTTAAGGAGGAAACATGACCCTCGGGTAAGCCTTCACTTTTTGGGAAAACAACCAGCCCGTTTGCCCAACAGCAAGACCCCCAAGCCGTTCTGTGAGTTCTCAACATAGCTTGTGGACACTCGGTGGAAAACCCTTGAAGATTATTTGTAGCAGGACACTTCAACAACACAAGTGCTTTCCCTTTAAACCAGCCCAAAAAAACATCCTACGACTTTACAGGCCACGCCGTGATTTCCTTGCTGGTGACTTGCATCATTTGGGTGGCAAATGGTTTTTTCTCCAGCCGGCGATGGGTTTTGTTTGGCGTCCTTTCTATGCCGAAAACAAAAGAGGTAGCCTTCAGAAAGTTCCCGGAGACACGCTGATCCCATGGTTAAGACATGATGAACCCAACCAATCCCGGGCTGCATCCCCAGCTGAAGCCCAGCTGATACCTTTCACAAAAAAGACAAGCCCGAATCAAAAGGGAGCCGATAAGAGAACTAACAATAATTGCATACCGCGGCCCCATCGGCAACACACCATCAAGAAAAGGAACGGATGAGCCCAGTCAAGCCGAGCCTCACGTTTCAGCTTTCTGCTGAGGATGCCGTCGCTATCTACCCGGAGAACCTGCCTCAGGAGGGCCAATATCAAGGGGTAGCGCCGACCAGGGCCCCGGTTGTACTCTGTGTCCTTCGACTCGCTTCCCCAGTCACAAGCCCTGAAATTTCTCTGTTTCAAGTGGCAATTGTTTCAATGGAGCCCACCAGTAAATTGATCAACTTTCGAAGAATTAGCTGCAAGTCTTGGGACACGTTCTGCTTTTGGTAGACTATTTTCGGTCAGTAGTTTAGGCTGTTCTTGGTTTAGTTTGGGGGACTAGTTTGGTAGACTTTCTTTTTGGTGGTTCTACCAGTATTTGCAGGGTTCCATCCGTCCCAAGTGGTGCCAGTGGATTTTGGGAGATTGTTTTGGTGGTAAGCATAACCTCGGTCGCCTTTTTCGGGTCCCCGAGACCTACAAGCCAGAAGTAAGCCTGGTTAAGGCCGGCCCTAGGCAGCCACCAGCCGGATGTGGACACCTTGGTGTGGCTGTCAATTGTTTGAGGTTTTCTCCCAAATGCTTGGCTTCAATATCTTGGAAGCACCCCAACGTGGTTGGTTTAGTGTTAAAGCCACCCCCCAAATGCTTGGTTTTTCCATGTTGGTTTCTTTTTCCCTCTTTCCCCGTTCGCGCAGAAGGTGCGCCCAGTCAGAAGCCCTGGACCACCCCCCCCCTAGGGACTCTATAATTACTGTGAGAGGTGTGTCCAACCACAGCGAATCCAGCGGATTTAACCCAAAAGGTTTCCCTGATTTGGTCCATATTTCGTCAAGAGCCAAGGCTCCAAAGTTAATATTTTGTTTTAAGGTCCTCTGGGCACGTGAGACATTGGGTTCCTTTTGACCCCGTTTGGATCGGGGTCAAAAGGATGCTTTTTAAGCGAACCGAGCAAACATGCGATTCCCCTCTTTTACGACCACACCACATGAAGCTGGATATAGGCGTGTCTCAAAATAGCGGGGCCTCCAAAATGGATGGTATTCCAGTGGTTTCCAAATGAAATCACCCCAAAAGGGTCCCCAACAAAGAGACGCACCCAGATTGTGTTGGCCGGTTGCTGGTTTTGTTGTCAGCAACTCTTGGGCGGTCAATGATAGAAGCTGACGATCGGAGAGGCTTGGAAGACGAAATCTGTCCTTTTGTGGAAGCCCCCTGTCCACTTCCATGTTTGTTGGAAACAAGGGCCAGGGTAAGTGCTACTCCCTCATTCTTTCTGAGAAACCACGGGCGTTTCCAGAAAGGTTTTGCTTCAGGTTGCTAGGAAGATGTCCATTCGCCACAGCCATGGCATTTTATGTTGTTTTTGGTTCTGTTCAGTTTTAGTAGGGGGCTGCACAAAACGAAGGTTTTTGCACCCATACCAAGGTTATTGTGAAGATGGTCTGTAGGGTGGCGCAACAGTGAAATGTTGCTACCTGCTTGAGTCATGGAAGCGGCGGAAGCAGGGCTTGGAGCATTACCATGTTGGGGAAGACGAGGACCCCTGTCCACTTCCATGCTCGGAAAGAGGCTAGGAGATCATATATAGGTGGAGCAAGAAGAGATGAACATTTCGGTCAAATACATGGGGGCTCTTTTCTTGGGAGAACCTCCCAAAATGCTGGTTTTCCCGTTGCTTCCATGTAAAACCCAAAAAAAACAGGTACCCTCAACGAGACAGACCCATATTATCGAATGTCTTCGCCCCCCCATCCCCCCCCCCCCACCCTTTTTTGGTCTTTCCTTCTTTGTTTTTTCGTGAAATGCCTGCAGGGGTGGGATATTTTCGGACCCACGCGTGTGGAAAAAGCAGCATGTGCATTCTTGGTTGCCCTTTGGCGTGACCTTTGCCTTTCAACCTTTTGGAAAATGTTTGCTTCCCTACTGACCAGCAAAAAGTGTTAGCTTTTTGCAGGGGGTCGATGACCAACCCAGTATTTATGTTTGCTTGATCCTGCCGTGGGTGCCGATTTCATTCGGGGAAGGACGTGGACGCTGCTTGGAATGCACATGCACAGAGCCGTAATGGGCGTGTCTCAAATTGGGCGTCTTTTGTTTGGTGAGGCTCCACGTTTCCAAAAGTTGGTTCCCCGGACTCACAAAGCAACACACAGCACTTTGGAACAATGGGTCCGCCTTTACTTCGAAACGAGTCAGCACTTAGCATAACCACCTATATTGCTTACTAAGCCCTTGCTTGACCGGAAGCATGCGTTGCATACGCAACACAGCCAAGTCGAAATGAAACGACAACAAGCAACTCACTTGCTTGCCACTTACTTGCCCGGGAATCTGAATGTTCGCTTGTATGTTCCATGTAGCCACACTCTTAGATTGATGGCCACTGGCGGGGAAAAGAGCAGGCACTTTTCTTTCTGGCGTTCATGCTTACCGTGCCAATCACCGACTTGAAAGCTGGTTCGCAATGCTGGCAGTGAGTGGTTGTTGCGAATGGTTTATGACTATGTGATAAGCGTTTCTCGGGTGGAGGAGATTGAGGAGATAGTGCTTCACAATATTGCTGCAAACGCCTTCGTTACCCACCAACCGTCCGCACAAGCTAGCCGCATGGATTGCTAAACAGCAACAAAGAGTTAGCAGACAAGCTTCTCTGGCCTGCCTTCAAAAGTACCAGGGTCTTCTGAACGATCTTAAAGGCATTCTCTTCTTAATGCGCGCCAGCCGAAAGGACGTTGAGGAACCCGAAACGCGCTCGAAGGAACCGACATTTTGTTCAGGTCAAGGGTCTTTCATCCCGCTACCCTGTGCGATGATACATGATGATACCGTGGATGGGCGAAAGCCATTTCGCACCACTTAAGAACCCAGAAATGATGATTTTCTGGTTTTTAAATACCGACCAACTATGGGAAGCCCCATGGTTTCAAAGCTATACAGGATTTCATCCACAGTAGCGAAGCCTGATTGATTCCCTAAGTTTGTAAGGGGGGAACAAGAGAATCCCAGTTTGGGGTTGATATTGGAATATTGGCGGTCTTCGCCTCAAACCTTCATGTTTATGCAGAATCGAAAGGAACACCTGTGTCTCAAATTTGGGAACCCCAAAAACTGGTTTCCTTGTCCTTATGATTTTCTTTTACAAGCCCAACAAGGGCACTGAGCCTCAAACAAGACGCACCCAAGTGCATTTTCACCCTCGCCTCAACGTGTCGGTCGCAAGCCCCGGCTCCCAAGGCGGCCCTGAAATTCTTGGACTTGGACGGAGACCGCGTGATCACCGCGCCTCGGCTCTGAATTTCCTTCGTGCGCCGGATGGCCCGGGTGCGGAACATGGGCTTGTCCTTAAGTTTAGGAATCCACCAAAAATACGCTGCCTTCGATGTCCCTTTAGAAAAAGGGTTTCCCTACAAGGACAAGAACAGTGGAGTTTCCCTTCAGTTTCCAATTGCTGTAACAAAAGGAGGTTCCAAATAGAGGCCACACCCAAACATCGGTTTCAGGTTGCCACTTCCTGTACCAACGAATTTCAACGGATGCAGAAGGACACATACGTACACATCATTTAAAAGCGGCAAATGGGTGTGGGTCAAAATACCCTGGCAAATGGACAAATGGACTAAATTCTGCGATCCAATTCCTGGTGGTTGAATTTTGACCCAGCCCAAATACGCACTCCCTGAGTTCACGGACTTTAAACTTTTTTGGGAAGACCATTTTAGTTTTAAACAAACAGTTTCGAGCGCTGGCTCGAGTGCCTTCCAGAGGTGGCGCCGTTCACCACGGAACGCCGAGGGACCGTTCTCTTTTCTGGTCCGCCATGGACCCGGCTTTGCCGACAGTGGTCGGTGGCTCTGGCACCTTGGTGGCGGCCGTGCAGGAGCATTGGGAGGAGGGCCTCACGCGGTTGCATGGGTTGTCGCCGCATCAGGATTTCCTTGTGGATTGCTCCTTCGGCATGATCAGAGAGGTTTGGACGCTTTATGGCATCACGAATGTGGGTTCCTTCGGTGGCCTTCCGTTGTTCACACTGGGCAAGGACGCTTCGGCCTACCCGCACATCTCGGAGGGCGTTCGCGACTTTGAGAAGGCGTGGGACTTCTGCTCCGGCATCGGGGCCCTCGGATGGGGTGCGGCACATGCTGGCATGCAGATCCTTGGGCACACAGACCGGAACTGGCTGGCATGTGCAGCGGCTAGGCTCAACAGCTCGGCGCCAATCATCAAGGGCGACATCAAGGAGCTTGAGACGGTCAGGAAAATTCACGCCATCACAGGTGGCAAGAAGTTCGTGGGACTAGCAGGCTTTCCATGCCAGCCATTTTCTCGCCAAGGGCGTCAACGCGAAGATGGTGACCCCCGCTTCGATACACTACCGGCATTGCTTCTTGCCGCATGGAGGTTGGGCTCAACTGGTCTGCTTCTCGAATGCGTGCCAGAAGCCCGCAACTCCAGGCCCGTTGCCACACAGCTCAAGAAGTTCATGGAGGCCACACAGTTTACGCTACATGACGTAGTACTGGATCTTGCAGATCGATGGGTCAGCTTGTCGCAAGAGGTGGTGGGCACTCATTATGCCCAAGGCTCTCCTTCAACAAGGACTCAAAGCTTGGAACAAGACCAGCCCTGATCCACTTCCCGGTCATTTCATGAAGAACTGGCCGATCTGGACACCAGATGAAGAATCTCAGTTGGAATGGGATGCCATCGAGCTGCAGCACTATCAGGACCGCAGGTATGGCAACGACAGCAGAGACTTTGATTACTGGAGCAAGGTTCCAACGGCGGTTCACTCCTGGGGAGTCGCGCTCAAGCACTGCCCATGTGGATGCAGAGCAAAGGCTTTTTCAGATGAATGGTTGCAGCATGGCGGACTTCGAGGATTCGGCATCATTTCGAAGCATACAGGTCAGAAGCGTTTCCCGCATCCCGGAGAGGTGTGTTTTTGGAACGCAATCCCAGCCAGCTTCAAGATGATCCAACCACCCCGAGCAGCTCTCTGCATGTTGGGACAGATGGCAACGCCGCTACAGAGTGCCTGGGTGGCAGCACATGTGATCCAGGGGGCACGCCAGGGCACAGATCGACAAGCGCAAACCCCGGAAGAATGCATCCAGTCTTGGCTCAATCGAGTTATCCAGGAGGCGCACAACCTATGGGTCACGGAGAGCATGTTCTTCACTCGGAAGCTCACTTTCGCTCATGAAGATGTGCTTTCTTTTTCCATGGTTTGCCAGCCCACAACGATCAAGGAAATCATTGCCGCTGAGAAGGATCTGCAGGGACACGGGGCCAACGTCCAGATCTTCTCCAACGGAGTGGCCCTACCTCCCTTCTTCCAGGCGCATCAAGACGTCATCTACGAAGTCGGGATCACATTCAAGCGACAACGCCGCCAGATCCAGGATCACGTGGAGCTTACAATTCATTCGCAGCAGGGACGAACAGTTAGCAGGCCGCTTCCAGCAGGTACGTTCTTGCGGCATGTGCAGACATGGCTTGGAATCCCTGGACACCTCTGTTTTTCCATGGATTCACAGCAGACGCGGGATGGTCAACGCTTGTGGCAATCATTGCAAGTGCGGATCCGTGGAGCTGGATATGCTGGGGTTCAGATAAGCGATCGAGCTATCAACACCGCACTCCACTCCCTCCTCAAGCTGCACCAGGACATTGAGAATGACCCTTGGATTGTTTTCACACCTCGCGAGGCACTACTCTGGTTGCAGGCACCGGCAGATTTCATTCAGGAGATCTCGGGCATTTGGAACCATGCCTTCAGACGCGATGGAAAGATTCTCACCATCTTTGAGGATCAAGGACATTGGGCTCTACTGATTGTCAAGGAGGAGGAGCAACACCTCAACGCCACGGTCTTCAACGGATACAGGAACATCCCTGCACCTGCAGTTTCTCTGCTTCAGCGATTTGCGGACGTTTGGAACATGCCCTGCGGGCCCATTGAGCTCTCTTCGCTCTATGCCCAACAGGAACCTGGACAGTGTGGGGTGATCGCGCTGCAACACGCCTGCAATGTGCTCGGACTATGGGATCGCTTCACACAGACAGATACAGACATCTGGCATCAACGGCTCCTTGACCTGGACACAAGCGAATCCGCGTGGCGAGCAGCCGGTCCAACGCCGGATGGCCTTGGTTGTGACCTTGCTGCAGTCCTCATCAAGCAGGGACTTCCGGGCAATTTGGTTGAGGCCAGAGCTTCAGATGCAATTGCGCGAATCGGGGCCAACCAGATCCAACAAGCCTTGCAGCGCAACAACCCGTGGGCAGCACTGAAAGCCCTTGGCAACAACGCACAACACCGCTTTCGGTGGATCCAACCCCACGAGCTTCAGGCCCAAATTGAGAAAAAGGCGTCCCATATGTTTGGTGCAGATCGCTTGAGAGATGCACCAAAGCGGGAAAAGGGCAAAGCGGCAAGAAGTGCTCCCATTCGCGATGTCGACCCCTCCTCTCTTGTCCTGCAGGAAGACACCTTCATTGATGACTCACATGAAGCCGTTGCTCAGATCCCCATCCAAGAGGTCACTGCCAATGCCAGAGGACTTGCCCTTGCTACAATTTCAGATGCGATTCCCTTCCTGAAGGCAGGCGGCTCCATCAGCCCAGATGCTCTTGGACTACTCACGGTTCCGCAACTTCCCAGCGAGCTCAGAGGCAATCATCAGGTAGTGGACCTACAATTCCCGGCCCTGTACAAGGAGACCCAGGAAGCTTTGCTGCTCAGCGGAACGTTGATCAACATTGGCGATATTCACATCGCCAAGCAGATCATCTCGCTGCAAACCGCCATCGAGGCAGTGGACACCGCTATCATCAAGCTGATTGGCTACAAAGACGAGTTACGAGAGGCATGGCCAGGTTTCGTCTCCTCACCTGCCAAAGCCTTTGCATCACAGCTCGAGGCGCTGAACATCTGCCGCGAGGCTTGCACAAACAACTGCAGGGCCTACCACCCGTCGGTTGAGGAAGACATTCACAAAGTCATTCAAGACTTCTGGGGACGTTCTTACCAGAAAATCACAGGTGGAAAGGTTGACCCAGCGCAAGCTGAAATGGTCCAAGCCTTTGCAAGAGTTCCACAACTCGCCCTTCAACAGCTCAATCGAGAGTCAGGTCGCAGGGGCGTCTACGTTGAACCACGGGCGGAGTCCTCTTTGGGCCCATGCCCCAACTTTGCGGTGATCTGGCTCCCTGGCAAGGGGGTACGAGTCAAGGCTTCAGATGAAGGGACGGTTTTTCGTGCTCTACGACCTGGCCAGACTTTTGTTGCCATTCGTGTCAATGCGGTGTACAAGATTTACCCACTACCTTTCGGAGTACAGCGGGCCGGAATCGTTTCCCTGTTGAACCAATGGCAGTGGAGCGCTAAGCCTCTTCAACAGTGCGGCTGGCAGCGCTTGGGAAGTCGGGGCAGAATTCGACCCTCCATCTTTTGCAATGCCTGGGCCCGGCGGTGACATCCTCATCACCAAGGTGAAGTCGACACAACGGAAGATGGAGCCGACAAACAACCAACTCATTCCGCAGAGAACTCGGAAGCACCTGCAGGCAGACACGTCAAGATCGCGACCCGCACACTCAGCAGAGTCCACGCCTGCTGATCCTTGGCAGGGAGACAAAGACCCCTGGTCAGCTTGGTTTCAAGGAAATGACAAGCCTACTGCGCCTTCCTCCTCAACTGGAACCACCACCACAAACAAGCTCCAGCAGATTGAAGCTCAGCTCAAGGAGAACGTTCATACCGCCATCCAACACGAGCTCAAGGAGAAAGCAGATGCAATGGACCTCACCGAGGACCGGATGGGCTCGCTTGAAACCACAGTCAAGGAGCTCTGCCGCCAGAATGACAAGTTCGAGAACTGGTTCCAACAGGCAGGTCGCACCACGCAGCATCTCAACGACAAGGTCAGCTCGCTTCAGACCACCATCAAGACCCAGCAACAGGACCTCTCACAGATCCGTCAGGAGATACAGACGCAACCACAGCAGTTTCAGGAATCCATGCAGAATGCGCTCCTCTCAATGGGAACGCAATTCAACACGCAGTTCCAGCAGATCCAGGAGGCTCTCATCAACCTCAAAGACACTGGCCATGCGGACAAGAAACCAAGAAGCTCGGAGTGACTATCTCCCACAGGGCCGCCTAGGGGCGCAAAGGCGGTGCCTGGAACTTCATTTCGCCCCACCCGGTTTTGGATTTGGCTTGCGCTCTGGATCCCTTTTCTATTCGCGATCGAGGCAGAGGGGACCACTTCGCC